ACGCCGGCGCGGGGGAAAAGCGTCGACGTCGAGCCCGTGGCAGGCGGAGATCTGCCCTTTGCGCCATTCCCAGCGCTAGAGGTCGAGCTCGGGGGGTTCGTGGCGGAGTAGGGCTCGTAGTGACAGACGCGATCGACTCGGCGGCAGTTCATGCAGCGAGGGCGCTCGCCAGAACACCTGGTTTTGCGATGCCTGGAGCATTTGCGTTTCGCACACGCAAAAAGTCAGTTGACGATGCAAAAATATTCACAGCCCGGCCGTCAGCCCCGTCTCCAGGCCAGAAAACCAATACACCGCCACTCAGCGCAGCCTGGGGCCCTTGAAAGGCCCCCCCGAGGCCGCACTCGTGCGAACGGGCAGCGTCTCTTCCCGACCTGGATCACGGAGCAGCGACACAAGCAATGATGATGATCTGAGGTTTCTGCGCACCGACAGTTCGTGCATGCCTGGCGGATGCGGCGGATGGTGTTGACTATCGGCGGCTGCCGCGAGCGGGCATCGGACCGGTCCCAGGCGAACGCATCAGCTGCTGGTTCGGACATTGTGCTACCGCATGCTTCGGAGTCGAGCGGCGAGGACATGCAGCCATCACCTGGCAGCTGGGGCGCGATGCAGGGCAGTTGCAGTGGCAGTGGCAGTGGCAGAGGATGCAGAAGATTGGATGCTGGCGGGTGCGATCAGATGCTGATGCTGCCAGAGAGGGCGCTGCTGGCGGTACTGCTGGATGCTGGTTGCTGCTGGTGCTGGTGCTGAATAAATGTTGAGCGGGGTACACAAGGTAACGAACGCCTAGCGTGCCTGCATAAAGTTTGCTGGGCGCGTTCACGTTCGCTCAACTGCGAGGCCACGGTAGCGGGAGAGGTCGCGGGTACTCGCAGTTGCCAGCAGAGCGACCTGCGGGAGGGCGGGCGCTGGGGTGCTGAGTCGATGGGGCTTGGGCGGGCGTGGCAGCCTGTCTGAGCCGTGGTGGCAGCCTGCTTGCAGCCTGTTTGCGGTGTGTGCCGCTGCTAGTGCGCGCCATGAGTCAGCGGCTGACGCAGCACGCGCTGTACCCTGGGCGCCAGATGCCGGTACCCGATACCTGTGAGGCGGGAGAGCGTCTTGCCCAGCCGTTTGATCGATCACTAAACGCTCTGCAGCACTCGGTGGTGGTGATGGAACTCCGAGCATCATCTCCAAGCGGTAGTGCACAGTAGGGTTCCATGCACATCACTCCTCCTTTTCTTCTTCTTTCACTCTGCCATCCCCAGCTCGCCTCCGTCCTCGATTCTAATTCGTCAGCATCCGGCTTCGACTGGTGAGCCGGCGGCAGCGGCGTCTATCTGTCCGTCGGCCACCTTCCGGCCCTCTGTCGAGCTGCAAGCCCTTCAAAGGGGTCGGATCCTCTGCGCCCCGGTTGCGGCCGAGTCGGCAGGCCATCTGGCTGAGCTGCTGACAAACAAACCAAGTCGCGGGTCGCTCGCGAATGGTGATGAAATCCCGCCTGCATGATGAGCTCGAGATGGCAATGCTCGATGTCGTCTGTGGCGCAGCCCTCGAGCTGCACACAGGAATGCAGATCTTGACGGTATCACGTCGACTGTCCCCTTAGAATGGAAATGTCGTCTTCTGAAGCCTGCTCGCGATGGATCATGCAAGTCATAGTGTCGTTGTCTCGAGGTAGTATCGAGCATGAGCCATTCCAGGCATTCCGGGCATGGTCCCGTCGTGTAGGGATCGTATCCAGTCCTCATCGCGCAGCAGACGCAAGGTGACGGAGTCCCTCTGGAGCTTCTTCTCGCGGCCAGCGGGCCAGAGAGGCGTAAACGCCGAATCGTATCTCAATATCGACTCCTCAATCCTTTGATGCCACGATCCAACATCGTGATGATGGAGTGTGCCAAGTCGTCATTATGCCCTGGAAGGTATTAGCTTACTTCCACATCGAGATGAGAATACGACCATGAACCAACAATGTTGATGCGAATGATAGCGATGTGAATGATGGGCACGACTTACCAATTATTTAATGAGGCTTGAGCTCCGAGCTCGACGCTGAAGAGGCCCATCTGCAAATCAGTGGGTGTTTGGCCCCTCTCACGGCCGTATACTCGTACAGCGATGGGCGGTTCGGGCTAATCCGGTGATCCCATCATCGTCGACAGCCCGCATCTCATTCTCCCCAGACAAGATCCGCGACTTCCCATGCATCGTAACTTCCCCTGAAGATCCGGCAGACGAGTTCCGCGAGATAGAGATATGCAGATGATAGAATTCTGATTTTGCCAGCGCGTTGTTGACGGTGATGCGGTGATACCCCTCCATGGCCGGAGCAGGTGGCCCGGTCCGCAGGGCGGTCCGCGTGGGGCAGCCTTTCTTCCGCAACGTGCTGGTGGATATCAAAGGATGGATTAGTAGATGCTTTATCAGATTTGACATTGCATGTCATGGTGAATATGGCCTTCAGCTTTGAGGGTTGACACTTGTGGATAATGGCGCCAAGCACAAAATGACGTCCAGGCTCATGGTCTGTGGTTGCTCTCAATTCTTGTATGCCTGCGATACCCTCCTGGAACAAGGCGGCATCCGCTATTCAATATACCTATACCTATTTGCCCTGGACCTGACAGTGGAAAAAAACAACAACTGGTCGCTTCCTCGATGCTTTTGCGTAGATGCTGCCTAACTGGAATAAACACGGCTTCTGCAAGTGCGGTACCATTGTCATGTATGAGAGGCATGGCCGCTATATCATACCTTGAACTTTCGCGGGTCAAGATTCGACACATTGGCACTCTTGGCCTCGCCATCAAAGATGTACTCGGACATTAGCTTGCCTGTTCCCGGACCATTCTGAATCCCCCAGCACGTGTGACCAGCAGCAACCCACAAGCCGGGCGTTGTCGTTGGCCCTATGAGCGGGCCGCTCTCTTGTCCGAACCGAATATGCCGTGGCAGGTAGCACGCTTGTTTCGCCTTGACAGGTGCGGCAGCCAGCACGGGGCTCACGGTTGCAAAGTAGGAAATGATGTCGTCGCAGTAAGCCTCCTCGACTTGGACCTGGTCAGCCGTCTCTGGGAGCGGTACGACGCTATCGGGCTCTCCTGCAGCAAACATTCAGTGTCACCATCCTCCTTTTCGGGCGGGGAAAACACTTGACCTACCACAGGCATATGCCTCACCAAAGGGTCGAGCGTAAATCTCCGGATCGACTCTGCCCTTGTGGAATCTCTTCTGCCCCATCTTTGCTCGGTGCTCGGGGACAAAGTCGGATGGCAGTTCGATATCGGTGAACACTGCGTACGGAGTGACGTCGACTTCGTAGACGACACTGTGCGCTCTCAGGCCTTCAACTTTGGATCGTGGGAGCACTCTCCCGGTCCAGGGCCCCGCCGCAACTATAATGTCGGTTACGTCGGTGATTTTGCAGGTTTCGTTCGTTGTCCGGTCCAAGTACTCGACTCCCTCGACGCCAGCTTTCGAGGTGATGAGTCTCGTCACCTTTGCATTCGTCTTGAAGATGGCACCACCCTGCTGAGCCAACTCTGCAATCGACGTCGTGAAGTGGTATGGATGTACCTGCGCAGTGTCGGAAGCTCCAGGTGACCCCATCTCTGCCCATCCCCTCACCACCTCCCTGTCAATCCAGTCCAGGTCTGCGGGGAGCTCTTCATCCTGAAGCAGCTCCTTGGCCGCCTCGTCTTGCTTGGGAAGCTTCTCCCACGCTTTGCCATCCTCGTCCACAGGCTTCTGGAGGTTCCTGAGTTTCTGTTTCGTAACTACCGCCTCAATGCTGCCGCACTTTACTTTACGGTAACCCCAACGATTGGCCCCGCCATGCTCAGCGGCAAGCTCTGCATGGAGTCTAAACGACAAAGGAACGAGAGACGCAGGATAGGCCCAGAGGCCAAGAAGGCCGCCCGCCTTGCCAGAAGCACCCTGAGCTACCGACGGGGCGGCCTCTAAGAGGGTGATGGTGTGCAGAGCCGGATTGAACTTGGGATGGCGTGTCAGGTAGTAGGCGGTTGTGCTGCCAATAATGCCGCCTCCTGGGACTTGAAGTCAGATATAGTGTAGCAAGCCAAGCGAGCCCATGCCCGAGTCGTGACATGAATTGACCGTGAAGCGTCACGACTCGAGCCGTGACGTCCAAGTTGTAGGCGGGAGTTTTTTCGGGCTGAGTGGTAGGGCGATAGGGCAAAAAAGGCACATACCGACGATGACAATATTCTTCTTCGCCTCCATGATCAGTGAGAAGCGTGTGTTCGCATAGATGGAGGAGTAGCATCAAGCAGTGCAGGTCGAATGTTGAGATAAGGTACTCCATGGGAACTGATGTTGGTGGGGATTCATTGAAGTCACTTGGATAAATGACGTAAGCCATTTCCAACTTCCAGTGCCGGTCCGTCAGATGAGGACACAAGCTGCAGCTCAGAAATGCGAGAAAGGACTTGGATAGCATGACTTTTGGACGTCTGTAGTGCGAAGATGTTTCAAGAGGCACAAGATTCCCTTCTATGTCTCGATGTACTAGCAATTTCCTACACGCATACTTTGGGCTTAAGCGTTCTACTTGTGGGAACTGTAAGTGGCTGAACTGTTGCCGGATTCAGGCAAGAGCCGACCATCATGACAAAAAATAGTGATATACCTAATCATATATCTACTTCAAAGGAGAGAGAAGCACTATCTGTACTACGACTCATGAAGCAAATTGCAAGTCGAGAACAATCGCATGCTCAGCAAGAAGTCAAAGCTCAGTGTCTGGGGGCATATGGACCCAACTACCTACCTAGTAGTACCGTGAACCCACTTCGCCCGCAGTGGAAAAGGACAAGCGCCCACTCCCATCCATTCTTATCGATAAGCACGCTATCAGAAATTTTGGGCGGCCTTGTACCATTATTATCCAAAACCTCCCCATCACCAAGCCGAGCGCAAAAGCAGCATCTGCAATTCCACTCTTTCTCGCCTTTCTTTCCCCTCAACTCGCACCCCTACAGTTTCAATCAGTCTACACAATGGGCCGCGAACTACAAAAGAAGAAGCGCCGCTCCGGCCGCCCCGCCGTCCGCCAGTCAAACAGGACCAAGAAGATCCTCAACCCGCGCGGCAACTCTGTCATTGCGAAGAATTGGTACGCCGCACTTGTCCGCCGAAAATCTTCCCAAACTACAGCCCAACTAACTGTCAATTCCTTATTATTATACAGGGACAAGAACGAGACGCTGGCACAAAACTACCGCCGACTAGGCCTCCTCGCACGCCTCAAGACCCCCACCGGCGGCACCGAAAAGAAGCTCTCCTCAGAACAATCATCATCCTCCTCCTCAGCGCCCCTCGCGACAACGACGTCAAAACCAGACCCCTTCGCCATCGCGACAGCCGAAAAGGCCATTCTCTCCGAAGCCAAGGTCGAGCGCGACGCGGCCGGCAACATCGTCCGCGTCCTCGGCCGCAAGGCGAACCCGCTGAATGACCCGCTCAACGAGCTCGACTCCTCGTCCGAGCAGGAGGATGACGGCGACGACGGCGAGGAATGGGGCGGCATCAACGATGACGGCGTCGGCACGACGGAGGTGGTCAAGTCGCTCATCGAAGAGGCCAAGAACCCGGCGCCGCCCAAGGTTCGGTACCTGAGCGAGCGCGAGACGGAGTGGTTGGAGTCGCTGGTGGCCAAGTATGGGGACGATACGAGGGCCATGGCGAGGGACATGAAGCTCAACCCTATGCAGCAGACGGCGGCCGATATCGCGAAGAGGCTGAAGAAGTTGAAGGCGCAAAAGGAGTAGAGCGTTGGGTGGTGGACTTTCTCGATTTTACTAATTGTTGTTGTTTCTAAACACATGTACATGCGCTGCAAAGGCCAAGATGGGTGCATTATAAATACGGCGTTGGGGTCGTTTGAATATCAAGATCAAGGTGGTCATTCATTCATCGGATAATTACCGTAACCGCCTCTCACATGTGCCTGATGTAGTAGGAGAACAATCAAGGACTACAAGTTACGATTCGTGTGTGAATTCCGGCCTTTCTATATACACCCTGGTATCTCATCAACCTTTCGTCATGTTGTAGATGCCTCCAAACAAGAGTAAATAAGGAAAGGAAAAAAAAAAATAAACGGGATGCCGTCCAACGCCGTAGACATACTTCTACCCCAAGCAAACAAAAGCATCCAGGCCCACTAGAGAGATCCTCCCCAGGTTTATATAGTTGGGTTCATCTGTCCAAAGTTTCATTGATAGTGCCCGCTACCGTCGTCATACATCTTCCTTTTATAGCATTGTGCCTGTCATGAGTTTCTTTCATCCCGGTTCTCTCCTTTAGTGCTCTATCCGATCATAGTCAGCAGAGGGAAACAGGACTGGGCCATCGGCATAAGTGTCTGAGTGGTTGCCGCTGTACGGTCCAGGCGAAGGCGTCTTGTGCTTGGCAAAGTCGGTGCCGAGAGTACTTCCGTGGTACTCCGTCTCGCTGTCGAACAGGGGGTTGCTGTTGCTGCGAGGGGGGAGAGCGCCGTAGCGGTTAGGGTCGTCAAAGTCATCGGCGTTGTAAGGACGGTTGTCGCCGTAGCGGCTGTTCATGCTGGTGTTGTTATCGTCGTAACCGGGGGCATCGTGGTCGTCCATGTTGACTCGCTCGTAGGCCTCGTCGTCGTGGGGAGCCATGGAAAAGGCAGCCTTGTCGGGGTCGATGTTGTCGCTACCGCCAATCTTGCGGCTGTCGTAGCCAGGGAGACTGCCGTGGAAGTTGTAGTACTGCAAGGTGTAGGCACTGAGAAAAGCGGTTCCTATCCAGAGGAGACTGTGGTGGACACATGAGTGAGTCCATAATATTCAAACATATTCGGGGGGCTTTGTCCTCATATCGTGGAAGGAATACGTACGTCGCAAATACACCGGCGGCAACGACGGCCTTGCTGATGCCACAGCTGCCGCCGCACTGGCCAGAGCTGTTGTAGGCCGCCTGGGTAGAAAAGGCAGAGAGCCAGATGATGATGTAGAGGCCATCGACAGCCAGCATCACATATGGGTTGGCAAATCTGCGAGTGCGCTCAAACCGAGGAGTCATGATGAGGTAGATCCAGCCCGGGATGGAGAGGAAGCACTGAGGGAAAGGGATAGAACGTTAGCGCCCGACTCGTGTTCTCTTTCGAGGAGCTGTCTGGCCCTCTGCGCTGCGCAGACACTTACCACTGCGAAAGTCCATCCGTTCAGGCCCACGATGCGAGAAGTCTCGCCGCGGAAGACTGCAATCTCCAAGCAAAACACCAAGAAGCCCAGGACGATCTGGAACGAGTGAAGGCCCAGCTTCAGATTCGGCAGAATCTGGGGGTCGATTTCGAAGAGCGCCATGGTGCCGACGTCGCAGCGGTCGGCAGAGGGGCTGGTTGTTCAAGGACGAGAGACAAGGCTCGCACGATGTCTCGAGCAAGGCGCAACGATCGGAGGAAACGTGGATAGTCAAAACTGGTGGTTTGCGCAGCAGAGAGAAAAGGTCGCTGCTTTTCTGTGGCCGCCGCACCGGGAGATCAGCAGCAAAAGGTGGGAAAGCCTGGGCTGGCTGGAAGCTAGCAGGACTGAGGCTGAGCGGGATGGCGGCTGGCCTCCGTTTATGGTCAGCGGCTACCAGAGGTCCGGTAGGTAAGCTGATCGTATGTACCGGATCAGGGACAGGGACCTTTGTTTGCGCTTTGGCGTCGGTAACGGCAACAAGATTCGGTCGGAGCGGAAGAAGCGCGAGGGAGCAAGAGACAAACAAACGACTCTGTCCAGGCACTTTGTTGAGAGAAGTAACGCTGTTTGAGTGGAAGAAGAACGAAGAAACGCAGCGGTTTCAAGCAAGGAAAAAGGATGGCGGGGGAGGGTCGGGTCAGCTCTCATGGAGCCACGCGTTGCGGCAGGCCAGGCTATTGACATGATTGACCTCTAGCTGGGCTTTGGTTTGCCTGGGCTGGAGATCGGATTGAGCCTGAGCCACACAGCCACAGCCGCGGGCTTACTCTGGGGGTGTGGGTGATGCTTGGAGGCTGCGCCACGCCGTTTGATGGTTTATTACTGTACTGGAATCGATATCCAATGAATGCTTGTTGGTTCTGGTTTCCAATGCCCGGATTAATATTGGTGTGTTTCTCTTGTGGTTCGTTACCGAAACCTGTATTCTGTTGCATCACCAGAGACAAAAGGGAGCCCGCTGAGACTGAGGCTGAAGCTGAGCGGAACTCGCTTGGGCCTGGTCTCGGCATTAACGCACTGGGCCCTGCATTGTTAGGTGACCTTGAAGTGACAGTACTTTGACTTTTTCGCACTGAGGAGGGCTCGTATCGACAACACTAAGGTAGGAATGCGAACAGTCCCTACGTCATTGCCCCATGATCCATCTTGCCCACCAGCTTCACATGGGAAAAAACAGCTTCATCAGCCAATACTACGTACTAGAACGCGACGACGGAGTTGCAGTTGACTACCTCGCCCGCTTCGACATTGGCTTCGAGGCATTTCCATGTTACCTGCGGTGACGCTGCTCTCAACCATCCATTCCTGCATGCTGGACTTCACCATCGGGGGCATCATCGAGCTGCCGGAAGGCCCCCCGGATCGCACCCCTTCTGCTCGCCATATTAGCGGTTCTCCGGAGAGAAGACTGCTCAGCCCAGTATGAGAGTAATGCAGTGTTGACCCTAGAGAACCTTATCTTTGTTATGCTTCACGGCTCCTGCCGCTGGTGAGCGTCTGCTGTCAGCATCTGAAGTCTTTTCCATGGCTGAATGATTACACGTATAACTCTCTCTTCTTAAGATACCTCTACTAAAGGTAGCCGTCGTGGACTAGGTAGGTAGGTACAAATCTATCCAAAATGCAATACAGGAGTGGTTACTCCAAATTAAAAGTGCTCAGGTACCTAGACAAAGAAACAGGGAGCTATAGAAGAAATTATAGCAAACAGATTATACGCCAGTCATCTTCACCGTCTAGAAAGAGTCTCGTGCAACGTATGCTGCCTCATCAGCGAAACACAAATCAGAGCCCCAATGGCCAGCGCGAGCATGAGGAACCAGACGCCTCTGAAGGCATCCATGAACGAGCTCAGCACCCCGTCATGCCATCCCGGCGGCAGGTGCTTGAGAAAATTGAGGTCATCGCGAATCTTTTGGATGATTTCCGCTGCGTGTGGCTCGTCGCCGAAGCGCTTCCACAAGCGGTCGTTGAGCACGTTCTGGTAGACGGCTGAACTGACTGTGATGCCAATCGTACCGCCCAGACTCCGAGCAAGGTCTGACGGTGTCAGCGTTAGTATAACATCCCGTTGCGATGAGGCGAGGAAACTTACAGGTTGCTGAGGTGATGACTGCCTGCTTACTGTGATCAACGGCCGCGATTGCTGCTAGCAGCGTCGTTGTTAACATCGAACCATATCCTCCTCCGAGCAGGAAGACTGCAACCATCGTCGCTTCAGCGGGAGTGCTCTCATTCTGTGTAGCGTAGATGAGGATTCCAGAGATAATCATGAGCAGACTGCCAATGCCCAGGCCAATATATCGGCCGGTCTTCTTCATGATGTACCCGGCCCCGACGGAGCAGATTGAGATACCGATAGGAGAGGGCAGAATTTTGAGCCCCGAAACTGTTGGCGAGTCGCCGCGGACTTGAAGATACAGCGGAACATAGAAAACGCTCGCCATGACTACCATGGTCGACAGAAAGTTACACATGCAGGCGGACAATAGGGTGCGGTCCAGGAGGAGCCGGACGGGAATGATTGGCTGCGTCGCTCTGCTTTCCCACCAAAGGAAGCCGGCAAACGCGACAAGGGAGAGCGGGATCGTCGTGAGCGGTAGGGGATGGGTCCAAGGGACGATATTTCCTCCGGAATTGACTCCCAGCAGCAGAAGGATAAGGAAGGACACCGTCAGGAAGACGCCGCCAAAGTCGATGCGCGCAAGGTACGACTTGTCCGACTGCTTGGGCGGCACCCTGACGAGGATACCTACGGCCACGGCAGAAACTATCGCCGGAGGAAACTGGACGAGAAAGGCCATTCTCCAGCCGAACTTCGAATGGTCGTTCATCAAGCCTCCAAAAACTCCGCCCAGCATTGCGCCAGAGCCGTAGCAGATGTTGCCAATGCCCTGCACCACGCCTCGGCTGCGCAGGGGGATCAGGTCAGATCCCAGAAAGGTCGAAATGCTCATCAGGCCGCCGCCGCCGATGCCCGCGACGACGCGGCCCAGGATCATGACGCTGGAGCTCTGCGCCAGGCCGCAGATGAGGTTGCCGGCGGCGAAGAAGACGTTGCTGAAGACGAGGCCGGGCCCGCGCCCGAATATGTCGGTCAGGCGGCCTGAAATTGGCTGACAGGCGGCGTTAGAGACGAGGTAGGCGGTGGCGAGCCAGGAGAGCAGGCTGAGGGACTGGAAGTCGCTCGAGATGGGCGCCGACAGCGTGGCGATGATGGAAGAGTCGATGGCGCCTAGGAAGACCCCAAAATAGGTGATACCCATGATGAGGCACAGCCGGGAGAAGGACACTTCCTCGGCCAGCACCGTCGTCTCCTCCTCCTGCTGGTCATCGCCGTTGCTGTTGACGTCGCCCGCTAGCAGCCTCTGGTTTTCAACCTCGCTCTCGGTGCGCCGATGCCGCTCGAGAATGGCCGCTGCTGCTGCTGCCGCTCCTGTCAACTCGCTGCCGCCGCCAGTTTTGAATCCATTCCCGCGACCATCTGAAGATCCATACGCAGATCCGGATCCCAGGAGCGGCGTGCGTTCCGACTCGACTTGTTGTGCAGGCATCGTCGACGTCTCGTGAGCCCCCGTCAATCAGCTCTCCGGTAGTCGACTATGAAACAGCCAATGGATAAACTGGTGGTGATATATCCAAAGTGTTATGGTGCTGACATATCTCAGAACCTAATCTCGATGGTTGACTCATACTAGCGGTTTAGTAAAGTTGTGTGGCTGGTGCCGCGGAACCGGGAGAAAAGTGGCTCAACCTCCGTCGGAACAATCGTGGGGGCGAACGAGGTCCGGGAGTACTGAGACCCAGCTTCGCCTGACATAACACTCATCCCTCTCACTTGCTGGCATACTCATTTCCCTAGCCCTATCACACTCTGATTGTCGAAACCATCGAGAAAGTCGCTCCTAGTCTCGCTCTTAGCACCGGACAGCATCATCTACTTTGAAGAAGGATCAGACCTCACGATCTGTCGGTCGTGGGACCGTCTGGACGAGATGTCTGAAGAACTCCGTCCGGCCGAGGCCGAGAGGGTACTCTTCGCTGGAAAGGAATCACCGTCACTGAGCTGGCTAACGGGAAGATAAGGATCACATTCCCTGGGAATGATGAGTCCATCTCCACGGTGGTGTCAGAAGAAGCAAAGGAAATGATCTGCGAGGCACCCGACCTTGAAAGACAAACCATACACAAGAAAGATTGGGTGATTGTGAAGGTCCTTCCGAGAGGTCGAGACCTTTAAAAGCACTCACAGTTCGACATGGATGGACCTACAAAGAGAACCATCTCGCAGGGTGATCCCACGACAATCTGTGATCTCATCACCTACCCCCAGCTAGCAGACCCATACAATGAAAATGTCTGGGATGACGGACACGAGGCGTCCCCCCATAACACCCGCGGAGAGCGTCCCCGGCTTTCAGTACCGAGTCCCCTACATACATACGCACTCTAAGGTTCCCACCTCAGCTACTTGACATCCTGACAAAGTTCGCCTCCCACTTCCCAGAAGACATGTTAACCATGGACTTGCTGCTGTTGGCACTTATGGCATGGGCAGACATTAAGGTGTCAGCCAAGTCAGCCCAGGAGACGTCTGTCTGGGTGGTGGAGGCCAAAACGAGAACGACTTCAGACGCCTGGGAGTATGGCCGAGTGTCTGCTGCTTTACCCACACTGGTTGAGGTGGGTGGAAGTGATGAAGCTCGCAGAGTACCCCCACCTCTGCCGATACATGAGATGGTTCATGGACCGTGACCGAAGCAGGTCTGGCTTAAATTTTTGCCCTCCTGCAGGGAGTCAGATCTAAGGCTCCCGCTCTAAAGGTCGGCGCCCACTTTATCATACTGCCTCACTAAATGCCCAGCTCCTATATGCCACCTATGCAGAATATCAGTCCTTATATCCCTCTTTATTAAGCTAAGATTTTACTATTAGGTCTTCTTAATATATATCTCTTAATTTTAGTAGTATTATTAATCCTAGTTTTAAATCTAGGCTCTAGGGCTATAATAGCTATAGTATAAAGTAATTAACTATAGTAGCTATAGTAGCTATAGTATAAAATATATAACTATAGTAGCTATAGTATAAAATATATAACTATAGTAGCTATAGTATAAGATATATAGCTATAGTAGCTAGGCGTCTAGCTATACTAGACTAGGAAGTAGTTAAAGGGCTTAAGGGAAGAACCCCTATAGTATTGCTAGAGGTATTAGGGCTATAGAGGCCAGCCACTGCAGTAATAGTAGGAGTGACAGCGGCCTCTGTTGTTATGTCAGTCTCTTGGGCTGATGTCACTGTGTTGAAGTATGAAAGACTTACTGGCCTCCTGCTTGGCATACCTTTTCAGGTATGCCTCCCAGCCCTTAGAGATTCCGCCTGGTTTAATGTCAGCATGGAAATTTAATGACAGCGGTGAATTTCAAGAGCAGTGATAGAGAGCGGCGATGGGAAGCAGTGATGAAGAGCGGCGATGGAGAGCAGTGATAGAGAGCAGTGAATCAGAGACATACTGCGGTGCGTACGGGCAGCGACCTCACGTGCTCTTGCAGCACGGTGACCACGGAGCTCCTCAAGCCGGATGATTTCGAGCATATCTTTTACGATTTGATTCTCCATCTGTACTTCATGGTATCAGCATGTCGTGCAGGACGAGATGAGTACATACTTTGAGAGGATGGCAGAGGAAGACTAGTATCATGTCAGCCCGCAGGGTCACGAAAATGGAAGAGGGGGATACTCGCGAGACACGTGTTTTTGAAAAGAAAAAAAAAATAAGAAGAAAAAAAAAACTGGAACACATGGTCAGCAAAGAACCTTGCACTCGAGAGCAGCAACGCGGGGGGAAACCTGTCGGAGAGGAGGGTTCGGGGAGGAGGTGCGGGTAACATGTTTACCTTGTCGTTGGGCCTGAAGAAGAAGAAGAAGAAGAAAGAGAGAAGAGAAGTCCGAGAGAGGTGGAGGGAGAGAGGGATTTTATACTCGCTCGCAGCATGCTGAGTCACCCAGGCTTCCTCTCTTTCCTTCCTCTTCTCACTCACCTTCCAACTTTCCCATCAGCTTGTGTGCTCGTATGATAGATCTTCTTGCTAAGGTCAAACTTGGCTCCAGGTCGACTGTGACATCTGGGGCCACTGGCGAAAGAGATAGTCCATGAAGTTGAGTGCCCGAGAGCACTTATTTGAATCTCCATAGTCTTGCAATTTATAACATAGAATAATTAGCTAGAGCGCCCGGAACGTCTAAGAGACCTGCAATCATGTAGATGGACGGTGAGTCGAATCTCCCCGCAATTGACCAAGAGAGAGGACCACGCCAACCGAGATCCGTCCGTGATCCACATTGCATCGCTGTTGTTGAATTGCATCTTCCTGTCTCAATATCCCGAGCGCGGTCTTGCACCTCCATTATCTTGCGAAGCATGACTTAGAAGTCGTTGGAGCTGTGATCTAGTTCAGCCCCAGCCGATTGAATTTGAGTTTTGACAGCGGCGTGCTCTTGACGGGAATAGGCTCGGTACCTGCCGATTGTCGCGCAGGTTTATCGACCTCGATATGGGGCAGGTGACGTACGACGTGGGTACTCGCAAGCCTCTGCCCATTCGGCATGAAGGTCCGTAATCCATGACGAGGTAGTCGGCGAAAGTAGATAAGGTAGTCAACAGTGCATGAGTGACGACCAGAATGTTCAGAGAAGGGTGCAAGTATTCTCCCAGATACTACCACGTACCTCCATTATTTCATATCGAAGCTTCAAGAATTGAATCTGTGCTTCACAAGCCCTTGCAACCCTCCGATAGATACTCGTAAGCTGTTGGGCTACCTGCCCTGGAGACCTCGTTCTCGCACCACCAGGCTACCTTACATTTAGCAGATCTAGACCAATTCGCTTACCCCGCCAATCAAGGTTGACAGGTCAGGCGTGCCTGGCGATTATTCTGAAGTTTATCTTCAGCGAACCTTGTGGGGCACGCCATTCATTGCATGTAGGTATGTAGACATCAAGATATCAGTCAAGCGAAGAGTTGCTACTCCAGCAATGAAGACGGCTCTGGGTGCATCTTGCAATGTGACTACACAATCCTTGGTTATCTCTTGTTGTAGGCTGTAGATTGCATTCCCATGTCTACCTTAGTTGAGGCTGCACCGTCCAGAGTATCATGCTCGTGAGCTTCTCTCCTCGTATCAGATTACATGTATACCATATAGTAGCAATTGCACACGAATTTTGCGCCCCATTGCCATTTTTAAAACAACGCAATCAGACGTCTGCCAGCAAGCAGAGCTGTTGAGACTCACGACGTGCAGCCATTCATTTGTCCTTTGTTTTATTTGTTTCCCTTTGTCCTTGCCAGCAGCACCAGCAGCACTAGTATAAGGTGCGGCAGCACCAGCAGATTGTAGCTCTAGAAGGAGACTAGGACATGGAGGGCGTACGCCCCTAACAAGAAGAGACCCATGCGCAAGAAGAAAAGACAGCGGAATAAGAGAAAAAGCAAGAGCAAGAAGAAGCAGAAGGAGGAGATAAAGAAGACTATAAAGAGCAAGCGCTCTCCTATATAGGACATGATGATGTGGATGTTAACCTTGGGGTGGGGGCTCGAGTGCCGATGGGTTGAGACTCTGTGGGGATTGACGGGTCGATGCTAACAAGAGCGCTGATCGAGGATCTAAGTTATGTTCGAGCTATTGTATACTGACGGAGGATCATATATTTGCCCTTGGTCAGTTCTTCCACAACAGTGTTGCCGTTCTTCATTCCGAAACATTGTAACGAGCTATACTGCAGCTGTGGATCCAATGCCAGTGTTTTACACGCACGCCTCTATTCTCTTCTCTCGTCTGCACGCATCGTGCGAGCCGTAGGTTGGAGAGTGTTGCTTCCCTTGTCTCGGCGATTAATGTTGACAGCGCGCTTAGATCAGTTCCGCGTATAAGGAGGATGTGTAATACAAGGTACATACATACATACGTGTACGAGTACCGTGATGGCGGTTCCTCGGGCCGTGATGCCGAGCCGAGGGTGGGGCCGGGGTGGGGGTGGGGGGGGATGGACTCCCAATGGCTTCAAGCGGTCGACACACGATCCGGGAAACAGGAATTTGATAGCATGTCAAGCGGCAAATTGGGACTGTAACAAGTTGTGTCGTATTTATGTAGTGTTACCAATCAGCAAACGGGTTCCCATCATATGCGCATCGCCGAAAAGACAAAAACTGGATACGCGTAAGCCGACGCTCTAAGCTGGCATCGCTCTCTTCTATATACATATAAAGGACGAAAGACGTAGCACACAGATACAGAGGGCGATTGATAATCCCCTTGAACCGGCATCGAGGTATTAGATACTATCGACTAACAATAAAGCTTTTGTAGAAACGAAGGACAAGAAACTAAACAAATAAGAGCCGGCCACACATTGCCCGTGGTGCCAGCGCCTCGGCCGAATAACTAGCAGGGGACATTGTATAATATATAGTGGTAACAGGGGTAAAGGACAGTGTTGAAGATTAAAATCATTTTTTTCTCTTCATGGAAACAGGGTATCATGGAGCCGTCCAGAGCAGCCTCGTTCATGTGCAGTTCGCGTCCCGTCATTGTCCACACGCTCCTAATTACCCCAACCGCCGTTCTTGCTATCAGTATCGCTGATGGAGCGGTTGTCGTTCGTCGTTATCGTGACGCGGGTGGTTCGAGTAATGGCCTGTCCGTGAGATCCAGCGTGAAGATGCTCCGTCGACTCGGACAGGTTCTTCATGTTCATGCCCTCCTCCTCGAGCTGGTAGTAGTCCTTGTTGGCCGAGACAGACGTCTTGGTGTTGCCGCCGCGGGCGAAGCTGCTGCCGGTGTGCTTGGAATTACTGCCGGAGTGCATCATGCCGGTGCCCTTCTTGAGGGCCGGGATGATGCCGGCTTCCTGGATGATCTTGGGGAGGCAAGGGACGCAGAGAATGAAGAAACCGCACGTCTGCTCAGCACTGGCCCAAAAAACTATAGGACCTAAAGAGCTGTTAGCTTTTAGTTATCTGGGGTAATGGAATATATATAGAGGACCTAAGGAATAGATGCTGTCTGGATCTGCCCCGTGTTGAATGGTGACGTCGAGTCGGAACGCTGCGGCAACAATGGCGCTGGGGGGAGGAGAGTTGTCAGTTTGGTCTGAATTCTTCAGGCTGCGGGACGAAGCATGGGGGAATAAGTGTACGTACAGGATACCCATGCTGAAGATGGATGCAACACCGAGTCTCTTCTGCCAGGACATCTTCAGAGTCCAGATGGTGTGCTGAGGCAGACAGAACATAGCAAGGTCGGACCCCAGCTGGATGCTTGCCGAGATGACCTGCAGATAGAACAGGTTGAAGCATTTGCCCTCCACTCTGAAGTCCCAGATACGCTCATGAGGAGTGCACTGCAGATTCAGCGCAATGGCAATGGCGATTCCAGAAGTGACTTGTATAAACGAGATCACACAGACGCCCCAGAAAAAGGGGCTTTTTGCCTTGTTAGTAGGGACAAAGAGCCGAATCCACTCAATCATAATCGCAACTTTCAGGAGCGGTAGTACGATGGAGTAAAAGACACCGTAGACGAAGACCCACTGGGTTGTTTCTCATGAGTTAGCTGTTGTGCGTGGAAGATGTTGGATATAGAAGCCTACGGACGTATGTAGTTGGAACCACGTCGATCAAACGAACATTCCACGTATGGACCATGTAGCCTGGATACTTGAGCATCTTGAAGCTTGAGAAGATCGCCCCAAACTTTCAAAGGTTAGCTGTCATGCATGGAAGCTGTTGGAATCGAAGATGACCTACGTAATTGCCCTAGAGAACAAAATCGACGAGTGGTCAGTCAAGGGAGCTTCTCTCGCCTCCTTCACAGTGGTTGATTAGACGAACATATGCCAATATAGCCATCACTGTAACGCAAAAGAGTCAGCAAGCCCATCTATCACCTGCGACATATTCATGTTCCGTGCGAGTCTGGACGTTTGAGATTTCCAAGACTTCAGCGGGAGGGAAACACTCACTTTCTTCTGCTTGAAACTTTTTCAGCATCACGACACGGCCGTACATTCGGAGGAGGAAGAATATCGTGGTGATTACGAAAGTTCCCACCTGAACTCCCAAGGCGAGGTGGTTGCTGTTTGGCGGGTTGTCAAGATTCGAGACCTCGCCAGGAGGTGGAGGCATGGCAGGACCTTGCAGAGGATCCATGATGAATGTGGTTTTGGAGACTTTTCGGAAGTGGTCAAAAAGAGCGTATAAGTGAAGATGGGATAGAGGACCTCCTCTGTTCCTGGAGCTAACGAAGGACGATTGCGAAGGTGAAGAGAGAAAGCCCCAGAGCAAACAGAGTCAACTGCTGCGCGCCGCGCCTTGATCAGAAAACTTTTTGCTTGAGATTTTTCTTCTCCTTCCTCTTCTTCAAGGTTCAGGCTCGTGGAAGTGGGCGGGTCTCGTTTAAAGATAAAGTTGTCAAAGGGAATGGACTGTGTTGAAGATCAGGAGGCAAAAAGATTGCTCCAGACCTCCTCCTCATTCCTTTTTTGTTTTTTGCCTTTCCTTCCTTTTTCTCTTGCACGAACGGCACATAGTAAAACAAGGCAGTACGGAAATGATCTTCCTGCTTGCTCGGCTGCACCTATTATTACGGCCAACGGGCCAATACTACCATGGATCCGGGATTCGAAACCGACATGGTCAGGCCACTCAGACTGCTTACAGTCAGGTGAAAGACTGGGGTCACAGAACAAGGACGCAAGACAAACTCGGCATGGTCGAGTCTTCTCTGAATGGGGCATTTCGGGTCCTGTTCAAAGTTGCCTGGTTGACTGGCGAGACTCTGTCCAGGTAATACGAAGTACACACTCTCTTTCTTGTGAACTTTTGGCTCGGCCATTCTGCATTAGCCTGGTTTCCACTCCATGCCGTCTTCTCTCCTGGGTAAGACGCCTGAAAAAGGAATACGTTGATCGACCTCCTGAGATGACCCTTCAATGACAGTGATATCCTTTGATCTACATCGACCCGAAGTGAGGAGAAATCAAATCAAGTTCGCTTATCCTCTTGATCCCCCAGTCTTTGCGGGTGGCAAGCGGACAACAGACAGACATCAACAGGGAATAGGCAAAAAGTCCAAGCACACGACGAAAACTGGAAGACGTCCGTATTACGGTATTAAGACGGGAGGAGTCTTCCTCCTGCTCTCGGGTTGCCTCACCGTATGCGCGTACTCACCCTCCAAGTCCCTCTTTTTTTTCTCAAACTGCGCAGTAAGTTATCGTCTAAGTGACTTTGCATGTGCCTTGCGCGAATTTGTTGGACCCCCCTGGTCCGGCATTCATCTATGAAGTGAACTAGCTTCCCACCTTTTTCCAGGCTAATGCAGCAACCTCTCTTCCGGAAAGCAAAACCGAGCTAAGGGAGCCGGGATATGGGATATCGCTTCGACTTAGAGCCGGGGCGGGACGACCGCGTAAAGTCGCGGCTTGTGGGAACGGAGTGGCAAGGGGTCCAAAAGTGCCCAGAGAGCTGCCGAGCGGTCTTGTCTTGCCCGCGCCGTTGAAGAAGGGGGGAGCTCGTGCTCGCACCTGCAAGCCATCTGCCGGCTGAGACAATGCGGAGAGAGGTGCTGTATTAAGTAGGTTGCCGCTAAATAAGAGCAAAGGAAACGTGTGCCGGAGCTATTCGACGTTGATATCGGCATGTGTAGCATCGATGCCACCACCCACCCGACGCTGTCAAGTGTCATGCAGAAAAACGCCACCTCGCCTCTCCCAACATACAAAATAGAAACAAAAAAGGGGGGACTTTGTACGTATGCATTTGTGCTTTTCTCCCTGTGTGCTGGGCCTGCAAGCTGAGCAAACCCCCCCTTGAAAGCTCCACCATCAAGAGACGCAGCCGCACCGCGGCGGTTGTTCCGCGCCACTTCGGCTTGATGCTACATTGCAGAGGAGCCGTTGACCCGGGTTCATGAAGCTTGCCAGGGTTCTCGTTGCCGGCCATATCAACTCGTAGTGTTGCCTGGCCTGCAGCTCCTCCTCCTGAATCCCCGCTCACGGCTGGCACCAAGCTTTCACCGCAAACAATGCTGGAGTCAAACTGGGGATATCTCGGGACTATCACATCTGACAAAGTCGGTCTCAAGGCCTTGTCGCTTGGGGTCGCATAAAGCAAGTTATCAAACGCTGAGCTAGTGTCTCTGTGCCAGAACGGTGGCTGGCTCAGGGGTAGCACCAGCGAGGCCCCAAAGGATCAGCTCAACGGAGTGCGGGTTGTTGATATCGATACCGCCACGAGTCCGAAGAGGTAGGTTGGTGGTATATATTAGAGGCCAGAAAGGAGAAGTCGAGAACAACAAAAGTCGGAAAGACGCAGAGGAAAAAGGAAAGATTGTACCAATCCCTCCTACAATACCTACCTAACGCTTCCCATCCCCTCTTTGTCACCACCTCCTCCTTTCCCGGTCCATTCGCTCTTACTCAATTACAACAAAGTCAGCCAAAAACATGGCCCCAAAGCAGGAAGTCTTTCATCTTCACCCTCATGGGTGGGAGAACGATCCCGCAAGCGGGGAAAAATTCCAACTTTCGACTCTGGACTATCTTACAGCTATGTCGTACAACAACTACTGCCTCTTCTTCAAGATGGACGACGCTATGAAGCCTCGGGCCGTGGAGACCATGAAGGAGGGCCTTGAGCGGACACTTGCTCAGGCGAGGCACCTGTGCTGCACCATTGAGAAGAAGGAGTCGGGCAGCGGCTACGAATACGTCAAGACCAAGGACAGCACGGTCCGTCTGTTCGTGCAGTATCTCGATGCCCCCGAGGACGCGGACAAGTACCCGTCCCTGGAGGATATTGAGAAGGCCAACTTCAGCGCCGTTGCCCTGGGCGACCTTAAGCTCTGGAGTGTCGAGCCGATGACCTACGGCGAGAAGCCCGAGGCTCACCCCGATAATCATCCCGTCGTGGCAGCATTCAAGATGAACTTCGTCCGGGGTGGATTGGTATTAATCCTTCATCACCACCATTACGCCGCGGACGTGATGGGGTGGGCGGGTTACACCCGGCAGCTGGCAGAGAACTGCTTCGCCGCGTTCAACAAGACCGAGTTCCCCTCGTGGGACCCAAAGAATCTGGACCTTTCCCTGCTCTGCAAGCCGGAGCCCCCTGAGGACCAGAAGATTGACGGTCCTCCTGCTCCGGAGCGCCACCCTGACCACGTCCAGGGTGTCTGCTTGCTCTTCCACCTGCCCAAGAGCAAGGCCGCCGAGCTGAAGAAGTTGGCCCAGCCGGAGGAGGGCCAGCCGTGGATTTCCACGTACGACGCCTTTGTGGCCTACATCTGGCGCTCCATCACGCGCATCCGCGCCCCCGTCTTCAACCCCGACCCAGACTCGAAGCTCTTCCTGTGCGAGGCCGTCGACATGCGACGGCGCTTCACCAACCCCAGTGTCCCTCCGCGGATCCGGGGCAATGTCATGTTCGCGGCCCTGTCCACGACGGCCCCTGTCGAGGCGCCCACGGCGGCCCAGATCATGTCCGAGTGGCCGCTGTCCAAGCTGGCGCAGTACATCCGCGCCCTGACCAACAGCGTCACCCAGGAGAGCCTGGACAAGACGCTGGAGATGGTGGCCACCATCAAGGACAAGACGTCGCTCAACATCCGCATCGACTCCCTGCCGCCCTTGTCGGTCCTCTTCACTGACCACCGCGATGCCATCATGTCGACGTCGGACTTTGGCTTCGGCAGGCCCATCACCTACCGCCACCTCACGGACCGCGTGACGGAGGGCGTCATCCTCATCTACCCCCCTCGCAGCAGCGATCCCGCCTCCGACGAGGGCCCCGAGTTCTCCTTCTTCTACGAGAAGAGGCTGGCGCAGGACCTCATTGAGGACAAGGAGTTTAGCAAGTACTTTGAGTACAGAGGCGTTGATGCGGAGGACGCCACTGCCCCGGCCCTCCTCAACTGATACCCCCCTTTGGGCTGGGGCTGCACCTTGTTCAATGACTTCCTTCTTTACTATTTGAGCAGGCATATGATGTGTCACGGAATGATCAGACTGGGATGATGTTTGGACAATCTTACATACAAGTACTTTGTAATTAATACATACACGATGAATCCATGCAAACCCTCGTCTTGTTCGTACTGTGCATGTAACTCGATGGCCCTCCATGGGTGCCTGGGACCTGGGACTTAACCCTCGCCCTGAATAAATCCCAGAGTGGTATCTCCCGAAGCCCGTGTGTCTGGAGGAGCCGATGCGACATGTTACGTGGAGGCTCGCGTTGCGTTGTGGTAGCGTGATGGCATCATGCAAGTATCGGACGATTCCTGCTTTCAACGTCTCTCGTGATGGTTCCTTTCTTTTTCTTCTCACTGGGGCCCCCATCGAAGGCAGACAAGTGTACAGCTTGGTTTTAACCTTGCCAATTCCGACTGCACTCAGGTTACAAATGGTCACCGCTTCTATGATCCGTCTGCATACTGCAGTACAAGTCGTTGTCTCGAGCCATAAGCGGCTGTGGCTTGATACCCCGGTCACGATGGCAAGGGATTCGGCGGCATTCGAGAACATGTAAGAGACCTAGGTTTCGGCAATGAAATTCCCCGTCGAGGGCAATTCTGGTGCCCGGGATTGTTCAAATCGGCATCGGCATCAAATTTCTGATTCCCGAGGGTATTAATGTCTCACTTAGTTGAAGACAGAGTCCACGTCTGCAAGTAATTATCGTGCTCTTTTTTTGCCTTAGCAACCCCCTCCCCTCTCTCCTCTGCGTTACAACCAGGCAACACAGGCTTTGCACGGCAACCTTCAATGTCGGTCAAGACAAAGGGACACGCCAAGCATGCAGAGCGCGGATTTCGCATCTGCTGTTGGCCACAGAACAGACAGACGAGTTGGAATATCACGGGACAGCTGTTAATACTAGTATACTAGCCGAAGCTAGGGCGTGGGTCGAAGGATTCAGGGGGGGGAACAAGACAAACAGACCTTTACCGGTTGCAGTCAAGCTCAAGTGCCGAGCCGAAACCTGCATCCTTGTTCCCTGCAGGTTTAGCAGCGTCAACTAGTATTAACGGCAAAGCTCTTCTCTTCTCTCTTTGCTTCTTCCCAGCTTCTTCTTCGCCTACTCTCTTCATCTTCTCTCTTTCCCCCCCTCACTCAACGTTTAGTATTATCAGACTTGTTCTCTCTGAGCACGTTTCACCATGTCGTCCAAATAGTCTAGCGTTGCCTGCAAGAAAGCGGACACTCGGACTCAACTTTATCGTCTAAGCCTCTTGTCGATCACCTTGTTTTTAGCACCGGCGACGAGTTTCCAGGCTCCCGTTATGGAGTCTGGAACAGATCCAGCAACTCCAACCTTGGCCAGGGGATCTTAAGCCGTTGAGCAAAGTTCCCCTGCCCATCCTTTCCCCCTTTTTTTCTTTCCCTCATCAGCTTGTTATGGAAGGGATCTTCGTTGAGAAACTCGGGGCAAGGCAGGGGACAAGAAAGTGGATGCACGACTCCCGTATGTAAGAAATATGGTAAGGTTGTATACCTATGTGTGGAAGCATGTGATGATACTTGTTATCAGTTGTAGGCGGATAATTATACGGTGTGTAATACATGTGGTTCCTGAATTGCAGCGGCATGACATTCTCGTACTTGCGCCTACTACTTTACTCAATCCGCCAGCAAATAGATACTTGATATAACCCTACAGAGTCATCTCTTTCCAGTAGATCCTCACAAATTTGATCTTCTGGATGAACCAGTCGCCATCCTTGAGCTTCCACGTCTCAAAGTAGTGTCCTCCACCGGTGCCATGTAATCCCTTATCTACCTCCTTCGTTCCCACGAAATACTGGACCCCAAACACGGCACTGATCTCGTCCGGGGCCACCAGCTCCAGCTCGGGATATCCAACGACGTGCATTGTCTGGATGGGGGCAAACGTCTTGCTAAAGTAGGCGACCCAGTCCGCGAGCGAGGTCCAGTGGTAGTCGGTGTCGTTGATGTGGATGACGGCGTCCTTGTCGTCGACTGCCTTGAACTCGAAGTCGGGCAGAAAGACCTCGTCGGCCAGATGCCACGCGTTAGAATCCGCCAAGCGGCAGTATTTTGCCTTCTTCCGTACTATCGTTTCCGCAGCGCCGGCGGGAAGTTCGAGAGCCATGGTGCTGATCGGGACGAGTGTGGAAGGTCGTCGAACGAGGCTTTACACGTAATGATGCTGTAACGGCGGTAACAATAGTGGTTACAGGTTGATCAGTGACGAGATAGCGTGAGTACTATGTACAGTACTCCTCTTCACACTTGTAGCCAGCTAGGTATGCAAACGCAGAGTGAGAAAGCCTCTCCCCTACGAATGCTGGTCGAGCTTGTTGAACTGTTGGCTGGCGTGCTGCTGTTATATCTCTGAAAGCCTTCCTACTGTTACTAAAGAACCATGGCAACTGCACCTTTAACCAACAGCATTGCAAACAAGAGCCAACGACTGGTTCGCATGAAGTCCGAACCCTTACCAACTCGCAGTGAGAGGAGAACCTATCACAGAAACATGACTCTCAACCATCCTTCCTTTGGACAACGCGGTACGCACTGCATATACCTACGTGTACAACTACTACTGCAACCGTGTGAAAACGGAAAGCCTAGATGCAGTACTCCGTACAAGGACTGTCTGAAGGATTGCCAAGGCAAGCAACTGACGAATCGCTTCGCCGCCCAGGGAGATGGGACTTCATCAGAGGCGCAACATGACCCTGGTAACTGGAGCCCATATGCGGAGCATCCTGGACAAAGCCAGGGGGGGCGGCTGGGCTGACAATAAGCGACCCATGCTGGCTTCCTGAAAGACTCCAAGGGGTCGCAACTGCGGGAAAAAGGCACAGAGGCGAGACGAATTTCCTCTCAGAGAAAATCGCCAGTCTCCCGAGAATGCGGCATGTATTCCGTATCCGTACCCTGGCGAAGAATGAAGTCGGAGCTGCCAAAAGCGAAGCGCCAAAAGTGTATGTACATGTATGCACTTGAGATGGTTGTTGGTTACACAAGTTGACCACCCCCCCTTTTTTTAAATAGAGTGTCGCATTCTGCGATTGAGTTGCCGATATCGACCTGCACATAAACTGTCGAGTGACGAATTAGGCATTTAGCAGCTTTTAGCAGAGATGCGGTTCCTGTGTCTCCATGGCCGCGGAACCTCTGCCCAGGTAACGTTGAGAATGAATGTTTGCCGCGGAAGGGTATTAGCTAACGATGACCCTTGTCGACTAGATTTTCGAGTTGCAGACTGGTGAGTTTTCGTGGGCGTTGCATCTGCTGGTTCGCCGCCTCTATGCATGTACTGGCATAACTGGCACGAATTTCTACTTATAACAGTGCTAACATATTGATACTCTGTTGCTTCGACTCTAGCTAGACTCCGAGAACAACTCAGTGACCATGAGTTTGTCTTTATTGATGGCATTGTTGAGACAGAACCTAGCGAAGGTGAGCTTTCCACCACATCCATTACCTACCCTGAAAGAAAAAAAAGAAAAAAGAAAATAAGATCCCACGTCTTGTGGAAAACCTCGCCTTGGCATCTAATCAAGGTCGACTCTGCAGGGGCCGAGGCCGTAGCCGACGAGTTCTTCGGCTGGTTCGACCAGCCCGTCACCCCAGCCCATACGCGGCAGCTCCTGCTGGGCCTCATCGACTTCATCACTGCCGAAGGGCCTTTCCAGGGGCTCATGGGCTTCTCAGAAGGCGGTATCGTCGCGGCGATGCTGCTTACGCACGACGCCCGAAGCTCCTTCGCGGGCCTCGAGTGCGGTATCCTGATGAGCGCGGCGCCGCCGCTGGACCCGGCCGGGATCCTCGAGGAGGATCCGCCGACGCTTCGATGCCTGACCCCTGCCGGCGTCGTCGACGGAACCGCGATCCGCGTCCCCACGGCCCATGTCATTGGCTCCAACGAGCCGTTTGCCCACTTGGTGTCGCTGTCGCCCCTGGCCGGCGTCCTGATCAGCAGCGGCCTGGAGGATCCGGAGGAGCTGCACCAGCTGCTGTTTCAACTGTGCGACGGCTCGCGGCGGGAGAGGTTCTTTCACCAGCTGGGGCATGAGGTGCCGGGGGCCAGGTTGGACGAGGGACTGGCGGGCACGGTCCGGGTCATTGAGCGGACGATTGAGAGGGCACAGTCGGGATGAAGGGGGCCTGTAATTATTAACGACATGGTACGGGATAAGGCTGGTGTTATCATGTACGATGTGGTACGATGGACATGGAGCAATCTGCCGGTAGTCGTGTTCCACGGTAGTAAAAGGGAGGGATACCTAACAGCAGTCGGTATCGAACGTAGTAGTATTACTGATCACGGTGTGTGCAACATCCCATCCCCTGAAATGAAGCGTGTGGGGAGAGAGACAAGAGGGACAACTTCAGTTGCTACTATTCCAGGAGTCTGGCTAAACGGGAGATGGCTCTTTTCACCCACAAGGGGTATGATATTTCGCAAGTCCTCTTCCCTGCACAAGCAGCAGAGCACAGGCATTACTAGTACATACATGTAAGGTCAGTACAGAAAGAGAATAGTAGACCACAAGCATACATACATACGACCATCTTGCCGATGCCCTAGACTTCTCAACTCTGCCTAATGAGGCCTGTTCACCGTAGTTTCCTCCTCCCTCATATGTACAAGCAGTCCATGGCATCATCTCGTCTACATCCGCCAGCCGCTTCAAGTTCGTCCGTGCCTCGCCTAACACATAGACCTTGCCCTGTCCTGCCAGAGGCTCGGCATTCAACTACCGCTGCACTTTGTAATTGTGGCTGAAAGAGGGACAGAGAGAGGGGGGGGAGCAAGAGAGCAAGATGCAAGTCAGGGTGCTGGCTAGCCTCTCCCTAAATTAAGACCCTCGGCCCTACTTGTGCGTTAGGTCCTAGTAGTGCACGTAACAACAGATGTAACATCTTGTTCTGTCCCGGCTCAACGGGCCGGATCAATCAGTCTGAAGGTGAATGCCGGTCGACAAAGGTCCCAGGATGGTGAACCTGGGACAATCTGATGCCACAACCCGCGACTTGCGAACAGCGAAACAATTGCTGATTGTGGTAGCATAGCCTTTGTGCAGTACACAGCATCAAAGTAAGCCTCTCACAAGCGTTGTCGTAACTTATCATCGTCAACGCAGACCTCTTGTTTCCACCTATGGTAATGATGTATGTATTACGAAGGGCTAAACCAGGAGACTTACTCGTGTTTTACGATCTTTGGCTCGTAATACGATCCCCAAGCCACCAAATCTAACGTCGGTGCCTCAACTGTAGACTCATTTGAAGCACGGTCCGCAAGTTGGCAGAATACCTACTACTAGAAGGAGGGGGGGGGGGGGGGGGGGAGGGGTGAGGAGGAGGAGGAGGAGGGGCGGGCCGCCGGCAAATATCGCAAGCCCCCCCAAAGATGGAGCACCGATGCCAAACCCCGTTTTCACAACTGTGGTCCGGACTCTGTCGTAAATCTGAATCTTTGCCAAATGAAGGGTTCGGTATCTGGATTCCGAAGCGACGGTCACCCGGCAAGACAAAGACAAAGAACAAAAACAAGAAAAAGCAACTTCCCCGGGGTCCAGCGAATGGGCCGACTTCGCTAAGGGATATGGAGCACATAATACCTCACCTACCTTATGTAGTGATGGAGAACAGTCATAGTACTAGTACTGGTATTAGCTACTTTGAAGCTTTTCCGTAGGCGAAGACAGCAGAAGAAGCGAGGCCCAGAGGGCGGCCTTATCGAAGAAAGGCCACGTCAGGATCGTCTCGAACAGGTGATGATCGGGGAAAAGCACGTACGGATATACAGTCCAATCGGCTGTTCAATGACGGCAAATTGATACATCACATACATCATACGAAGCACAGACACCCGCTGCTCCTTTGCTTCGGATCCAAGTACCGGCCCAGGTATCTGGGTTCTGTAATGATAGAACCTCATATGATAGGCCGTGTTTCAGTTTGCACTTGCATCGCGCCATCTTGGGAGGGATATTCGGGGTGGGTTCCGTAGACCGAGATGCTGTCATGATTTGTTACCAACTAACTGGGGCAGGTCTTTCTATCTGCTACTGCTACGCTCGACTATGACCAGGCTGAACTACCTGGTCGTATCAATGGCCTGTTTGCCCACCCTTGTGAGGCCCATTCTCGACCACCACCAGTAATACTGTATGCGGGACGAAATGGGCCAACCTGCTATGCTAAGCCCACTTTCAAGCCTGTACCCCTTACAGATACTGGGTAGCAATACGCAATTCCACCTCTGGAAGTAATACCTAGTCGTACCTATGTGCGGATACATGTACTTGACCGGCCAGTGACGGTGGGGGTCCCTTCGACAAGTGATCGGGGCTGTCCAGTTCCCTGGGCCGTGTCGTTGGGTGCATCTGTACCGGCAGGAGGGATCAGTGACAGCTCAACCAACAGCCCGTCTGTGCGTTCCCCGACTCAATGCATCGATTCTGCATGAATGCTGTTGGGTCTGTCGTTCTAGAAAGAGGAGCTTCGAGATTTGACGTGCCACTGCGGGTTCATGTTGTCAACCAACACACTGGCACGCCAAACCTTAACCCAACACCAGAGAGAAACATATATATAGCTTCTGTCCAAGGAAATCTAAGGGAGAGCAAACCCTGGTGAACCGGATAATGAACAACTACTAGGTAGTCAACTTGTCGTCTAGTACGCTTTGCTAGCCCTCCAAACAACCTGGTTGTAACCGAGAGATCCATCCGGACTTCGTCCCTCCTCCGCCCCGGACACAGCAGGCGCCATGCCAAGGAGGAAGATTATCGTAACTTGTACAAGTAACAAGTAAGCGTGATCCGGGCAGTTAAGTTGCTTTTTCGCCGACTGTGTCGATAGGGGTGATCTATTCCAGGCTCTCGCTTGATCAGATGGAGCAGCTCTTACGGTGTCTGGTCTGCTTTGGAACCTCTTGGAATCTTTGAAGCGCCGACTTAGCCTCCTTGGAGTGTTTTATAAAATTGGGACGCTCGTGTAGACAGAGAAACTGGAAGAGTAGATAAAGGGTATCCCAATCCTCAATCAGGTTCTGGCCGGCTCCCTCATCACTCTTGTACAGATATCAAGGAATTGACCGCCATCACAACAGCTCCAGCACCGCTACAGTCGGCCTCATCTTCCTCGTCCGTGGCGTCTTCCTCTTCATTTTGTTGAAAACAAGCCTCCTCTTTTGTGCCTGTTACAGTCTCCAGACACACACTTGCCCAAACTCTGTGCTCAATATTGCCACCATGTCTCAGCCCGCGACTGTAGTTGATATGCCCACCCAGGCAAACGATGACATTGCTGTTGTCGGCTTTTCCTTCCGCCTCCCCCAAGATCTGAACGACGACATGAGCTTCTGGGAAGCTCTGGATAACCGTCGTAACCTCATGACCAGCTGTCCCAAGGACCGCATGAATGCCAGGTCTTTACTAGACACGAATGCCAGCAAGGTACGGTTGCTTCTCTGTCTCGCCACTTGGCTTTATGTGAGGAGCGTGAGGAGCCGTCATAATAACTTGCCGCTTGTCACTATAGCCGTATGCTCAGGGAGCCCACTTCATCACAGACGATGTCGCTTGCTTCGATGCTCCTTTCTTCTCGGTAACAGCGAAGGAGGCTGCGGCGATGGACCCGATGCAGCGCATGACCCTGGAGACTGCATACCGAGCCTTTGAGAAAGGTAAGCAAGCGTGTGACACCAAAGGGGAGAATATGATACAATACTTCTCTTCCTCTTCCTCTTCCGAGAATGAACTGACACTTTGTAGCCGGATTCACGACAGATGCCCTGAGAGGCTCAAAGACGGCTGTCTTTCATGCGTCCATGTTGGAAGACTACGCGCGGTTGATGGCAATGGATCCCGATAACGTAGAACGAACGACTGTGACTGGTGGGACGGTGCCGTGCATGGTCCCCAACCGCATCAGCTTCACTTTCGATCTGCGTGGACCGAGTGTCCATGTGAATACTGCCTGTTCCAGCGGCTTGGTTGCCGTAGATATGGCATGTAAGACGATTCGCAGTGGTGATGCGTCGTGTGTAAGTGGATGACATAAGCCCCTGATCCCCTGTCCCTGTCACTCCCCCCCCCCGTCACTCCCTGTCACTCCTTGTCACTCCCTGTCAGTTCCCATTGCCCCGAAGCTGGGTGAATCGGAGAATCCACAAGGAAGCAAGAGACGGCATAATACGCTCCCGCCGTGGCGTTTCAACGGGCGGCAGAAAGGCTGATTTGTACCTCATGCACGACAGGCGCTTGTCACTGGTGCGAACCTGCTGTTGGACCCTACCATTTTCCATCTGCTGTCCCACCAGAACTTCCTGTCGCCGGATAGCCGGTCCTACAGCTTTGACCAGCGGGCCAACGGCTATGCCAGAGGCGAGGGCGTCATTGCCGTTGTGCTGAAGCCCGTCTCTGCGGCTGTTCGGGATGGAGACATGATCCGGGCCGTGATCCGCGCCTCGGGCTCGAATCAGGATGGACACACTCCCGTCATCACGCAGCCCAGCCAGCAGGCCCAGCAGGATCTCATCCAGCACGTCTATCAGCAGGCGAATCTATCACTTGCCGAGACGCGATATGTCGAGGCTCACGGTGAGTTGCTTAATCAGCGGATGAAGTGGTTGAAGTTCGAGATAAGGATTAGATAGGAAGAAAGAAGGAAAAAAGCAGAAAAGAAGAAAAGAAGAAAAGAAGGAAGGAAGGAAAGAAGCTGCAGATTTGCTGACAAAAAGGTCTCGTGACCGCTCGGATGCAGGAACCGGAACGCCAGTGGGAGATCCAATCGAGGCAAGAGCCATCGGCCGAGTGTTTCGCAAGTTCCGATCCGCGAAGGATCCGCTTTACATGTGCGTTGATCGCCTCACCTTCATCTTCTCCCCTCCAGTGCTTTTTGTCCTCCTCTTCGAACTTCGGTATTCCATCATTTCACTGACACGGCTTGTCATTCTCACAGCGGCTCCGTCAAATCAAACATTGGCCATCTTGAAGGTGCCAGCGGCCTTGCTGGCTTGCTGAAGGTCATCTGTAGGTCTCCAGCTCGATCTCTGGTCTGGCATATCCAGTTGTTTGATATACTGACTTGCTGCCTCCAGTGAGTCTTGAAAGAGGCTTCATCCCCCCGAACGCACTATTCGAGACGATCAATTCTGCCATAGACGCCGAATTCTGGAATATCGCGGTACGTCTCAGTCTCCCTTTCCTTCATTATCTGGTATCCTGGCAATACCATTTCTATTACCATAGAAATCATGCACTGGATGGGAAATCTAGTGATTGACAGCACATTAATTCTCCTTTATACAATCATCGCCATATACGCCTATTTTTTGCTATATGCTTCTAATTACAAGCGTGGAGTGATTTCAACTGACTTATAATCTTCTCATCTCAGATCCCTAATGCAAGCATTCCCTGGCCTACCAAAGGCATTCGTCGGGCCTCGCTCAACTCCTTTGGCTTCGGCGGCTCCAATACGCATGTTGTGGTTGATGATGCGCTCTCCTACCTGAAAGAGAGGAATCTGCCTGGCAACCACTGCACAGCTGGGGCTGCTGGCGACGAGGATGCGGCCAATGGCTCGGTGGAACTGCCACCATCTCCAGTTTCTGACGACTTTTCAATCACGGTCGACCAATCCATTGCAGATCTCAAGAAGATTGCGCGTGCCACGGTAGCTGCTGCTATACCTTCGCCGTCAATCACAGCCGACAGTCTCCCCCGGCTGCTTGTGTGGAGCGCCGCAGACGAGCAAGCAGTCAAGCGCTCTCTGCGCGACCAGGAGCTCTTCTACAAGGACAAGATAGCGGGCAACCGTAACAAGCTGGATCGCCTCGCCTACACATTGGCGGCTCGCCGGTCACACATGCTCTGGAGAAGCTTCGCCATTGTAGCAGAAGACGGCCTTTCAGAGAATCAAAATGGCACCGCAGACCTTGATCCCGCGAAGCCCATGAGAAGCTCCCCAGATGCTACGCTAGCCTTTGTGTTCACTGGGCAGGGAGCCCAGTACACAGACATGGGATGGGATTTGGTCAAGTATCCCGTCTTTGCCGACACGCTCCGGCAGATTGACAGCATCTACCAGAGCCTTGGATGTGCATGGTCGATTTTTGGTATGATCTATCCTGCCCCGCCCGTACTTGAACCCCTTAGAATGTGGCTGACAATCAATGTCCTTGACTCAAGATGAGTTGCGCTCTAGCAAGAATATCAACCTGCCAGAATACAGCCAACCGTTGTCGACAGCGGTCCAGATCGCCTTGCTGGAACTGCTGGCCAGTTTCGGCATCGCTCCCAAGGCTGTTGTCGGACACTCCTCAGGAGAAATTGCCGCTGCGTACGTCATGCGTCGTCTGTGTGTCATTATTGAAAGTCTGCTGACATGCCCTCCTTGTGTTGTAGCTATGCCATTGGTGCACTCTCATTGCAATCTGCATGCAAAGTCTCGTACTTCAGGGGCCAGCTTGCAGGAAAGTTGCGAGCCGCTAACGAGGCATCTCCTGGGGCCATGATGTCTATCAACTTGGCAGAAGCACATGTTTCGGAGTACCTCTCCAGGATTGGTCCTGAGGCCAGCTCTGTCTGCGTGGCTTGTATCAACAGCCCTCTCAACTGCACACTGTCCGGTCCCGAGGCGGCTATTGATGCCATCAAAGCGCAAGCTGATAATGATGGCATCTTTGCTCAGAAGCTCAAGACCGGGGTTGCATACCACTCGCGGGCTATGGAAGCTATCGCTGACGAATACCTGGCGCTGATGGGATCGCTCGAGGGCGCCTCGCGTCAGGATCTCAAGGTTGCTAGCGGTATTCCCATGGTATCATCCGTCTCGGGCAAGGTGGTGCGTCCGGCTGCTCTGGCCAAGGGTCAATACTGGGTCAACAACATGGTTTCTCCGGTTCGCTTCGCCGATGCCGTGCAGCTGCTGACTCAGGAGCCATCCAAGGTCAAGGTTGGGCTGAGCAACATTACTGATCTCGTCGAGATTGGCTCTCACCCTGCCCTGCGAAGAGTAGCTCAGGATACGATCCGACAGACAGGCAACAAGAAGCGCACCATCCGATATAGTGCTGCACTGCAACGATCTCATCCTCCGATCAAAACGACGTTGGAGCTTGTGGGACAGCTGTTCTGCTGGGGACACAACGTGTCCATAGCTGCTGTTAACCAGACGCCCGTTGCTCAGCCTGGCGGTGCCTCCAAAAAACCTGCGTTTCTCGTCGATACCCCCGAGTACCCCTTTGACCGGTCTCATAGGTACTGGGTCGAATCTCGAATTAGTCGTGACTTCCGGTTCCGTGGCAATGTCAAGGGTGACGTGCTTGGAGCTCGAGTATCCGACTGGAATCCTCTCGTTCCTCGCTGGAGAAATATGTTGGCCGTTGAGTCCGTTCCATGGGCTGGCCACCACAAGGTCACCGATACGCTTTTGTACCCTGCAGCTGGAATGTTGGTGATGGCAATCGAGGCTGTTCAGCAGATGCTCCCCGAAGACCGGGAGGTAGCCGGCTTCCTCGTCAAAGAGGCCGACTTTATCCATCCAATCATCCTGAAAGAGAAGTGGGAGGATAGAACCGAGACCCAAGTTCATCTTCGACCCTTGAAGACGCTATCGTCGGACGACGAGGATGGCTCTGCAATGTTTGAGGTGGATATCTTCTCCTACTCGTCTGACGGCTGGAATAAGTGCTTCCGCGCCAGCCTCAAAGTAGACTACGAGGAGCCGACGAGTATATATGGCAAGGAGCAAAGGCAGCTCCGCCATGAGAAAGCCCGTGACCAGTACAGCCAAGCCGCACAATCATGTGTCTTGCCCATCGACTCTGCCACCCTATATCGCGAGGCGGCTGAAGTTGGCCTTCAGTACGGAGAATGGTTCCAACTTCTGCGAGACGTGGGCTGGGACTCCAAAGCTACCGCGGTGGCTCGTGTGGACGTCTCCAAGGATCGGTACAAGACCAACAGCCTAGTGCACCCAAGCGTTCTTGACCAGGCTTTTCACGTGTTGCGAGTGAGCGCCGGTCAGCAGCCGACTGCCAACGTTCCTGCTCGTTTGAGGGACGCTTGGTTTGCCTCCAGCTCCAAGTGGCAAAGCCCGGAGACTGGCCATATTCGATGGATGGCGACGTCCACTTCGGCCGCTCATCTTGACGGAACCCAGGGCTATGGTGAACAGGGCACGATCGTTGCGCTGGCTGACGACGGCACTGTGCTTTGCACGATAGAGCAGGCTACTACGGCGTCCATCTCCAACAGCGCAAAGGCGGCGGACAAGAAGTTGCTCTACAGTGTCGAGTGGAAGCCGCAGCTGAGCATGCTCGAGCCAGAGCAGCTGGCTCGCATCTGCAAAGCTGATTCCTTTGAGGATGACGAAACAGCCATAGTAGAGATTCACCAAAACATGTGCTTGGCGCTGGAGCTCTACTCGATTCGAGTGCTCCAGAGGCTGGACCGAGCCAAGGTCCCGGAGGCATTGGCTCGCCACGTGGACTGGATGGAGTACCATATCGGCAACATGAGCCCCGAAAACAGACGGCTCGGAGAAACCATTAGCGACGACGAGCTGGAAGCCCGGCTCCTTGATGTTGAGAAGTCTCGCCCGGCTTGGAAGCTGTACACCACCTGCGCGCGGAGGCTTCTCGAGATGCTCTCAGGAGAGGTCGATCCTCTGCAGGTGGTGTTCGGATCAGACCAGGCAGAGCTCTTCTATGCTGAACTCTTCCAGAAGCTTTGCCAGGATGGTCGGCTCGGCACCTTCTTGGACCTGGTCGCTCACGAGCGCCCTGCTCAGCGAATCCTCGAGGTGGGAGCAGGAACGGGAGGCATGACGAATCACGTGCTATCTCTTCTGCAGCAGCGGGAGGAACGAGTAGGAGGGTCTTGTTTCTCCGAGTACACGTATACAGACATCTCCCCGATGTTCTTTGAGCGTGCACGTGAGCGATGGCCCGATCTTGCGTCTCAGGGTCGCCTGACGTTTAAGACTTTCAACGTGGACAAGCCTATTGATGAACAAGGATTCGAGCCTGGCTCCTATGACATCGTTATAGCAGCTAGTGTGCTCCATGCCGTTGAGTATCTTGAGAGCAGTCTGAAGCAGGTTCGCAGGGCATTGCGGCCTGGAGGTCGCCTCATTCTGCTCGAGGTCATTGATCCCGAGGACATCGCCACCAACTTCATGGCCGGTCTGGTGCCAGGATGGTGGGTTGCCAAGGAGGACTGGAGGCCGCATTCAGCGGCTATCCCCGAGAAGTTGTGGGACAAGTGCTTGCGAAACAATGGATTCTCGGGCAACGATGTGATTTTCCGCGACTACAAGAGCGAGGCCTGTCACATTGTCAGCATCATCCTCACCACAGCCGTTGAAGAGCCCAAGCTGGCCCCTGCGGTCCAGCCCGGCAAGCTTGTCATTGTCGTCGATGAGCAAAAGTCCTATCTGCAGACTCGGATGGCCGATCTGATACAACAACAGCTGGATCCTCAAGGTAGCAAGGCTTCGAGTATCTGTGCCTTCTCCTTGGACGAACTTTCACAGGCTCTCGAGAATGTGACCGAGGAGGACACTGTAGTTTGCATCGCTGAAGTCAACAGTCAGCCTTTGCTGGCCAATCTGACGGAGAAGAGCTTCAAGTGCCTCCAGTACCTGGTGGGCAAGGCATCCAGGCTTCTCTGGGTCACGGCTAGCAGCACAGACAGCGAAGAGTATGCCGACTACGGTGCTGCCCAGGGGTTCTTCCGCTCGATTCGGGTTGAGCAGTCCAGCAATCGAATCATTACGCTGTCCATGGAAGGCAAGCTCGAATCCCTCAAGATCGCTCAGTTGATCGAAACCGTTTTCGATGCCAGCTTTGGACCCTCGCCTTCTGACGAGGTGGAGTATCTCGCCAAGGATGGCGTTCTGATGACTGGAAGGGCCATCGAGGACGTATCTGGCAATGAAATTCTTTCTTCTCTCTTGTCTCACCAGTTCCAGGAGAAGACCTGGTATGATGGACCAGCCCTCCAGCTCTCTGTCGGCTCTCAAGACGGAACAAACAAACTGCAGTTTGTTCGCGATAGGCAGTACGAAAGCACGCTGACGCCCAACGAGGTGGAAATTGACGCCAAGGCTTGGGGTGTTGATCAAAGAGACGTGCAGGTCGCTTTGGGACGCCGGCAAGAGCTACACAACGGGATCCGACTGGGAGTTGACTGTGCCGGTATCGTTACCCGCGTTGGAAAAGGTTGCGAGTTGTTCAAGCCCGGAGACCGAGTACACATGGTGGCTCCAGGATGCATGCGGCAATATCCTCGAGGGGACGTAAAGGCTGTCTGCAAGATTCCTGAGTCAATGTCTTTCGAGGAAGCGACGTCTGCTCTCATTCCCGCCATGACAGCGTATCACGCCCTGGTTGACATTGCTCGCCTCGTTGACGGAGACAAGGTTCTGATCCACGCGGCTGCTGCGAGTGCCGTGGGCGAGTTTGCCGTGCGTGTGGCCCAGATGCAAGGCGCCCATGTTATTGTTACCTACTCAAATGCACAGGAGCGAGATACATTGAAGAGGATGGGCCTGGCGGAGGACCACATCCTGGACAACAGCACCCTAACCTTTGCCCAGCGTGTCATGGAGCTGACTGATGGAGAAGGGGTGGATGCTCTCTTCAATCTGCTTGCCGAAGACGAGATTATCCAGGCTTCCTATGAATGCCTGGCCTCCAGCGGTCGCTTCCTGGAGATGAAGCGCTTCAACACCGATACTAATGCTACTATTCCCATTGGCATTTTTGACCGCAATGCCAGCTTTTCCGTCATCGACATTGTCAACCTGAGCCCAAAGACGATGGGTAAACTCTTGAAGAAGACAATGGAGCTTCTTGAACAAGGGCGCATTGGACATGCTCAGCCATTACGTACTTTCAAGGCATCAGAGGTCGAGGACGCCTTCCAAGAGCTCAAGGGAGGCGAGGCACTGGATCGTGTCATTATCATGCCACAAGATGACGATGTGGTACCGGTGAGTAGCTTGACACGATTTGACAGCCTTCTATCTGACGAGACACGCATACTAACTCTTATTCAAACAGAAACTCATCCAGGAACAAAGAAGCTGGAGATTCGACGAAAACGCGTCCTATCTGATTGCTGGAGGCTCCGGTGGTCTCGGCCGAGGCATTGCCAAGTGGATGGCTGACCGCGGAGCCAAGAACCTGATCCTGCCATCTCGATCTGGAGCTTCTTCCAAGGCTGCCAGACAGACAGTGGAGGAACTGACAGCTCGCGGCGTCAAGGTTGTGGCCCCCAAGTGCGATGTGTCTTCAGAAAAGGAGCTTGCCGACCTTCTGGACGAGTGCGCTCGCACCATGCCGCCCATCAAGGGCTGTATCAACGCAGCCATGGTGCTTCAAGGGGCCGTCTTCCAGGAGAGCATGACGTTTGCCCAATGGGACCTCACGATGAAGTCCAAGAGGCAAACGTCGTGGAACCTACACCGGCTCCTGCCAGCGAATCTGGACTTTTTCATCATGCTGTCCTCTCTTGCTGGCGTCGTAGGACAGCTGGCCAGTGCCAACTACTCGACGGGCTGCTCCTTCCAGGACGCCCTGGCGCGTCAGCGTCTTGCTCGGGGACAGGCGGCCCTGTCTCTCGACATTGGCTGGATGCGCAATATTGGTATTGTGTCCGAGACGGGCGAGTACCAGAAGCAGCGCGAGTCGTTTGACGACATGAAGCAGGTGGACGACGTGGAGCTGCTGGCGCTGCTTTCGGTCTTGTGCGATCCAAGCGCTCCTCAGCCCGCCATTGTGTCGGAGGCCAGGGGTCAAGTTTTGTTTGGGCTCAAGACGCCGATCGACTGTCTGGCTCGAGGCCGCAACCCGCCGCCGCTGATGGAGAGGCCATTTTTCGGCGCCTTTTCCGTTACCGCTGCCTCAGGCGCCTCGGCAGGCGTAAACGCCAACGCAGAGGCGGCCGTGGGAGTTCGATTCCGACAGGCTTCGGACTCTGGAGAACGCACCCAGGTTGTGCTGGACGCCCTTGCTGGCAGGCTCGCGCGTGCCATGTCTATTGCGACTGGCGATGTGGAGCTGAACAAGTCGCTGTCGCACTATGGCGTCGACTCACTGATGTCTGTTGACTTGCGCAACTGGATCCTGCGGGACTTTGGTGCTCTGCTTACTGCTTTTGACATCATGGGTGGTGCGTCGATTTCCAAGATTGCGGATATGATTGTTGAGCGCAGCACGGTTGGCAAGGCGTAAGCGTAAAAGTGCAGAGCTGCACGGAGAGGATTGTTAGATGTATGCTATATAGGTTAAGGAGCCAATATATACATGTTCGACAAGTATCGTAATTCTTTGATTCATGAATCTCTAAGTCTAATACTACGTACCTAATGCCTACAAAGTCTTCTCAATCTCCATGGCCTCCCGGATGCCCTCCTCGATGGCCGAGACTCGAGCCTGCTCCAAGCGCTTCAGGGGCCGCCGAGGATAGCCTCCGTATCCATAGTAGGTCTGGATGGCGGATTTTGTGCCTGCAATGGCGGCCTTTGTGAGGGGCCAGTCGCCGCGACTGAGGACCTTTTGCAGCTTCTCGGCCTCGTCCCTGTTGCCCTGGGAGTAGGAATCCCAGACCTTGACGCACAGCTTGGGCATGACGTTTGCGCCGCCGGCGATGATGCCGCTGCCGCCGCTGACGAGGGTCTGCAGGGTGAAGTCGCACATGCCGCCAAAGGCCATGTAGCCCGAGCCGTCGCGGAAGGGCGTCTTTGCGTCGGTGGCGAGGGCGACGCGGGTGAGCTTGCCGGTGTTGCCGCAGGTGAACTTTGTGCCGACGATGTTTTTGTGCTGGGCGAGCCTGATGAGGAGGTCGCTGTCCATGTCGATGCCGGAGACGGCGCCGGGGTAGTTGTAGAGGACGAGGGGGATGGGGCTGGCGTCGGCGACGGCGACGAAGTAGGCCTCGATGGAGGCCTCGTCGGTCTGGGCGCGGTAGTAGGAGGGCGGGAGGACGAGGGCGGCGGCGGCCCCGGCGGCGGCGGCGAGCTTGCAGAGCTCAATGGTGCCGCGGACGCTGCCCTCTGTGGCGCCGAAGAGGACGGGCACCGACTGGAAGCCGGCGGCGTCGAGGGCCTCGCGGGTGGCGGACAGGACGGCGATCTTCTCGTCGCGGGTGCAGTGGACGGCTTCGCCGTTGGAGCCCATGACGACGAGGCCTGCGAGGCCGGCCTTTGCGAGGCGCTGGGCGTGGTGCTTGATGGTGGGGATGTCGATGTCTTCTGATTCAGGGTGGAAGAAGGTCATTGTCGGGGCGTAGATGCCGCATGGTAGGGATGGGGGGGCCATGGCTGTTGTGATGGAAGGATTGGAGATGGAAGAGAGAGAGGGTTAAGGGGGGAAATATAGAGAGAGGGGGGAGTTTTGAAGGTTGAGGATGAGGATGATGAGAGAGAGAGAGAGGGAGCACGCGTGGAGATGGGATAGGTTTGAAGTTGTATATTCGCTAGCAAGAATGGATCCCTCGGTGAACCATCTATAATATATGAATGATAAACATATCAGTAATACTCTGTTTTATGCTTGGGGAGAGCAAGAAAGAATAGCCGCTTATAGCCACCGGACGTCGAGGAGGAGACCATTTCGGAGGGGAAGCCACCGAAGAGGTGCGATTCCAGCTGCTGCGGCTCGGCCGACTGAACCCCGACTCCCACGAGGACGTGATGCGCTTTGAGATCCGAAGACGGCGGGAGATTAGGAGTAGGGAATAGGCCGGCAATCGAGGAAGAGGCAAGCTTTGCTGGAGAATAATAGTAGCGAGCCTGGATGAGAAGCGTGGGGTTTGTTCTGGGGAGGAGGGAAAGTATGGAGTACGAGTGGAGATGGTGATGTGGTGAAGATGTTTGCTATATGATTGGGGGATAATTCAGTCTGGAGCAGCTTTCCACCATTCACAAAGACGAGAAACAATGAGATGAAAGAAAAGGCTGCTCCGCTGGAGGTACTTGTACTTTGGCTAGCTCGAGTCATCCCGTCGGTAGTACGGCAGTACGGTTATTTTCTAGGCACTACTACTAACATGTTCATGTTGCTGGAGAAGAAGAGAGGGAGGGGGTTCATGGCCGTCGGGTTTATCCAGCCCGATTGGACGAGAGGGAGGTTGTTGCTTTAGGTACCTCAATTGACGATGGCAAGTTGGGAGGCGGCGGCATGGGGGGATGCTTGTGTAGATACTCATTCAGCTCGTCCGTCTTGAGAGCTTTGACGTTGAGATACTGATGATGGTTGTTGAACAGAGACTTCAAGTTTGAGCTTGGACCGAGCTGGAGAAAGCAGACGGCGATGCTGAAACTGGATGATGCGGGGTCATGAGTGTGGTCAACGCGGGGTAGATGAAGCGATTTCATCAAAGAGAAGCATACTCGTATGGCAACACTAGACATATATCGCGATACTAGTAGATATAAGCAGATGCCTGATTTATTAAGAAGTATCGAAGTGTCGAATAGATTAGACTAGGTAGGTAGATTTAGATTGCGATACTTGTTGAAGGTATCAATCACTTGCAGTATCTCAATGTCAGCTGTGGTAGAGACAGATATAAGATGCAGCATGTTTATATGTGCATATGCAAGCACTCCAGACAATCACTGCATCTAATGATGAAGCTTTTGTCAACCATAAAACTCACAGTTCCATCTGGTCTATTATATAGACTCAACATATATTAGAGACAGTCACGTAAGAATAATCAAACAAACGCATTCCATAAGCGAGCACGAGGGATCCAAAGCCTGAGCCCGGCCTTTCTTTATCCCTCCAATTGCTGCCCCGCCAAATGGCCCCTCAATTCCTCCGTGCTGCTGCTGCTGCATGTCACTGCATCGGAAACTGCCCGCCTCGCGCGAGGCACGGGATTCGCAAGGCTGTGCCGTTAAGGCAGAGGTGTTTGTCTTCTCCCCTACCTAGTATTTCAATCAGACATACCTCTTGACGATATTCTCTGATTCTTTCTCTTCTTGAACTCTCTCTGTTATTAATGACACCTCTCTCCGTCGTCGCGTAGCCTCCTTGCGTTCCAGCACACACAGACAGTCAACGACACCCCCTTCCTTCATCATGGCGGCCCCTCTCAACGTGTTGATGGTAAGGCCTCCAAGCTTGCCCAAAGATTGAAACGAGCCCATTGGGCTGACAGTGCATCGCCAACACAGGTCGGCACCGGCGAGTACACGACTGGCTTCGTGGGCGGCGGTGCTTCCGGCTCCGACAAAAAGGTGGGCGTCGTCGGCCTCACGCTCTTTGACCTGCGGCGGCGAGGCAAGGTCGGCAAGCTGGGCATGGTCGGCGTCAACGGCAAGAAGTTTCCCCAGATTCGTATGTCTCTCTAGCTGTTTCTTTTTGCAAAGATGGTCGTGATCACAGGGAGAGAGAAGAGAAGAGAAGCGGAGAGGAGAGAAGAGACAGAGAGACAGAGTAGAGACTCACTGCTACCCAGGGGAACACCTGCACAAAAACATCACGCAGGTCTACAACAACCTCGACACCTCGTTCGACTCGTTCCCCGACAACAACACGGTCGACGCCGACGCCTACAAGGCCGCCATCGACCAGCTCAAGCCCGGCGACGCCATCACCATCTTCACCCCCGACCCGACGCACTTCCCCATCGCCCTCTACGCCATCGAGCGCGGCATCCACGTCCTCATCACCAAGCCCGCCGTCAAGCTGCTCGAGCACCACCAGGAGCTGTCGCGCAGGGCCAAGGCCAAGGGCGTCCACGTCTTCGTCGAGCACCACAAGCGCTTCGACCCGGCCTACTCGGACGCCCGCTGCAAGGCGCGGTGGCTCGGTGACTGGAATTATTTTTACTCGTACATGGCGCAGCCTAAGTCGCAGCTCGAGACGTTCAAGTCGTGGGCCGGCAAGGAGTCGGACATTTCGTACTACCTCAACAGCCACCACGTGGACGTCTGCGACTCCATGGTGCGCCAGCGCGGCTACCTGCCCGTCAGGGTGTCGGCGACGTCGTCCAAGGGCGTGGCCACGGGGCTGGGCTGCGTCGACGGCACCGAGGACACCATCTCGCTGCTCGTCACCTGGGAGCTGCAGGGCCAGCCCGGCAAGCGCGCCATCGCCGTCTACACGTCGTCGTGGACCGCGCCCCAGCGCGCCGGCGTCCACACCAACCAGTACTTCCACTACCTGGCCCGCGACGGCGAGATCCGCGTCGACCAGGCGCACCGCGGCTACGACGTCGCCGACGACCGCGCCGGCCAGATCCAGTGGTTCAACCCCTTTTACATGCGCTACGCCCCGGACGAGGACGGCAACTTCAACGGCCAGACGGGCTACGGCTACATCTCCATTGAGAAGTTTGTCGACGGCTGCCGCGCGGTCAACGAGGGCAGGGAGACGCCCGCCGATCTCGACGCAAAGGGCCTGCCGACGCTGGACAATACCATTGCCACGACGGCCATTCTCGAGGCCGGACGGCGGAGCATTGACGAGGGGCGCGAGATTCAGATTGTGGTGGAGGATGGCGTGTGGAAGCTGGTGTAACGGGAATGAATTTGGCCAATGATGATGAACGAACAAAAATAAAACTAGAGAAGACTGTTTATGTCTGTTGGGTCAATTTGTTGTGCCTGAAGTGAAGCCGTCTTTTTGCTTGTGTTGTCGTGATGTTCATTGTCTTCTATAGGTGGGGGTTAACATGTGCTGAGGTGTATGTATGTACTCTGATGGAGGAGACTAGGTGAACCCACTACTACTAGCAGCAAATTCTGTACATAATCTCACACTCACCACCAGACAGCTCAACCCTTCAAACACCCCATCAAAGGAAAAGACAACAAAAACAAGACTCCAAACAAAATGCCAGACGACGACGACGACAACGACAACCTCTTTTCCACCAACCAGCCCTCCATCTCCAGCCTCCTCACCCAACTCCGCCGCAGCACCCTCACGCCTCGCAACCGCCTCCAGAGCATCCACGCCGACGCCTCCTTTGTCGCCGAGGTCGCCTCTGCATTTCCCACCTACCCTTCCTATTCCCCTTCCCCTTCCTCTTCTTCCGCCTTACCAGCATCATCTGGACCAGGATATGATGATGGTGCGAAAAAGAAGAGACAAAGGAGAAATAGGCCGCTGGTGGCAAACGAGCGCTGCGGAAGCTGGTACATTCCTCCCGGGAAAAAGGACGGCAGCGCCTATTTCAAAAGCACGGACGGCCATGAGCGGGCGTGGAAGTTTAGCACAAGGAGGCTGAATTTACATCTGATTGACATGATTGAGAAGAATGACGGGTGCGTCTTGCTCTATATCACTTTGTCGTCCCCCCTTCTCTCTCTCTCAGCTTCATACCCAGCGTCTCTCTCTTACGGTTCGCCTATATGAAGCTTTCAGCTAACATGATCATATACACAACCAGCATCATCATCGTAGACTCTACCCGTCGCGGCAAACGCAAGTCCCTCACCTCTCCAAAAAAAAAACCCCATTCATCTCAAAATCTCATATCAAACACTAACATTGCCGACAGGAATGCCAGACGCCCTCTCCACCACAATCCCCATCTGGTGCACCGTCCTCAACCTCGCCCTCCTCCCATCCCACCCCCTGTCCTCCAAGCTCTTCCTCCCCCCTTACCTCCCCGCATCAACCCACGCCCAAATCACCGCCCTCATACCCTCCTTCCTCTCTTCCCTCAAGGAGCTCAACCTCAACCTGCCCACGTCCCTCACGAAGCCCCTCCGTCCGCTATGGATCACGCAGGACTCTTCCCTCCCTTCACCACCACCCTCAGGTGACTCAGAAGAAGAAGAAGACGATCTCGATCAAGACCAGGGCGTCATCTTCCAAGACTACAGACCCGTCATTTGCTGCACCGCCAGCAGGCGAGTCGTCGGCAGCGAGGTCGACCAGGGGGGCTACATCCAGGGCGCCGGCGACGACACGGAGAACTGGGCCATGGGACTGACGCCCGACGTCTTCTGGTCCAATGCCGATGCTCTGCTCTCCGCATCAGACGCTGAGCTGCCCGAGCTCATACCCAAGCTAGTTCAAGAGGCCAAGACTGCCAGGACATCAGCAGCTCCTTCGGGGGTGGGCGGTGCCGAAACCCAGGCTTGCCTTCCGAGAAAGCAGCTCACGCCGTACATCTCCGTCCGAGCTCTATCACCCCTCGACCTTGCATCGTCACCGCCATCGCCAACAACACCTTCGTCTCCATCATCAGAGGAAACGAAAGACAAGGCACCAACTGAATGCCTCATCCTCCTCACCGAAATCCAAACCCCAAAGGAATCATGGCTCCTCTCCCCGACGCTGCTTCGCGTCGGCCTCGGCAAGCACAAGACGGCCAGTCGGAACCTCCGCCTCGCCCTCTCTGACATCTGCTCCTTTGCCGCCGAATTCCTCCACAAGGCCAACAACAACAACAACAACAACAACAAGCAGCAACAACAACAAGTCGCCAATGTCGTTTCAGACGATGCGACGGGCAGCGATGGGGGGCAGCAGCAGCAGCAGCAGCCGCCGCCTCAAATTGTCGTCGCCTGTGACTCGGGCAGGGACCTCTCCGTGGGCGTCGCCCTCGCTCTGTCATGCTACTTGTTTGACGACAAGGGTCGACCCCGTGATCCTGGTGAGGGCCCGTCGTTCACCAAGACGCTGGTCAAGATGAGGCTTGGGGCGGTCATGACGGCGTATCCCGAGGCGAATCCGAGCAGGAACACGCTGCAGAGCGTGAATAGCTTCTTGATGGACTGGAGGAGCTAGCCTTGAGAACTTGTACTGTTCACGTTGATACCTAGGTATGATACATAGGTAGAGAGAGCTGGGGTTCAACAAGCGTCAATTCGTTGCGTCATATCTATTCATATCTAGCCTTGCCATTTTGTTGGTCCTTCTTGACCATCTTCTCGTGATCCTGCATGAACCACGCCAACAAGAAAAGCGTAAATCATCAAGTGCCCAGCTCCTCCAATGTCTCTGATATCATAGACCTTTCAAGCCGTCAAAGAAAAAAAAAGGGGGTAAAAGAGAAGAAAGAAAAATCTACACCTCGCCACTCTCAATCTTGGCCAACGCCGCCGGAAACTCGCTCCAGTCCCGCATAATCACGACCGCGCCCGCATCCCGCAACACCTTCTCCATCTCGTCCTTCTTGCTGTCCGCATACGGGCCCACGTACCCAATCGTCTTGATGCCCGCCCTCGTGGCGCTCAGCGTGCCGCTCTTGCTGTCCTCCACCGCGACGCTCTCGTCAGCGCTCTTGCCCAGCTTCTGGAGCGCGTGCAGGTAAATGGCGGGATCGGGCTTGCTCGTCGGCTTGTCCAGCGACGTGGCCGCCGAAAACACCACGTCGCCCTGGAAGAAGCGGTCCTGGCCGACCTTTTCAATCGACGCGCGCACGCGCCGCAGCGCAGACGACGACACCACCGCCAGCTGGTACTTGCCCGCCCGCTGCAGGGCCTCGAGCTGCTCGTCGACGCCCGGGCACGGCCGCAGCGCCGCCTTGAGCTTGGCGATGACGGCGTCCTCTTCTTGCAGCACGTACTTTTCGAGGTCCTCGGGCGAGATGTCGATGCCGTGCGTCTTCTGCAGGGTGAGCAGCATGCCGCGGAAGTTTTGGCCGACGAATTCCTGGATCAGCGTCTCGCCCGTGAACTGGACGGTCACGTTGCGCTCGGCGCAGATCTTGTTGATGAGGTCTGCGCAGGCCTCGAAGGCGAGCTCCTCGGAGAGGACGAGGGTGTTGTCGCAGTCGAAGAGGAGGGCTTTGATCTGGGGGGGTTCGGAGTTTGGTCAGCTGTTGCTGTTGGGGAAGAAAGGGGGAGAGGGAAGGCTGATTCGATGGGATGGAGATGTGGCTTACTTCAGGCATTTTGGGCAATTCAAGGGGGGGTTTGTTTCTTTGATCTTTACAAGAGAGGATGTTGAGAAAGGGAGAGAAAAGGAGAGATTGGATCTTGTAACACCACGAGAGTCGACGTTTGTCTATGTATGAAGGAGGAGAAAGAAAAGATGGAGGAAAGTGGAAGGAAGATCAAGAGGGAAGGCATCAAGTATATAAGCCAAGGTAAGCCAAGCCCAAACTCGGGCTCCCCCACACCCGTCAGAGAAAAAGGCACCAGGGCCTCACACTCAGCCAGCTGTACAATTACCTCATGTGAAACTCGGCGAGGGAAATACTTTTACATTACATACTCTAGGACGTGTGGAACGGTAATTTGCACACATCTCGCCTGGCAGGTGGATGTATATATCGTTTTGAAATCTTGTTTGTTTCCATATCATGGAGGACACTTCATTACTACCTACGTATAAGCGTCTTCTTGACGAAGCCTCCAGAAACACAGTCAAAGCATTACATGTATTTATCATGCATCACTCGTCCCCATCGAGCTGAACCCTGACCCCAATCCAACAAACAATATGCTATGCTCTTCTACACACACACACTCTCTCTCTCTCTCTCTCTCTCCTCTGCCCTCCATTGCTGTACCTCGTCCGCCCTCTCTCTCCTCCAAACATCACCATCACCCATCACCGATTTACCTGCTTTTTCCCGCTGTCCCTGTCCACTAACATGCCTCCCCCCCTGTCAAAACACCGTCCCTCTTTACCCCTCCCCTCCCCCTCGCAGCCCACAGTGTCGTCATCGCCCCTCTCTCCACCCCTGCAAGAGAAAACGAGGCCTCGTCTAAGTGTGCTCCATGCTACCTCCGAATTTGTCACGGCAACCTCTTTGCAACTTGTGCCTGAGGATGACAGAAGAGCCTTGAACATCGGTACCTAGTCCATAAACCCGAGTTATAATATCCCACTGCTCAACCGAAAGCTTCCAAAAGGCCATCTTCCGATAGCATCATAGAAATCACCCTAATTCTACTCGACTCAACAGCGTGAAAGTGACAACACAAAGTAGTAATCAATCCAAAGTGTTGTTGGGTTTCCATTATCATGATCATCCTCCCAAGCTGCTCGTGACCATCCACCTTGAAACGCAACCTCTCGCAGCTCGACACGCCCGTTGTGGCTGAGACCCGGCATGTAAGGGCTTTCTCCAGCACATCACCTGCATCTCCCCAGGTCCTTCACGACCGCCAAATATGACATGTTGAAAGTGCAAAATGAATGATGATAACCACAGATCATATCAAACACAAGTGTCAGTTGGAACTGCATGCAGGGCAAAGCTATTTACAGTCATGGTCACGTAGGGCACGCGGTTATAAACAGCTAGAATAGGCTACCGAGACGCAGTGTGTGTATCAAAAGCAATGACATTTTCCTCCGCTGTCAAACCAAACCCCCCCGGTGCTGTATCACCGCAACACCGGCTTCGACATCATTGTACTGTGTATCAATCCATCGCACTTGCTCGGCTACAAAATCCTGGGTGATATCGTCTCACTCGCGTCAACAGAGAAATCCACCGCGTGCCTTGAACTCTGCCAGTAATGCATCCCTAAACGCCTCTACTCCTAAAGTCAATGCCTCTTGTCATTACAAAAGGTGATTGCAGAAAGGAACAAAACAGTAAGAAAAAAAAAGCAAAAAGGAAACAGTGGAAAACACGCCGGCTTTCATCGTCATCGTCAGCGGCATGTAACGGCTGTCAGGGTGTGCCTGGTTGCGCGGGCATTCAGTCCCGACCTTGTGCACAAAGGGTCGCGCGGCTCGGTTCTCGAGGTCCTGTTCATGTCCCGCATACCAAGCCCTCTCTGTCTTTGTGTCGATTTTTTGCGTATCGTTTTAGTGTTGAAACTCTTTCAGGCATTGCAAGCAAGCGTTTGAAGAGCATCCCATTGCAACTCTTACAAAATCTCCTTGAGCTTCTGCTTCTGCTCTGGCGTCAGGCTCGTAGGGAAGTTGACCTTGTACCGGACGATAAAGTCGCCGCGCTGGCCGGGCTTCTTCGACAGGGGCATGCCCAGTCCGGGATACCGATCTTCGCTGCCGGGCTGCGTGGGGCCGCCCTTTTCTATGCTGATCTGCTTGCCGTCAATGGTCGAGACCACCCGCTTCCATCCGGTCAAGGCCTCCTTCAAGTCCAGAGTGACCGTGTGCACGACGTCATTGTCCTCTCGCTTGAACAAGGGATGCTCTTTCTGTAAGCCAGTGGGTTAGCGGATTCTATTCGAGACACATTCCAAGGAACCATCGATTCGGATAATCAGAGAAACTTACCTCTTCGACAATAAAGTGCAGATCCTGTCTACCACCCTCGACTTGGTCACCAACTCCGTTAAACTTGATCTTTGAACCCTTCTTCAAGCCAGGCTTGATGGGTACTTCGAGGATCTGATCGGTCTGCACGCGCTTGCCAGTTTCATCAAACGTCTTGCGCTTGATCTTCATCTTCTTCGTAGTTCCGCTGTGCAGCTCCTCCAGAGTCAGGGGCAGGGGCCGCTCAACCGTCGTAATCTCGGGCGTGGGCTCGCGCCGGGGCTGCGCATCGGCAAAGTTGGACCTCGTCCTTGTCCGGCTTGGCCGCGGGCCGCCGGCGCCGCCAAACGACGAGAAGAAGCCAAAGTCGTCATCGTCGCCGCCGCCGCCGGTGTGCATGCCGCCGCTGCGCGTGAACTCTGCAAACAGGTCCTCGGGGTTCATGAAGTTGTAGCCCTTGCCGCCGCCGCCGCCGGTGCTGAAGTGGAAGGTCCTGGCACCGCCGCCGCCCGGCATGCCGCCGCCAAAGTCGAAGCCGGCGAAGCCACCAGGCATGCCGCCGGCGCCGGCAAACGGGTTGGCACCTGGAGTCGCGCCCTCAGGCGGGGGGGCACCACCGCGCAGCAGGAACTCGAGGCCATACTGGTCGTAGATCTTGCGCTTCTCCGGGTCGGACAGGATCTCATAGGCTTGCGAGCACTCCTTGAACTTTTCCGAGGCGTTGGGGTTGTCCTTGTTCTTGTCGGGGTGCCACTTCAGAGCAGCTTTTCTGTTGCGCAGGTTGTGGTCAGCATCAGGCTTTCGTCTCTTTTTGTGTCCGTCTTGAGGTCGTGTGATGGTAGTAGCTGGTTAGGCGGGATAGCTGTGGTGGTGGGGGGTGGAAGTGTCATGCCAATAGCCGTTTGTTGGCCCAATTGCCACCCAGCCGCCAGCTTGTTTTACGCCCAGGTATGACGACAGACAAGGGTCGAGCGCAGCCAGCAGATGGGGGAAATGGGAAGCAAGAACAAAAACGAAACCAGTGACTTACCTGTATCCTTTCTTGATCTCGTCCTGAGAAGCGTCGGGCTTGACGCCCAGGGTGTCGTAGAGCTTGGTCTCCTTCACCATGGTGATGATGGAAATGGGTCGGAAGCTGTCTACTATGTAGCAGTGGGGGGACCGAACCCAGCTATTGCCACGGGAAGTGAAGCGTTAAGAATCAATGCAAGACACGAGACGTGGAATCGTTGAGGAATGATTGCAAAAAGAGCAGGGAATAAATGGTGATGTCGCTCTTTTTATTCTGGATGGAAAACGTGGAGATGAGGGGTGGGTGAAGGTGGGAAAGAATAGAGGTGAAGAACAAAGGTAGAGCAGCGTTTCGAAGAAAGAAGGAATCGGGCTGTACCTCAGGTATGTATAGGTGAGAAATGGAGGGGAAACTGGGGAGAAACAAAGAGTGAGAGCGGAAAACCAAGAAGTGAGAAGAAGAAGTGAGCACGTCCTCGCCCGCTACTAATATTGCCGCCAGTGGTCAGGCTACAGGCCACAGGCCACAGGCCACAGCACCACAAAGGTGAGCCGGTTGGTGGGGCCGCCGCCAATTGCTGGGACCTTGTAGAAGCTTCCCGGCCACCCAGGCGATGACGCACGACGGCCGTGATGGAATATGTAGGTATGGACTGAAAATGAGCGTCAGGAGTATGTATGTATTATCGTGTGCTTCCTTTTTGGATCGGCGGGGAAATATTAAGTACGGAGGAGGCTGGCGACTAATTTGCACCGAGGTGTTTTTCTTAACATACTGGCAGGGCCAGTCTTGATGATGATGATTATGAGAAGCAGGGACGACATGATGCTCTCTATTTGTACTCGCACGAACCTCTAGGTAGGGAGCAGTCGAGGATGCGGCTTTGCTTGGCCAACGACCTTTACGAATTCTAGACCACCAATCACTACTCACATTCAAGGGGATGATAAGACGGCAAAGAGGCCAAAGAGAGGGAAGAAAAGAGGTGGCGGCGCGGACAACGGTGTCAAATAAGATGGATGCGATGTGATTGATGCACGGAAAACAGCGTGCAGCGTGCAGCTTCACGACGCAGGCCAGCGCAGCAACAGGATGGCAATCCATATATTACATCTCCCCCTACCTACACCTCCGCACGCTGTGCTGATGCAGCAGATTGGAGGATTCTCAAGAAGGGATTCAAGAAATTGAGGGGACGCCGATAAAGAAGGAGACGGCAACGATATTATTTTTTGCTCCCTCTCTCTCTATGGACGAGCTGAACTGGTTGGCAGCGGGTGAGCTCTCCTCCCTGTTCGGGTCGCCTGGAGAAAGTGGCTCGGAGTTTGGGGCCGGTGATGGCATCTTCTTTTTCGCCCTTTGATGGACGATGCACGGCGTTGACCTCTCAACTCCGAGGGCTATTCTCCGCCTATTCTGCCATTACCTCCGACCTCTCTTCTCCATCTCGTCTCAAAGAATAGACAGTCTACCATAGATATGCACAGCCTCATGGCACGGCTATCACCAATCCCTCAATCCTCCTCCTCCTCCTCCCCCTCCAACCACACCCGAAACCCATCCGCCCCCCGCCAACCGCTGCAAGCAAAAACCATCAAATGGATCCCTACTGTACGAGTACATGTAAAAACAGCTCGCTGGCAGCACTAGACCCCAGTCGGCAATGACCCGTCAAAAAGACGCAACCCGACGGCCGAAACAACACACACTCTCTCTTCTTCCCGTCAAATCATCAGCTGCCGATGCGCTGTCTATCAAACATTGCGAATGAAACCCGCGTTTCCCCTCCTCCTCCTCATCCCGCTCATCAGAAAGCCCCAGCCACTCCAAATATCCTCAAATCACATCAGGACGTAGTATCGAAATAAACATAAACAATGACAAATTTCCTTTTTGTTCATTTGCCCCTGCATTGTCTGGTGAAATGCTTCTCAGGATGTGCGCTTCAACTCCAGGTATCTCTGCCTTATTGGAGATACTAAGGCTAAGGTACCCAGGAACATTTCAGTAAATTCATACTATACGATGATACATGCCACCTTTGCTCAGAACACGCGATAGCATTAACATTGCATTCTGAGCTACTCGGCTGAAATAAGACACTACGAGAGAATTTTTCGCTCAAACGACATCAGGCAAGCTGTAGCACCATCGTGAGCGATATCCTGTCACAATCGTACGTTGGGTACCTACATACAGTCCTCGTGCAGCTTTCAGGCAAGCTTCCTGCTGTAGCTCCTCTCCACGCTCATGGAACCTTCTAGAAGCTTCCATTTGCTCACCCAGTCAAACCACCGCAACTCGAAATGTTCGCGGCTCCAGATCATACTGAGACACTGAGACAGGGACGGCTCCCACGTGTATCTAAGGTATCTAATGAACCGACGCGGTTTCCCAAGTAGATGGGAGTGAATTCACACAATCGACTAACAAGGCAAGGCAACAATGCAATGCAATGCAAAACCAACTTGCAGGCCGCTGAAATATGCTACAATGCCAGTCAAAACCATCAATAGCAAAACCCTTTTGCTCTAGGAGAAACCCCCCCTCCACTGCCAATTGATGGCCCTTCCTCAGTAAGGTTCCTTTCCTGAAAAATTCATTCCAAAGGCAACCCGCAGGACTGGATTTTGGCCCTTTGCCTTCGCTGCAAAACATCGAGCCGTATACAACTTCTTGCACTGCGTCTACTCCTGGGCATCCGGAATCTCCATGTCCATGCTCAACTCCCTGCCTCCATCGTTCCCCAGCGGTGGCGGCCGTACAAGTGACGGTGGTCTAACCCGCTCTTGCATCTCGGGGGCCTTGGTCGCCGCATCTTCTACGTGGCTCTCCTTGGGAGGAGTAGTAGTTGTAGTAGGGTTTTGCACTTCACCCTCTTCCGCCGCCAACGTGTCTGGAGTCAGAGTTGCAGACTCGACCGTCATCTGCGCCTGGTCCCGGTTTGGCAAGGGTGGCGGGATTCCATGACCTCCAAATGGTGCCTCTGTGCTGGAACCGCCAACGTATTCGAGTGTCTCTTGAGACATTTCTCCCAGCTCCTGCTCCATTCGGTCGTCAAATACAGGCTCAAACGGGTTCCTGTCCTCGCTACCAATCGACGCTCGGTTGGTGTCCATGGAGTCCATGCTATCTCGATGCTTTCTCTTAGAAGGAGAGATTGGGTCCGGATACCTCCTTTCATCCCTGCTGTCCGGCGCGGGCTTCTTAAGCTCCTGGCGGAAAGCCTTGTTGTCCGACCTGACAAACATGTTCAGAGCATCCGACAAGGGCGCCTTCGGAGTAGAGACTGCCTCTTCCGTGGCGTATACGAGCACCGGTACCTTCGTTTCGTGCCAAATGTCTCTCAGGACTCTCTCGACTTCTACTTTCTACAGGGAGGAAGGGGGAAGCGTTAGCATGATACTTGTCCATGTTGTGAAAAAAGGACTGCAAGCCACGTACCTCTGACCTGACCGGCACATCCTCGTGGGGACAGTATTCTAGCCGCCACCACTGATCAACTGCTGGTTTCAGATCTTCTGTTTCCGTAGACTCCGGCTCCAGACGTTGGCAGACGTAAATCACATCTCTCTCGGTCGCCACGCCTCGCAGCTGATACTTTTTGCATGTCATTGGCTTTGGTCGGCCTTGTTTGTCTGGGTCTGTCAGGAGCCTTCCCAAAAAGCGTTGCTTAGCTTGAAGCTGCTCTAGCTGAGCACGGAGGTCTATAATGGCACATTAGTATACGATTCTGGCCGTCTTCTCTTTGAGGGGTTTCAATCTCGTTACCTTGTGTTTTTGCTTCCATATCGGACAGTATCCGCTGTGTCAGTAAAAGCACGTCGTTGACCTGTCCGGAAAGATTGACCTGCTCCTCGGTCATTTGACACGGAGCATCCCGATAGTTGGGATACTTGCTCGTGTCGAATCCCGCAGCCTCCATGCCTTGGAAGCGCCCAGCAGTCTCAAGGTAGTCGGAAAACGCCTTCCATTGGCCCTGAGCCTCGCGAATCATGTCCAGCTTGTTGAACGACAGCTGATTCCAGTCATCCTGCCATTCCTGAAGGCGCCGCTCCTCCGTGGTCACACTATCAATCGCATTCTTGGTATCTAAAATCGCCATGGCAATCTTTCTGGCCTCCTCCTTGCGGCTGGCTAGATAACGCTCCGGGTATAGATGTGTTGGAATGTCGAACGAGTCTTGGGGACCGTGGTTACCGACCTTGATGACAAGAACCTCGCCCATTTTCCTAAAGGTGGCGATTTTGGCCTTTTCGTCTGCATCGTGCCACGACAGTATGTCGCTCCACATCATGTGGTCAAGAGCTTCGTAGAGAGTCTTGATGTGAGCGTAATCGCCCCTCGAATGGTCAAAGCTGAGCACACCAAATTTGGCCTCTTGGTGGACCACATCATCGTCCACGTCGAGCAAGATGGCCTCTTGATATAACGGTTGCAGCTCATCGCTGGTGTCTCCCAGCCTGGCATAAAACTGCTTCTCCATGCCAGATTTTGGGTCTGGGATCAACTCCGCTAGCGTGCTGACCGTTGCATAGCTCCTCTCGGTCGCGTCGAGAAACGCCATAAGTCGATGGAGTTCCTCGTCAAAGTGAGGCTTCATCACAGAACCGTCGCCCTGTGCCGTCCCGTCGGCGTACACTTGGCGAAGAGCCTCCGGCGGTAGAATCTCCTGTCCATTCCACCATTCGCTGTTGAACCCGTATGAATTCGCAGGAGAACCATATTGTAGGAGGATATTTCTCGCCAATGGGATCTGATGAAGGATCGTCAGCATCCCCCCCAGGCTGTGGAATCCCTCAGAGCTGGACCCCTGCACTAAAAATGCTGGGCTTGCAGGATCTCGCTTCCTTTGAGATGGCAACGGGGCATTTTTCAGCTGCGAACTGTTCTGTCCAGCAATGACCATAGCCCAGTTATCCTGATCGTAGTCGGAGCGGTTCGCGGGGCCAAAGTACGGCGTTGAAGTCGACTGGTCAATGATGCCGGTCTCTTGTGGAGGAAGAGACAGCCCCGCTTCCTGTGCCGATTCTCGCAATGCTCGCTGCATATCCTCGTCCTCTTGAGAATGAATGTTGTTCCCTCCTGTTGGTCATATCAGATTTAGTCTTTCGGAATTGGGGACAGGGGGCGCAGAGCACTACCTGCTGTGTCACCCGCAGACCACTCAATCATCCTGCCGAGCGGGGATCTGTTGTTGGATCGCGAGGGGGGTCTTGACGGTGCTCCAGCGGTATAACTAGGCGGAGGCGTCACTCCCTGTATGATATCATTGCCGTTTAGTGATTCAATGTGGAATGCTACCCCAGAGCGTCAGCCATCAGACGGTTCTCATCCATGCAGTAGGACGCCATGCATACAAACGCCAGCATTGTTGCTGTTCGCACCGTCTCTATCCGCAGAAAACATGGACTCGTTCCACACCGAGGTATACTTTTGTCGAAACTGCGGTCTCCATGTCAGTAACGTGCTGTTCGGCCATCTGATTGCTCGCAGAGGGGGGTGTGGTGGAGTCGCATACGCTCTCGGAGTTGTCAAAGTATTGCATGACGACGGTCTCGACGTTTCGATTGTTATTCTGCATCCCGTTAGCTACCGCAACGAGGTTGCCACGAAACACACACAAACCTTGAGCGCATTGATGATCATTGCACGGTCGTCGATCGGGTTGAGGCCCGCAAAGTCGACGACCTGCGAGATGTCATCTTCGGAGGGCTCCATGGACGCCATGGCGACTGACGGCCGCTCGTAGCTCGGTATGGGCAAGAGTCGAGGTTGTCGAGGCGAAAAGAAACCGCTGTGCTTGATGTGAAGAGTCGACTTCTCGGACCTGAAGAAGGCCTGGATCTAAGTCCTGTCCCTGTGCCCTCTGCTTCTCTGCCACTCTGCCTCTCTGCCTCTCCCCTCTCGTTTGGCGGGACAGGAATGGTGAAGCCTAGCCCCAGAACGGCCGTCGTGCGCAAGCCAGAGACATGAACGAAGCTATCGAGTCCGGCGATCCCAGGCGAGCAAAGAGAGACAAAGGTCGAGAAAAGCAGCAACGAAGAGTGAATGAGCGATGCAAGCAAGCTGCGCAAGCTCTCGCCTAGCAGACAGCTGGAAGGTAGGTAGCTGTGGATGTTGGTGAGCCGAGTTACGGTAAGTTGCAGCGGTCATTTATTAGGTAAGGTCCATGCATGTGAGCAACCCGAGTGACGCTGGGCTGGGCTGGGCGATAAGATAAGAGGCGGGTGGCAGCGGTGGACTCGGGGGATCGATGAGGGGCAGCCAGGTAGGTACTAAGGAATCAAAGCAGCTGAGTGCTTGTAATGCTGCAGAACATACATGTTACTGCATGAGATATCCATTCCAGGTTGTTTATTAGTACTAGGTGCTGCTAAGGTAAGGTACATACTAGAAGCACGAGTCAAGAGGCAGCGGATTACTCGGATCAAATGACTTGGCATATATGCCGGTGATGAATCAGATGGCTAAGTAAGCTACCTAAGTGAGTGAGTACCTCTACATCAACCAGATGGGAACCCAATCTTGGTCATCTCAGCTTCACCTCTATTGATCCAATCAGTTTGATTCTCCTTGGCTGGTCGCTTTTGAATCACTTCTCCCAATGAGTAAATTAAACAGTTGTCTGTTATATGCTTGATGTACCAGCGCGTCTATACGCTTCTGTCTTCTAAGGTATGTATATGCTGCTCTCTGACTCGAGCCACAGTAAACGATTTAAAACACGCTAAGATGAGATGCAGGTGATGGCTCAAGAACGCAAAAGGAAAAGGGAGACGCAAAGCAAAGAAGGAGGAACAATAGACAGAAAACAAGGAACAATCCAGATCCCTCCGTGGTCCAAGAGTAGAAATGCCACGCCGTGACACCGAAACGTCTCGCTGGCTGCTTCCACGCCGCGGTGAAAACAAGCCGCCAAACGCCGTCAAAGGGATACGCTAGAAAGGTGGGCAGATAATAGGATGTCCGTCCGAGATTGGGCATGTTGTCACAGACCAGTCGTGCCCCTTGCTCCTCCTCGAAGGATCGCTTGACGCTTCAGCAGGCTAAGGGGGACGGACGTCTCGTAGGATCTCGAGATGCTCATTTGTCATCATCGTCCTCATCCTCTTCCTCTTCTTCGTCCTCAAAGTCCTCCATGTTTTCATCGCTGTCGCTTCCGCCAAAGTCTTCTTCCTCGTCTGACATGTTCCAGAAGTCCGAGTCATCCTCGACCGGCTTTACAGGTGCGGGAGTCAGTTCAGCCATGGTAGGCATATGCGCGCCCTCCGGGATATGCTTCTGGGTCGCCGCGACCGTGGCCTTGGCCAACGAGTTATACTCGGCGCGATTGTCTCGATATAATACACTAGCGTCGACGTTGGCCGCTGAGTTGATCTCAGGGTCGTCCAGTAAGAGGAGGACAGACCGAAGGACTGACTCGACTCCGTGGAGGACGTTCCACCGCTCACTCGCAAGTTCACCGGACTGCTCGTCTTCGCCGGGCTTGTGGAGGATGGAGATGCAAAGGTTGCCGTCGGGATACACGTTCGGGTGGATGATGTTGGGAGTGAGGAACTTGAACGCTGGTGGTTGGTACGGGTAGTCGGACGGAAATCTCATCTCGGCCTGGAAAGTCATGTCAGCCTGTCAGACCGTCCTGGCAGGACACGCTGCCACCGATGGGTGAAAGCTAGGCTGCCTTACCTTGAGAAAGGCCCCATGCCAAACGCTGTCAGGATTGACCACCCACAGACCGATCCTCCACTTGAGAAGGTTGGCCTCGTCTGTCTGTTACGCCTTGTGAGTAAGACGATTCCTGCGCAAGACAGGTTCCGATCGAGCCAGGAGCACCTACTGTGATGTCTACCCATTTCTCCTTCTGAAGAGACTGCAGCTCCTGCATAAGACGCTTCTGGGCCATGGTGCTGAAGTCTGTGTATGGATAATAATTGTTTATCTCGTCTCGTCTCCGGTTTCTTTTCTGCTCTTCGCTATTGCGCTCTTCTCAACACACGGAAACTACGGCGTCTGGTTGGGTATCGAGGAGGGCGATTCCAAGGGGCGGATGAACGGAGGGCCGCAGTTTGAGGACTCGATGTCGTCGTCCGCGGATAGGCGCTGGGGTGCGGCTGGGAGGCGTAGGAAGGGGGGCGGCAAGGGTCGTCAGATAGTCGCGGTTCAAGGTTTGAAGAGATAGAAGGGAGAGGCAAAGAAGAGAAGGATGACAGACTCTGGCGAGCCGACGAGGGTAGATCTGCTGGCGGAGGAATTCCCGAACCTCAGCCGAACGCGGCCACGGCGCCAGAGGAGTGACGGCATCAGGTGGCTGCAGCAGGTGACGGCCGCAGGTCCCGGGCGGTGAAACCTCTGGAGGCGCCTGTGGGCAGCGGCTAGAGTTCCATGGATGCCCCGTCGCATCGACCCCAGGACCCTCCCGTCTGCTGCAGGGGGGCTGTTGGCGCTGGACTTGGGGGGTGATTTCTGCCACTCTTTGTTAGGGGAAGTTGGATTAGGCGCCGTTTTACGGAAGACTCGCACCGTCATTGGCAGATGAGGTCACTGCCAAGTAACGCTCCCGGCGCGCTGGTTACTCGCGGTACTTGCTCGGTACCGATCAGCAGGGGTGAAGCCTGATTCAATGTCGGGTCCGATCCATCAAGAAACCGCTTCAAGTCGTGGCCTCGAGTCTGGATCAACCTTGCGTCTACACGAGTGATTTCCACCGCTATCAAGAATGACTACCTACCTTGAATTCTGCCGCCAGAAGGGATTCAATATAGCCGTTGATCTGACTACGGAGGAGCCCCGAGAGCTGCTAACTGCAAGTATAAACGCCGGGCATCGATCTAGCATTCAAGATCTGGCCCGTCATTCTTACCGTCATCAAGCCACCGACAACAAGTTTTGCAAAAGGGATTTCAATTGCAACTTGAGGAGACCAAAGGGGACGCTAGTGAATTTTCCATGTGATTCCACATAAGAAAAGAAATATGACGCAGGCCTATACACCCATATAGAGGGTGACTCGCTTCCGCCTCAGCTTGGTAAATTTAGGGTAGCGCACTAGCAACTGGGCAGACAGATGTGAAGTTGGGCAGCGACCATAGCATTGCAGTTGGAAGAGACTTGTTGGTGCTTTGAGGGACTTGTGATACGCCACGAGTTATTGGGCAGGTAAGCATCATATTGTCCATCTCCCTTGCATAGGTAGGCAGTAAGGTAGCGTGAATGCCAACACCAAAGTCCGGAGCTCGACATTCATCATTTGCAAATCGTTGCCGTCCGCAAACGGTACCTTATCAATCCAGCGCATACAACGTAATACATACACGGCATCATCATCACCAACATGAGCAAACCAACATCCATCGCTCAAAACAGAGCAAACTCATGGCTCAACACCTCCCAGTCGCATCCGCCACTCATCCTGACAAATCGTAATACATGCATGTGCCTGACCGGAAATTGTACAAGAACGAATGCTTCGAGCCATTCTTCTTTTCGTACTTGTACCTCCACGTGTCCAGCTGGTCGTGGATTTCCCGCACGTTCTTCTTCTCCGAGGTACTCACGCTATGTTCGGCCTTGCGCCAGCTCTCAGGGTCCGACAGCTTGGTGTTCTGCACCAGCTCCATCAAGTGATCGCTGGTCTCGACAGCCAAGATGGGGCCTTCCAGGAACGAGTTCATCAACGAAGCCGCTGTGATTTGTGCTTGTTCCACCACTGTTCGTCGGTTAAACTTCTTGCTCTTGGTTTGCGCGACCAGAATCTTGACTTCCTGCTCATGTTCCTTCTCGCCATGTGGCGCAGACTCGGGCGCTCCACGAAACTTGGCCGCCGCCTTAATGTCTCGGTCTCGAATCTCGGGCTTCAGCCAAGAAATGAGCTGCGCCATGGGAAGGTCCACGTCCGGCACATCCTTCTTCCCTACAGTCTTGATTTTGAGCATAGAGTCTTGCTTGATGATGATGATCCAGGAGTAGCTCTCGTCCCGGTGTTTTGACATCAGGTCTTCAGGAGACCTCGAGTCTCTCGCGAGTTCTGCGCTGACATCGTGTGACCAGAGCAGCCGCAACACCTCAATGCCGGAGGAGCGGAGGGTGGCAGGATCAAAACTGGCCACCAGTATATCGCACTACAAGTTCATTGTCAGCTGGGGATTTCCAAGATGTCTCGGATGATGTTAGTAGTCCACTTACTCGCTTACTGCTGAAGATACTGCTCACGTCTTCTTCGGCTTTCCGCAGGAATGAATAGCCGCCTGATTTAGGCGTCTTCGCCAGCCTTTCCCACGCCAGGCTGAATCCGACCGCATGTCGCTTCTCGAATTGTCCTCCAATTTTGGGGCGCTGCTCGTTGATCAAGTGATCGTATCGGCCACCTGCCGCGAACACGTCCTTGGCTTTCCTATCGTAGATGCATGAGAAGAGGATGCCGCCGGTATAGAAGGCTTCCTTGAGACTGTTGAGGGGATTGATGTAAATCTTGGTATCGATGCCCAGTCGCTTAGTATACTCGACCACTTCCTTGAGATGCGCTATGGTCGACGAGGCACGCTGATACATGTCGCTGCCTTCGAAGACGAGCTTCAGCTTTGCAAAAGCCTTGTTTGGTGTGTCTGGGACATCGTATAGTTAGCAGTCTGTGTCTGTTGATCACTGTCACGCGCGGCGAAACCGTACCTCGGAAATCGAATCGCTGAAGTTCGTCAATACTAGTCGCTGAGATGCCAACGGCAGGTGACCGCAGCTCCATCCTGATTTTCTGCCATGTATGGTTGTGAATATTGAGTCTGGACAGAACATCTGCCGCTGCCCTTCTGGAGGAAGTTGGAATGCCGCAATACTCAAAGATGAGCTGCAGGATATCAGAATGCCCGATATGGAAGCACATTTGCGATGCAGACAAGGATGGAAAAGTGTGGAGAATTTCGTCCAAGACCTTCAAGACTTCGGCTTCCTTCAACGCGAGATCCAGCGTGTCCGTTGTCACAATGTCAAAGTCCACTTCGCCAAACATCTGAGGCTGTCCTGTATCTTGCTTGTCTCTAAAGACGCTGCCAAACGTATAGGTACGTTGCAATGGGTGGGACTGTGAATGCTTTGCCAGCATTCGAGCGTGTCCCATTGTAAGGTCATAGGGAAGCTGCAGAACGGTGCCGTTGGAATCAAGAAGCCGTACGGCATTGTCAGCGTAGTGCGAAGACTTGGGGTAGATGGACGTTCGTGTTGCTTCGAGAGCTCCATGCCGGCGGAAGATGGCCACCAGCGCATTCTTGACGATGCTTTGGTTCAAGAGCTCGGCAGCACTGGGCGTGACACCGTTCATGTCCCATGCGAAGTTCTTGGCTGCCTCCACAGGCCGAGCAAAGAGCGTTGCAAGCATCTTCTGATAGTACGGCGAGTTGGGGTCCGCCAGCCCCGCCAGAGTCCGCCTGATGGTCTCGCTCTCCATCTGGACGGGCAATTTGCCGCTTTTGAGAAGATCAGCGCTGGATGGCCGCTCCTTGGGGTTGTGATTTACGAGTGAGAGAACAATCTCGGTCTGTGTCTTGTCGGTAGGTCTGAAATCTGAGGGGAGGACAGGAACAGGGCGTCGAAGCTGCCCAAGAACGTCGGCTTTTTGCATACCCATCATCGGCATGTAGCACATTTCGAAAAAGATGATTCCAAGAGAGTACATCTGAACAAAATGTTAGCTTACAGAAGACATTCTACAGGAAGCGGCCAGAACATACGTCGACTTTGGTGCTATACATTCCATTGGATGCGGACCTCACTTCTGGAGCGGAATAGTAGGCGGTCCCGATACTCCTGGTCATGTCGTCGGCCTCATAGCCGTTGGCAGTGGCTCGATCCACAGAGAACTGACCGCTGGTTGCCAAACCAAAGTCACCAATCTTGACATTGTCCACGCCATCTGCGCTACTGGCAATAAATATGTTTTCCGGCTTCAGATCGCGGTGAACAATACTGAGAGAGTGGATATGAGATAGACCCTCGAGGATCTGCCTGAATAGGCGCCATACTTCTGGAGTGTTCTTGTAGAGCTTTCGTGCGATGAGATCTCTCAACGTCTAGCATCTGGGTAAGTTTCTGCTCCATAGGTCATTATTGTTCAGTTATACGTACCCGCTTCTCGCAGTACTCCATAGATATGTAGAGAACAGTCCGGTAGGACCGATGCATGCGAGTGCGCCGCTGAATGGCAGCTAATCTCTCCTTCTCTTGATTCTTGTCACGATGACCTGCAGAGTCCATGATTGAGCTCCCATCATCGTCCTCTTCGTCATCGGACAAATCATGGTCTTCGTCGTCATCCTCATCCTCGTCCGAATCATAGTCAAAGTCTGCTGCGGCATTGGACGATATGAAGTCAAGACCACCAGTGCTGGTAGCAAACTGAATGTCAATGCCTGCTGATTCGTTGCCCGTGTCCCGGGTGTCCTCAGTGTAGTCCTCCGTTGACGTTTCACCCTCGGTATCCGTCGAATCGGGGATTTCTTCAACCCAAGTGTTGTAATACCGTACGACTGCGGGATGGCTAAGCTGTGAAAGCAGTCGAACTTCTTTGAGAATTTCCGTCAAGCTGGCTTGCGAACGCTGTGTGATTTTCTTGATGGCGTATATCTGCCCATCCAGCTTCTTCCGGGCTTTGACGACCTCGCCGAACCCGCCTTTGCCAAGTCTTCCTTCTTCCACAAAGTCTTCCGTGTATCGAGAGACAGCCAAGGACCGAGTCGTCATCGAGTCTCTCCTAAGCCTCACGGGAAGAGCCTGAAGAGAGTTGACGGACGGGCTGTGAGCCAGCATGGCAGAGCTGTCTTCAAACAAGACAGGGGCATCAGTCGCTAGAAACTCACTGGCGCCAAGTTCGAAAGCCCTTGGTCTCTTCTGCCTATCGTCTTTGAAGAAACGACTCACTAATTCCTGGAGGGGGTGGGAGAGCATCACCGACTCCATCAGGTTCTTGGGAGACGAGTACTTGCGAAGCACATCCAGGCCAAATACCATCTGCACAAAGACGATACCAAAATCCCAAATGTCCGACTTGGACGTGTACTGAGGTTTTGTAGCTGCAGCGATCTCTGGCGGCAGCCAATACGCAGATTTTGCAGTTGCGAGCCCAGGGGGGCCTTGCTTTTTGGAGCCGAGGTTGAGGATTTCTCTCTGGTATGAAGCATCGGAGATTTTGGGTATAATTTCTCCAGTGGACTCCCTGAAGAGGAGAATGTTCCTGGAGTGAATGTCTTGGTGTGCAATGTTCTTATTGTGAAGGAAGTTGAGAGCATCCAAGAGATCCCTCGTCCAAGAACGAACTTTTCCTATCTCGAGATGGCCGGCCAGCTCCAACAATTCCTCCAGGGAGCCTCTTTCCGCCAGCGGCGTCAGGACCCTCACTGTCCATGCGTTGGCTGTCGGACGATCGGCAGCTACACCGCTTTCGACTTTGAAGTCCAAGATATCGACTAGATGTCGATGATGGACCTTGTTGCCAATCTTCAGGTCCTGCAGCCGAGATTCCAGAGACTGCAGCTGCTTCTTGAACTCTTTCTGATCCTTGCCGTTTGGGCGCAGAACAACTTCCTTCAACGCCAACTGCTGATTGCCCTGACCATGAGAGAGTACCGGACGAACAGTATACACGGTGGAAGCTTCTCCAGCACGAGGATCAGACTTGCCTGTGACGGACCTGAACGTCAAGGCATTCCCCATGCGGTCAGTCATAGTGCAGAACTGATCGAACTCGATCGTCTCACCGTTCGATACAGAGGATGAGGATGGCCTGTGTGGACTGAGGCCATTTGAGCGGCGACTGAACCTAGACTCTCGCGCCTTTTGCTTCTGCCGCTGCAGCTCCTGTTGCAATTCTTCGGCAGCAGCCTTCTCCTTCTCCTTCAGTTCCTCCTCTTCCAGCTGCTTCTCCTTCTCCTTTTGCTCCTGCGCTAGCTTTGCTAAGGCAGCTTCATGTCTGTCCCGTTCTTCTTCCAGCGAAGGCAGCTGTTTGCCGGATGCCTTTGCCTGCGCGGCATCTTCAAGGATGTCCTGAATACCCTCGACAATCTTGTATATCATTTCTTCTGCTTCCTTGGCGAATATTCTGGGCTGCGTCTCCATGAACTTTTGAATCTTGAACGCAGTGACCTCGCGGAGATATTGCTGGCCTTTGAGCGTCATGAGCGGCGGTGTCTTTGGATACGTCGCCGTCAGAGTGAAGCCGACAGTGACGGCAAGCTCTTCATCGCTCGGAGCCTTGATCCGAATATCGAACGAAGGATCGGACTTCTAGAACTGGGTGTAAGTCGAGACGCGCCGACAAGGAACGAAGCCTGCTAGGGGTAGAATACCTTCCAGGCGCTATGCGCCGCGGTGTGCTGGATAAAGTCATCTCCATAAATCGCTTCTAGGGCAAAAATCTCGTTCCTCTGGAGCTCCTCGTACTCAATCTTGGTCGTCGCATCCGTGCCGGTGGGCTTGAGGCCCGGAAAGCTTGAGTCATCCTTGGGGTTCTTGGGCGGCCCTGTCAGTATCCCGGGTTTCTTCCACGCCATGGTTGCGTGATACCTGGGTAAGAGCCACAGCAGAAGCCGTGACGCTTTACACAGAAGAGGCCATGATGGGCACGTTCAGTAGGGTCGAGGTGTAAGGTAGTAGGTAGTATGGCTGGTGTGGAGGAGGAAAGATTTCCAGCTTGAGAAGGGGCCAGTATCGGCTGAATGAAGCTATCGATACCAGGTGGCGGGGCAGTTTCATCACCTGGTGCCTCCAGGCTCTCTAGGTAGGTAGTAGCGCCTTGCTCTGGTACCTAGGCTCCCCCCTGTGGCCCGGGTCAGCACGTACCAGCGACAGCTCTCCAGGCCGCTAAACCTGTCCACGGGTGCCTGTGCAGGGCTGAGCTGGAGGCTTCGTCCAGTGGGCTACAGCGGCCGGCTGGCGATCGATCCCATCCATTTGATGAACTCCACTGTGCTGAGACGTCGGGACGTGGACGCCGCTAGGCCGATTGTGCATCTGAGGCCCGCTGCCACTGGAGAGCTCGGCATACCGTCCTGGAGCTTGCGGCCGCACTGTGCTTCCATCGATAAGGGAAAAATACAGTAGGTAGCATTTCGTCACTGGCCAAACACACCGACAAGCAGACACAAGTAAACAAACACATCGATCCTCCCCAGCCACCGAGCTTCGACCTGCAGACACGGCAAAGTCCGGGGGCTGAGGGCTGCACACTCATTTGACTTTTCCTACAAATACACCCTCAGCTCTTTGCAGATTCTTTGTCGAGAAAGTTACAATCGTTACGGACTTTCGCCCAGGATGCTTGGCTGGATGCTGGGGCGCGGAGACCACGCGCCGGACGCGGTCGACGGCGGTAAGTGAGGATATATGCATCTCCATGCAATCATGATGGATCATGATGCATGCATGGACGTAGTGATCGAAATCTGATGGCTTTCTGTTGTTCTTCCGCCCCATTAGACACAGCCCTACTCGATCAGCCAGACACTCCCGCTCCCGTCTTTGCAGCCAGATCCCTGAAGAGCGCGCTCTTCGGCACACCAATTCGAGATGCACAACGATCGTCGCGGGATAGGAGAGCAGCAAAGTCAGCATCTGTAACGGCAGAGCATGGCCTGGATACTCCGTTGAAGCCGCCGCCGCCGGGCATCCTGCTGACGCCTGGTACCGGAACGTCGAGACCAAAACGCGTGTCATTCAACCATGAGCTCGCTACGACCAAGACCATCTCGCCGAATAACGAAGGACCTGTAGTCGGAAAGAGAACCCGCCTCTCCGATGTGCTCGAAAAGGCGAGGCGGAAAAGCACCACCAACGTATCCAAAACAATCACGCCCCAAATCGTCAAGGACGAGTCGGATGAGGAGGACTGGGAAGAAGAGGAACATGACGACCTCGGGGATTTTGGCGCCAACGACGTAACCCTGGACTTGAACGAGCCACGATCCCAGTCTGGCATATATTGGAAAGAAGAGTTCGAGAAATACCACCGAGAGGCACGAGCGGAGATGGAGAAGCTTTTGAAATACAAGAAACATCTGAAGTCCTACGCGGAAGAGAAAGACTTGGAAGCTATCCACCTGGCCCAGAAGCTCAAAGAGGAGCAGGAAAAGGTTGCTGCCATGGAGAAGAAGCTGGCGGAGAGCGCAAACCCAACGATGTCGAAAAGGAAAGGCGAGATACTGGAAGCCTCGACAACTGTCACAGACTCGAACGCCCTGGTGACCCAACTCCGACGTAGGATCCGGGAATTGGAGGCAGGAGTGCCTGAAGAGCCGGAGGACGACGACGAAGCGAGAGAGTGGAGGCGGCTTCAAGGAGCGACGTCCCCAAACACGGCAAGAACTCTGCTCGAGACGCAGCGAGAACTGCGACGATCCCGGGCGCAGTTGAAGGAACTGGACGCCTTACGAGGCCAGGTATCCTCACTCAAGGCTCAGTTAAAAGTTGCCGAACAGCGCAAAGCTACGGATTACATTGCCAAAGACGATGTGTCTGACACGACAAAGATGAGGGAGCTCAAGGCGCAGCTTCGGTTAGCAAAGGAAGAATCGGCGAGAAAGGACGCTGAGTTTGCGCAGCTGAAACAAGACTTTGATCTTTTCCGAAAAGAGAGCAATGCTCACGAGGCTGATACAAAGGCCGTTCTCGAGCGCGCGCAAACCAAGATTTCGGATCTGAAGAAGGAGCTCAAGACCTTGAAGAACAAGGGCACTGCGGATGAAGCTCGATCAAGAGGCCGGAATCACACATCAGGGGGCGGCAAGGTGCCAAGGGACAGCGAGGACGAGGACGTCCTGCCAAGGCTACCCGCCGTGACAAACGGTACGCGGAGGAGTATCGACGTGGCTGATCTTGAGCAGCCCAGACATCTGTTTGAAGGGGCCAACTCGAAGTCTCGGACGTTACGGGATAAGTACCAGACTGACAGCACGCCGGGTCAGTCCCGAGCAATGGCCAAGCCGAGAGGCGCAGTCGAGTCATCGGGCGACCGCCTCAACGCTGATAAGTCAAAATGGCCATTTCTGGCGCCTAAGCAGCCGAGAGATCGAATCTCCGTCAGCGAGGCCGCGCCGATCGTCTCGGATGAAGACGATACTGCCCCCCTTCCCAGCATATCAACCGTGGTAAAGCCCACGGCTCAGATCAAGAAATCGGCTTCAACGGAGGACGATACAGACGTCCAGATTGACCTTTTGCAAGATCGCTTTGCCCGGCTAGGCGGTCCCGACACAGCTGAACATAGGTTGAAGGACGTGTCCAAGACGAACAACATGAAGGGGCTGTTGCCGCCTGAGCGACGGGCGGCCGCGCTGGCTCGGATCGAGAAGAGGATGGCCGAGAAGAGGGCGAAGCGACGAGATGGACTGGACAAGGAGAATGTCAGGCCGTAACGCGCTAGAGTTGTTTCATTAGCAAGTGTATATGAGGATGGATTTTGGTTTTTTTTTTTTTTCAGTATCTAATTTTGGGATCAGCGTTGGTGTTTTGGGACAGCGAGGCAGAGGGTGGCTTATCAGCGTTATTTATTGCCGTGAGAAGCGGATTGTAATGCAAACCCAACGGGGTGCTTGGATTTTTCACTTATAAATATCTTGTGTCTTATCCTCCTAACCCCTTAAATTTATCTCCATTTTCCTACTTTTTGTTATCTATCTCATGTAGGGTCTGTGGTTCGCATTGTACCTGTAGGTATGTAGCTAGATGGCGGACGTTGACGCGTGTAAGGCGTCTCCTATCGAGCGGCTATCACACACGATCTACCTACCTTACCTACCTAAATGATGATGTGTCAACCGCCCAATCTTGACCTCTACATGAACCCTTCCACAACATTCCCCGGAAATGGCATCGCAAGATGAAATCGAGACTGAAATCGCGCTGCTCGAACGTCGCCTGCAAGAGGCAAAAGCCCGTTTAAAAGCTCTGAAACCATCATCATCAACAACATCATCATCATCATCGTCCAATTCCAACAGCAGCATCCCGTGTAAGTTCACCTACTTCACTCCCCTCACTCATCATTCCAAGAAATCAACCTCTCAACTCACGCCGAATCCAACAGCTCATCCCTCGCCCTCTGCATTCTCACCCGCCTCCTCACACACGCACTTCCTCCTGCTCCTCTCCGACTCCGCCCTCCCCATCGGCTCCTTTGCCTTCAGCAGCGGCCTCGAGTCCTTTGCCGCGCACAACCGCAGTGCCGCCTCGTCCTTCTCCTCCTTTCTCCCGCTCTCGCTCTCGTCCTACGCGTCCTCCACGCTGCCCTTTGTCCTCGCCGCGCATCGTCGGCCGCAGTGTCTCGCGGAATTAGATGACCAGCTTGATGCGGCTGTCATTTGCACCGTTGGTCGGCGCGCGAGTGTCGCCCAGGGAAGGGCCCTGCTGAGCATATGGGAGCGCTCCTTTAAACCAACCAACCTACCACCTTCCACTTCCTCAACCTCATCCTCATCCTCATCCTTTCATCAGGCCGCCAGCAACAACAGCAGCAGCAGCAGCAGGAGCAGCATCTCGCCAGACGCCCTCGTGCTCAGCAACTTCTCCGCCCTCCTCCGCCGCGAAAGCACCAAGTCCAGCGCCGGCGAGCCTCCCCTCGTCTCCGCCCACCTCGGCCCCCTCTTCGGCGTCATCGCCGCCGTCGTCGGCCTCTCGCTCCGGCAGACGGCCTACGTCTTCATGCTCAGCCACGTCAAGGCGCTCGTCTCGGCCGCCGTCAGGGCCAACATGTTCGGCCCGTACCAGGCGCAGAAGATGCTCGCGAGCGAGCACGTCCAGGCGCTCATCAACGCCGTCGTCGAGAGGGAGTGGCATACGTCTGTGGAGGAGGCTGGGCAGAGCGTGCCGGTGATGGATCTGTGGGTTGGGCGGCATGAGCTGCTTTACTCGAGGATCTTCAACAGCTGAGGATTTCTACATGTTCAACAGCGGAGGCTTCTACATATGCATGCAGGGTCAAGTTGTCTTGCATCTCAAACTGGTATCATTATAAACGCTGTACCTATAGAGAAACAAACCCTTTACCCAAATCTAGAATATTAAACGAAATTCGAAACCAGATACCACCAGAGTAATCAAAAACGCCATTCTACTCATCGCTGTCGCTGTCATATGCGACCAGAGGCCCTGTAGATGCGGGTGCCGCTGGTTTCGATGCCACTGCGACCTTGGCCCTATTCAATGCCGCCAGAGTGCTACTAGAAAAGACACCGGCGCTCTGCTGGGGCTGCTGCTCATTCTGCTCTTGCGCTGCTGGAGCTGCTGTTTCCCCGGCCGTTCCGTCTTCAATCATGGGGCGTTGCTGGTATTCCACTTCGTATCCTTGACGCCCAACGGGATTGACTGCGTTGGGGCCCTGGGCGAAATGGATCTCGTCGGGAGCCTCGTAGCCTTCCAGGCCATAACTGCTCTCAATCTTCCTCCGTTTCCTGGCCTCTGGATCTTTGCCCTCTATTTCGGCGACGAATTCGGCTGGTAAAGCTCTTCTAATTGCTTCGGCAGCTTGCTCCTCGATCCGTCGCGCTTCTCGGGCTCGCGCCATGGGATTGGGATCGGCCGTGGCCCATCGGACGTTGAGCACTTCGTCGTGGTCGAGGGATCTAGCATTGGTTAGTGATGAGGCGTTACATCGTGACACAGGAGGGCAGATACATACTGATGCGCCATGGCCTCCTTGGCGAATTCGGCATTTGCCTCATTAACGTACGTGACGAATCCAACGCCTCTCTGGTTTAACACACGGACTATCGCCAATGGTCAGCACATGCCAGGATTTAAAACATCGTAGCTTGCTAAGATACTTACTGCGTTCAATGGGGCCCCATTCGGCAAAGTGACGCGCCACAATCTCCTCAATGTCGTCTGTTACGTGTATGCGGCCGATGTAGATGGTTCTGTTCTGACGCATGAAGCTTCCAACGCCACCCATGTCGTCTCGGTAGTCGGCAAACTTGTCTCTGCCAAAGATGTCGACGTTGGGCGCCGAGACGTCGTAGGGTCCGGGCAGTCGGTGCAGGTACATGCAGTCGGCTCCTCGCGGGCACAGCCCCCTGGCGAAGAAGAGGCAGAAGTAGCTCCCGGCCACGCTGTCGGCCTTTGTGTATCCGCTGTCTCGCGCAATGTTGCAGCGCCCCTTGGCCTTTGTCTGCTGGTATGCCTCGTGATCGCCGCCCGCCCATTTGTTGTACCTGCCTTGGTGTCAGCCGCGCCGTCCTGCACAGCAATTGAGCGCTCGCAAAGACTAATAGTGACTCACCAGATGTTAAAGGTCGTGCCCGTCTGTGGTGGCGGCTCGTTGGAAAAAGTGCTCGGGTCGACCTGGGGTCTGGCTGGCCGCCGCTTCCTGCGGATGATCTTCTTGACGACCTTCTTCTCTGTAGGGGCCGCGACCTCGTTGCTGCTGTTTGTTGTTGCCAGAGCCGTGCTCTGGTTCTCTTCTTCGGCTGCTGGCGCCGTTGCGACACCGTCTTCGTGTTGGTCCGTCATGATTCGGTTGAGCAAGAGAGACAGATGATGGTTGAAATCGCGATGGCAGAAGCAAGTTGGAAGCAGCAATTTGGCCCAGCTTGACGCGCACAAGGCTGCAGAACACATACTAGTGGCGAAAGAGGAAGGCGGTGGCGCTAGTGCGAATCTGATTACATGTACATGCGGTACACAGCCAAACGCCCCTCCAAACTTCTTTTGCTCCGTCTTGAGCCAGAGCCCCGCCATTATCAAATCTCAAGGTCGACTTCGAAGCCTCTCGGTTCCCTCACAAAGGCTCGACGACATCGATACCTCTCTTACTGAACTCATCTCCTACTGTTATTCCCCCCCTTCCACTCATAGACACACAAAGACGGTTCTGCCGTCTATAAATAACCGGGCTTCAAGATGGTGAACATTACAGAAAAGATCAAGGAGTGAGTAGACCGGTTGGTTACATTATGAGAGGCCGTGGCTGATGATATGTCCAGGATCGAGGAGGAGATGAGAAAAACACAAAGTAAGCATCTTCACGAGAGACACTCCACGAAGCCCATTATCTCCCCTTGATAGCCGCGGATGCACCACCGAGGCCCCTGTATAAGTGCGGAAAGCATGAGATGGCGAGAGAACAGCAGTTATACGACGGCGACGGTGCACTTGGCGGGCCATCTATCATGCAATTGAGATGAGACAATGGACATGGCACAGGCTCAAGTTTCCGAGATTGGCCCGTTCAAGTGTATCTTCATCTTTACAACCTTACACTTCTCTCCATCTATGCTGGGCATAAACCGTCGAACCTCATTGCATCTTACAAACAATCTCATCATCTTGGGGCTCCAAAAGAAAAAACTTTATCAATTCATGTCAGTCTACGGTCTAGCTAACGATGCAAACAGAAAACAAGGCCACCGGTATGTCCACGAATGATGCCCTGGTAAGAAACCGAGACTAACAAATGGTCAGAATACCATTTGGGTCTGTTGAAAGGGTAAGTCGAGAAAAAAACCATGTCTCGAAGAAGCAACCTCCTAACGACACTAGAAAGCTTGCACGTCTCCGAGCGCAGCTGCTAGAACCAGGTCCCGGAGCCGGCGGCGGCGGCGGCTCAGGCTTCGACGTGAGCAAAAGTGGTGACGCCCGAATATCCCTTGTCGGCTTTCCCTCAGTAGGAAAGTCCACGTTCCTCTCCAAAGTCACAAAGACGAAATCCGAAGTAGCCTCATACGCATTCACAACCCTCACGGCCATTCCCGGAGTGCTGGAGTACGGTGGTGCCGAGATCCAGCTGCTCGATCTACCCGGTATCATCGAGGGCGCTTCCGAGGGCAAGGGCCGAGGCCGACAGGTCATCTCGGCCGCCAAGACGAGCGACCTGATTCTCATGGTGCTGGACGCCACAAAACGGGCCGAGCAGAGAGCGCTGCTGGAGGCCGAGTTGGAAGCCGTCGGCATCCGGCTGAACCGCGAGCCCCCGTAAGTGAGAACAACAACATCAGGGAAAAAAACGTCTCTGTGTATCATAGGTCCCTATGTCTCATCGGCTGACAATCCTTTCCCCCCAGTAACATCTACCTCAAGGTCAAAACGGCCGGCGGCATGAAAATCACCTTCCAATCGCCCCCCAAGCGAATTGACGAGAAGATGGTCTACAACATCCTCCGCGACTACAAGATCCTCAACTGCGAGGTGCTCATCCGCGACGAGGACGTCACCGTCGACGACCTCATCGACGTCATCATGAAGGACCACCGCAAGTACATCAAGTGCCTGTACGTCTACAACAAGATCGACAGCGTCTCGCTCGACTTCCTCGACAAGCTCGCGCGCGAGGACCACACCGTCGTCATGAGCTGCGAGCTCGACCTCGGCATCCAGGACGTCGTCGACCGGTGCTGGAAGGAGCTCAACCTCATGCGCATCTACACCAAGCGCAAGGGCGCCGACCCGGACTTTAGCGAGGCGCTCATTGTGCGCAACAACAGCACCATTGAGGATGTGTGCGACAGGATCCACCGCACGCTCAAGGACACGTTCAAGTATGCGCTCGTCTGGGGCGCCAGCGCGAGACACATTCCTCAGAGGGTGGGCTTGGGGCATGTGGTTGCTGATGAGGATGTTGTGTATATTGTTACGGCATGGAAGGCGTAGATGTAGTAGTAGATTAGCATAAGAATAAGAATGTTACGAGACATTGGCAGTCTTCTTTACTCGTTATCCAAGACCCTGCTGCAAGTTACTTCATGATTTGTATTCCGCACCGATGATAACGGAAATAGAAGAGATGAGGACTATTCATATTGCCCCTTTTTGGCATCACCTCAAGAAGGCATATCCGTGGCTCATTAAACTATCAAACGCCGAAAGCCACCTTAAAAGACAAATTCCTGCGATAAACCTCTATCCTTATATTCCGACGGAGGCCTCGTCCCAACCCAGATTCCCACTCAGCCGTTACCCAGGCTGATCCGTTTCCCGTCCCCACTTGTCATCCATTTTGACTGGGGAAAGGGGTCGTTAAAAGACAAAAGAAAGAAGAAAAAACACCCAAAATCGAGAAAGCAACGCAGCCGTTACTGTACAAATACCAGAAGAATCGCCGTCGCAAAGAGTCCGCCCACCAAATACTCAGCGAAGCCGCGACTTGAGGATAGGCTCGCTGCCGGCACTTCTAGCACCGAGCGGATTCTCGCCTGGAGCAGCGGCCGCCCTCACGCCGAATGGATTCTCGCCTGCGAGCCTCTTAGTGCTCGTCTGGGCGAAGAGTGACTTTGGCTTGGCCCTGGAACACGAACGAGACTTGTTAGCCTTTGTGCTTTCCAAAAGGGGGGCCCCGTGTTCAATCGTCTAGGCATATATAGGTGATTGTCATCGGAAGGGGCCTTTATTTTTGGGTGGCTTCCGTGGTGAAGCTGGGGGAAATAATCGAGGGAGATGTAGGTTCGAAGGCGAGAGAGAGAGAGCGGACATACTTGGTGACTTGCTTGTTGCGCAGCGCCGAGAGCTTTGCCGTGCAGGGACTCATGATTGTGTCCGAAGGCGAAATGTACTGCTTCGTCCTGTATCAAACCATCCCCAACAAGGGGTCAAGTCAGTCAAAAGAGCAACTCGAAATGTATGTACATCAAAAGCAGAAAGGGAGGGGAAGGGGCTCGGCGTACGGCTCTTGGGCAATCCTGGACTGAAACACCTGGCGATGGTACTCCATGCTCTTGACGCCCTTAGCGGGAGCCTGGCCATCGGCAAGAGCGGCGTTGACGTCTCTGTCGCCGAGGATCCTGGTGCCGGACATGTTGTTTGCTCTAATCAATGTGTATCTTTTGTAGAGGGGATGTTTTCTGTCGTGTAAAGGGAGTTGGTGGTTGTGTCGTTGCCGAGCAGGATTGGCTCTAGATTTGTGTGTGTGTGTGTGTGCGTGAAGAAAGTCGTAGCAAATCAACCAGAAAAGGTCACCGTAAACCGTGAAAAGAGAAGAGGAAAAGGTAAGATAGAAAAGAAGTGAAAGGTATGGGGGGTGGGCAGCCGTCCGGTTTTGTAAAAGGTTGCAATGCACAGCACTTAAGAAGAAGGCGACAAATGTCAATGCAAGTTTCAGCTTTCTTGATCAGGTATCAACCGAAGAGGATTGGGCGGATAAAGAACAAGGAAACAACAAAAGGGAGAAGAAGAAGAAGAATGACGTCCACGCTTCATTCACGCAAAAAGGTGTCGAACGAAGAGAAGTAGCGGAAAGTAAACGAATGCCGGACGTTGGCTAGGCAACGGTGACCTTCTTGTTCTTTTGCCACTTACACAACTGACGCAACCCCTGCATTTTTCTTTGGGCCTTGGTATGTATGCATGAAGCGTGTGTGGAGTCACGGCAACGGACACTTGTGGCCGAAGCTGCTACTAGCAGAGGGGAGTGAGAATTATCTTGGTCTTTCTGTTTGGATTGGATTGGATTTATTATTGCCTGGACTGGCAAGACTGGGGTTGGTTTCTGAAATGTAAAGGGGGAATAAAGAGTCTGTTTCTGAAGTTGGTGGAAAGTCGTGTGAGTCAGGGGGGTGTGGCATTAGGGATGAGGTGTTGACAGACGGTGTGTTGGACGTTGGTTGTCTGTCTACACTGCTGAAGATGGGACGAAGGCGGCGAGGAGACATGCTAGAAGAAAGCTACTAGTAGTACTATATAGCAAAAAGTGTAACCATCATACATCCTATACGAACCATGGCGTCTTGTAACTCGTCATTACATTTCGTCTACCGATAGTCTGCATATCCTGGGTAATCGCTAACATCTGCATTGCCGTCTCCAGATGGTTTCATCTGGCATATCTTACAAACCCATAGCACATCAGAATAAACCAATAGTATAGGCATCTTCTCTACAGCTTGGCACTATGCTTAATCTTGGAGCCAGGCTCGGCAATCTCAGTGCCGTATCGCTTCAGCAGCTCCTGCGTCTTGGCCTTCTGCCACTGGATCTTGGCCGCCGTCTCCTTGCCGCGCTTGTTCTCGTTGCGGCCCATCTGCTGCAGATGCACCTCGTCGGGGCCGTCAGCCAGGCGGAGCGTCCGGATGCCCGCCCACATGTTGGCCAGCGGCGTCTCCTGAGAGACACCGGCGCCGCCAAACGCCTGCACGGCGCGGTCGATGACGGTCAGCGCCGTCTGGGGAATCAGCACCTTGGCCTCGGCAATCTCCTTGAGCGCCTTCTTGGGGCCCTCCTCGTCCATCCTGACGGCCGCGTTGAGTACGATGAGGCGTGCTGCGTCAATCTCGATGCGCGACTTGGCGATCCATTCGAGGATGACGCCGTGCTCGCGGAGGAGCTTGCCAAAGGGCTTCTTGCTCTCGTCGTTGACGCGCATGAGCATCCAGTCGAGGGCATTCTCGGCCTAGGATAGTTTACCGTTAGTGGAAAGGAACCATCAGGTAGGGTCAGGTGGTAATAAAGCAGCAGACTTACAGCGCCAATGCAGCGCATAGCGTGGTGGATGCGCCCAGGTCCCAGTCGGCCCTGGATAATCTCAAAGCCCCTGCCCTCGCCGAGCACCAGGTTCTTGGCCGGCACGCGCACATTCTTAAAGGTGATGTGACCGTGGCCGTGGGGAGCGTCGTCGTAGCCGTACACCTTGAGCATCCTCTTGATGGTGATGCCGGGCAGGCCAGCGGGGACTAGAATAACCGACTGCTGCTTGTACGGATCGGCGTTGTTGGGATCCGACTTGCCCATGACAATGTACAGCTTGCATCGGGGGTCGCCCGCGCCGCTGGACCACCACTTGGAGCCGTTGAGGACGTAGTCGTCGCCGTCGCGCGTGATCTGGAGCTGGATGTTGGTGGCATCCGACGACGCGACCTCGGGCTCCGTCATCAGGAACGCCGAGCGGATCTTGCCCTCCATCAGGGGCTTGAGCCACTCCTCCTTCTGCGCCGCGTTGCCGTACTTGGCCAGCACCTCCATATTACCCGTGTCGGGCGCGGAGCAGTTACACGCCTCCGAGGCGCTGCGCGAGCGGCCCAGCCACTCCGCCATGAGGGCGTACTCGACGTTGGTCCAGCCAGGCGACTCGGCGTAGAAGCCCTTGGGCAGGAACATGTTCCACAGGCCCAGCTTGCGCGCCTTGTCCTTGAGCTCCTCGATGATGGACGGGTGTGTTTCCCACCGGTTATCGCCCTCGCCTATCTGGGCTTCCAGCACGGGATCGGCGCTGGAGGTCACTGTTAGCCGTGGGATCGCGAGATGCGTGTCGCGGAGCTGTCGAGTGTCGTCCGGGAGAGATGTGGGATATGGTCAGGGCTCACGGAATGCATTCTTCCTCGACAAACTTGGCCACGATGTCAATCTTTTGTCGCGCCGCCTCGCTGACGTGCTTTGAAACCTGCAATCAATCAAACAGTCGAGCTGTCAGCTTCAATTCCATGGCTTGATATCCGCTCGGGGAGCGCCTGGGTCGATGGGGAAGTTGATATTGAGCTTACAATGGATGGGATCCGAGCTGACATTGTGACGAAAGACGGGCGGTATCAAGTAAACCACGAGAACAAAGAAAGAAAGGGTATAGTAGGAAAGATGGATGAAGGTGGAGAGTCTCCCCGCAAATGCTGAAACCGTGAGACCATTGAGAAAGTGCTGCAAATGGTGTGATATTTATCTGACGGATGAGCCGAGGCGGAGAGTCGACCTGTCGGGCCACGATTCGGTGGAGAGAGTCTGGGGTAAGTCGCAAGCCGAGGTGCAGAGTGGGGGGGCGCTTCACCGACCCTGATAGGCGCCTGGGGCGCTGTAGCTGCAGTGACTTTTAGCGGGCGATGGGCCGTTACAGAGCACCAGGCCTCTGTATCAGAGCTGGAAGAAGACGGGAGTCCGATGAGGTCAACCCACCTAGTCATTGCAAGATGATGAAGCTGCATTCGGTTGATATTTAATGCCCAAGATACATCATAGACCGGATTCAAAAGACAAATGCAGGGTCCGATTGATGCAAGATATATAACAAACCAGTAGCATGGAATCGCTTCCAGCTACGCATAGAATCTATAGCCCCAGTGTCCTTGACAACGTAAAGTTAGGTAGAGAGGTAGCATGAGATGACCAAATCGAAAGCTCTCCCCTCTCCCCTCTCCCCTCTCCCCTCTCCCCTCTCCCCTCTCCCCTCTCCCCTCTCTTCTCTCCTGCAGCCACCAGTTAGGAGCCGAGGCTATAGCTGATGCCATTGCCATTGAATCCCCCTCGTCGACAGTTCCAATCGTCCGCAATCCTTCAACCAAGAAAACAAGAAAAAGAAATCAACCCAGACACTAAAAGAGCAAAAAAGGATAAGGAGACAGAACAAAAGACCAAAGAAAAATTACTGTCCCCGCAAAACACCAACATTGCTTCGTTCCTCCATACTTTGCATCCAGACAAGAAATTGTATCGGGTCCATGACCGGGTATGTCGTTTCTGGTTATTCACGCTCAATCTCTGATCACTGTCGTATTCATCCAAGTATCATGTCGCCCTCTTCTCGTTTAGCAAGCACATCCGTCACGGTCGTTGTCGATGTGGATGTTGATCGGGTCATCAAAGTCGCCGCTGTATTCCTCAGACTCTTCTTGAGCCAAAGCATTTCGAGCAATAACTGCCGACGGTTAGCAAAAGACTCTCTCACGGCCATCACAAGCAAGGCTTGTCGTACCCTCAAATGCTTGGTCAATATTGATGGCCTCCTTTGCACTCGTCTCAAAGTATGGGATGTCGCCTTTGGACTGGCAGAATGTCATGGCTCGCTTGGTCGAAATCTGCGCGCCTGCTGCGTTAGCCATCTACGAACAAGGATCTCAAAGCATGGGCACCAGTCCTTACCACTCGCTTGCTCTCCTCCACATCAATCTTGTTTCCAAGGACGACCTGTAGATGTACAATCAGCCAATCATTCCAAACCGCAGTGCTGCCGCAACAGTCACACTTACAAAAGGAAAGTTGGGTGGATCTCTCGGCGAAGCCTGGATCAAAAACTCGTCTCGCCAGCTGTCCAGGGCCTCGAAACTCTTGGCGTTGTTGACGTCGTACACCAAGACGCAGCAGTCGGCTCCTCTGTAGAATGCGACGCCCAGCGACTGGAATCGCTCCTGTCCGGCGGTATCCCAGAGCTGCCCAAATTATCAGCAACCATTTCCTTGCCGCCCTTTCCATATGCCCTCAAACACCTCATACCTGCATGGTGACCTGTCGATCGTCCACCAGAACCTCCCGCGTTAGGAAGTCGGCGCCGATGGTCGCTTTGTAGCTTGCGCTGAACTTCTTGTTGACCTAGAGGGGGGGCGAAGAACAATCACGTCGCCAGTCAGTCGTTGCAGGCCTCGGCGATGGACAGGAGTCGTAGTGGTCATACATATTGGTTCATCAAGCTCGTCTTGCCCACACCGCTATCTCCAAGGATGATGACCTATCGAAGCAAGCAGCTTTAGCATCGCATTCCCGCCGAGCGGCGCCGGTGTTCTGGTTTCTGTACCTTGAGAAGGACCTTCTTGTTGCGCGAAGACATCTTGACTGATCGTGGTGACGCTCGCTGCTCGGATGACGTGATGGAGACGATACAAAGCAAAGCCACAGCGAGCGGAGGCGGCCTCGTCCAAATGCTGATTTTCCGCAGAGAGAGAACAAAAGATGTCAAATGAGAGAGCCACCGACTTCTGCAGAAGTAACAGGCAAGCCCAAAAGCGGCAGATGTCACGAGACTTGGTCGGTGTTTGATGGATGGTGAGGCTTCAATGACGAGGCTGGCTATGGTCTGGATTTGTTGATTGCGGGCAGCGATTGCCTTCTAGCGCCCACCCAACGGTACCTATTTGTAGGTACCTAGCCGGATCCACCCTGATACCGGTGTCGTAATGGCGCGATAGGCCGATGGGGGTTTAGCGCTTGGCGGCTTGTGGTCTAGCGCCATGCATAACTGTAGCCTCCGCATGAGCAGCCCGTAACTCAATCATGCGTGCAACTGCACGTGATAAAGTACCCCTTGGCGGGAGACGCGCTGCAGAGGTACCTCCATCCATTGACTCGGAATTGTATGTCATCTCATATCGCTTGTCGCTTCCAGGTACCTTGGCTTTTCCAAGCGAATCTAGACATGCCTCTTCTTCTCCCTCAGCATCGGCAGTGAACCAGCGCTTTCACATACTACTACGCTATCCATCTGCTGGCCGTCCTGATGGCCCTGGAGGACGCACCGGCGCTTTGCCATGGCGGATGATGACTTGCTGGGAAAGGTGCACAGCCTGAGCGACCTGGAGCTGGCCATCCTGCTGTGTCTCGTCAATCGAGAGCATGTCTTGATTAGCACTCCGCCAGCCGCCATTGACGACTTGGTGCAGGAGCTCCAGCTGGTATGTATCCAAGATCATATACTCGATCTTTTTCTCTTCATCTGTCGTCCTAACAGCGGTTACGTCGCGCAGATAGCAAGCAAGACCTTCAACCTCCAATCCGTCGTCGTAAACTGCCACCCATCTACCACGCTCGAAGACTTCGCCTGCGCTCTCCTCCTCCAACCTCAACAACCTCCCCTCCTCAACGCGACGACGGTATCCCGCTCCGCCTCGCCATTTGCCCGAGCAGACTCGTACTTTGCGCTCAACTCGCAGCCGAACCAGCAACACCGATCTTCCACACCGCTCAGCCTCCGTACCACCACTCCTTTCTCGGCCTCTCCACAGATCGCCCACTTCGTCATCGCAAAGAACCTCGATCGCGCCCCGAGGGTCGTCCAGATCCAAGCGCTCGAGTTGCTGCGCACGCGGCGCATATTCACGCGCACGTCCGTCCAGGCTGCACCGAAGCAGTTTGTCTTTGTGCCTGTTTTAGGGGCCGCGAGCGGTGGTGAGGCGCATGTTACGGCGCATCTGAATGACTTCTTTTCGGTTGCGCACTGGCATAACCCGGATGATGGTTATGTCAACCTCGATGAAGCTGAAGGTCGCTCCGATGGCGAGGATGCGACGGCGTCTACGGAGAGCGTGGTGAAGAAGGGCATGATGCCCTCAACAGCGCTGATATCAGACATTGTAAGCTCGTCGACCCCCACCCCGGAGACCCGACAATGTAAGGTATATATATATATATATATATATTGACAAGTACCTCAAGGATATCAGCCATCTCGCAAAACTCAGCCAGGAGGTTCAGATCGATGTCGACATACTCCGCTACCAGATGAACATTGTTTCATTCCTACGAATGCACCGCGCCGTCGCAGGCGGCATCTCCCCCGCGGCGACGAAGCATTTGCACCAGCTCGTCAAGAGCCTCGCCCCCCTACACAAGCTCGATTTTGTGACCCCTGCCCTTGTCGGGCTGGCCGTGAGGAAGGTATACCTCCACCGGATACGCATCACTGAGCCTGAAAAGGAGCGGAGCATGCAATGGGGAAGCCAGCTCGAGGCCGTGGAGGCCTTGCTGGAAGATGTAGGCCCCGAGGAGGTGATTGAAGAGGTTCTGGAAATGGTCACTGCGCCTCCTTGATATTATTCTTTCTATAAGCTCTATTGCTGCTTTTATTCTGTCTCCCAGCAAAAGCTTGGCGCGAAACGCAAAAAGACAAGCTCCTTGATATCCCATGCGTTACATTTGATAAATCTAGAAACATTCCATATCCGGTTGCGTTTCATAACATTAATATATATCGTACGCAACTCTTATAACCCTGCGCAACAGCGTCCAAATCATATAAGGGATATGCTTTTGCGATGTAGAATTATACGCGATTCTAGCATACCATGGTCTTGAACATCATGAACCCCTATAATTCATGAAAACGACTGGGTGTAGTCAAAAGGGCTCTCTATGAAACCTCCTTGATCTTGCACGACCAGCCCGAGCCAGGCGCCAAAAGGGGCAGACTAAAAGTACAATGTTAGTCGGTGTCGATGAGAAATGAGAGAGAAGGGCATATATCCTTACCTAGCTCCAAGGCACCATCCCAGCTCATTGCCCTTGATCTTCTTTGCAACCTTGACCTCGCGGTCAATAGGCATCTCATAACCGGTGTGCAGCAAAGCCATCATAAAGTTCAAGTCCAAGCAGTGCTCGGGCCGGTCCTCGAGCTCTTCCAGCGCACCAGGGACGCTGGAGAAGACGTCCCAGGCCTCCTTGCCGGCGCACACCTTCTGAGTAAGGTCTTGCATCTCGCGGAGAGTAAAGGAGTCGGGCATGCCGAGGGGCTTGGTGCGGTCGTAAAAGTACGAGAAGATGTAGACGTCCTCCTTGGCAAACGTCTTGGACAGGGCCGGCTGGTGGACGCCGTTGAAGGAGCAAGGGGCAAGGGCGCACTCGGCGTCCTTCTTGAGGATCTTCTCGGCGAGATTCCGGCACTGGGCGGGGGAGGGCTGAGATGGGCCGGTGAAGTTGAAGCTGCGGGCCTCGCCGCCGTTGACCTCGACGTCGATCTGCTTGGTGGTGCCGGGGGCGATGCAGGGGTGCACAATGGGCGCGTTCATCCAGGTCTGGTCGTCTCCCTTGGCCTTGGCCAAGTCGTCAATCAGGGCAGAGTGGAGGGCCTTGCGAGCGGACATCAAGCCGTAGCCAAGGTGGGAGTGCTGGTACAGGTCGAACTTGTGGCCGCCAAAGTCGAGCTCGTACTTGTGGTCGCCGGGAGCGAGCTTCTCGGGCATGCCTCCGTCCGCAGCGTCCTTAAAGGTGGGCTCAAAGACAATCTGGGTTGAGCCGCCACCGAGATCGAAGACGGCCGCCGTCTCGCTCTTGTCGGGCCCGCCAATCTTGCCCAGGAGGTAGTTGGTGGTGATCCAGGCGTACACACCCTCGTCGGAGCCGTCCATGATGGCAACGCCGTTCTGCTCCGCGGACACGACCGGGAAGGGGTAGTCCTGCTCCAGGTGGCGCCTGACCTCAGCCAGGATGGCGTCAGCCAGCTCCTTGCCAATCAAACGCAGTCCAGCGGTGGCCTTGACGGCAACAGGAGAGCATTTCTTGAGCGCATCGGGGACGTGTTCCATGGCAACAGCCAGCAACGGGTCGAGGCTCTTGGCGGCGGCCACGGGGTCGTTCTTAAAGGCGCTGAGGCCGCCGACGGACTTCTCCGTCATCTTGAACTCCTCCTTCTCCAGCTCGGGGATGGGACCGCAGTTGTTGAACTTGTAGACGTGGATTCGCGAGCCCGTGCTGCCGGCGTCGATCATCAGGACATACTGGACAATGGGCTTGTCCTTGGAGTACGACTTGGAGCACTTGTCGGTGCCGTATGAAGAGTCCGTGGGAGCCTGGCCGCTGTTGGGAGCGCCGTTGCCAGCAGCGGCAGCACCGTGAGTGGCAGGAGGGGCGTTGGAAGCAGGGACGCTGTCGGCGGATGATTTGATGTCGGAGGCTTCGCCCAGAGGGCTCTTGTTGTAGACCTCGACTCCGGTCGGCGAGAGCCAGTAGAACAGGCACATGAGGATCAGGACCAGCGCGCCGGTCTTGAGCCATCGCGACTTCTGCGCCTGCGACAGCATGGTGTCTTTCATGCTGGCGAGAGGGCCCTTTCTGCGCTGGCTGGGAAGGTATCGATCTGTCTTTTCGTGAGGGTCGTGGGCAGCGTGTTTGGTGGGCAGCGACACGGAAGTTCTCCTCATCAGGCCGCGGGGCGATCAATGAGAGACGCCGCAACGCATGAACGAGAGGCGAGAGGAATGAAAAAGAGAGCAGCCAAAAGGAAGGACGGCAATGAATGAAGGAAGAAAAAACAAGTTGGATGGTGGGACGCGAGACGGCACACTGTTACATTGATCCTGACAAGGCGGACATGGGCCTGAGGCGCGGAAGCGAATCTGGAGGGGGAGAAAAGGAGTCCTGGCAGCAAATCGCCTCTGGGGGTGTGGAGGGACCGCGCAAGGCACGCAGGAGGTACCGGCTAGTGCTGGTTTGTATGCGGCGGTACTTTGGCCATCCACTGGCCACCTGTGCAGTGGATTCGCCGAAGCGGCGCGATAAGGTACAGTAATGCGTACATGGGCTCGTACTGCAGACGATGGGCGGCTTCAGCGAATCAGCAAGTCGCCACATTTGCCATCCAATCCATTCCAGGGCCCCTGAAATCCAAATCCGCCCCTGGATGATGCGTCAGTGGGCCGTTGCTAGTGACGCCGCGATCTTTAGCGGACCTGACGCTGCAGGGTAGGCGAGCCTTTGACTTGACGTTGATCAAGTGGCCGGATGAGGGCATGATGAGATTGATCAGGACTTGAAATGGCATCATGAACAACAGATCTGTATTGCCGTATCATAATACCTTTTTTTTGTTGCTGTTACTGAACACCAGGGCAAGTCCCTTGTTTTATCCCTCGGCATTGGCTCAGTGTCTTCTGGATGCTTCCGGTTGAGGAGCGGCGGAGTTTGTACCCCGAAATCCGATTCTTGCGCCTCTGCTGAAGCCTCATCAATGCGTAAACCACTTGCTGCCTTGAGGTGAATAAATACACGCTCAAACATATCATCACACGCAGTCTGATTCCTACAAATAAGCTACATGTCGATACTGAGATAATTGGTCCAGACGCCCTCCATCACGAACTTTACTCGCCTCGCCAGCCTTACTTGACGTCACCAACTACCTACCTTAGTACTCTCACAAGCCGGACAGACATGGACGTCCACCTTCTTGTCTACGACCTCTCACGCGGCTTGGCCCGCCAAATGTCCATGGGCCTCTTGGGATTCCAGCTTGACGCCATCTATCACACCTCGATCGAGCTCCAGGGCCGCGAGTACGTCTACGACGGCGGCATCATCTCCATCGTGCCGGGTACTTCGCATTTGGGCCAGCCTATGGAGAGGCTATACCTTGGCAAGACGAGCCTCCCCATGGACGTTATCGAAGACTATCTGGAATCAATACGCTCTGTCTTTACGGTAGAGGTATGATGGCATAATACTAGCCAGCTCTTCTTCTTTCTTCATATCAAATGTGTTTGCTGACTAGGACAAATAGGCATATGACTTGTTCCGCCACAACTGCAACAACTTCACTGATGCATTCTCCAACTTCCTCCTCGGCAAGGGCATCCCAAGCCACATCTCGCAGATGCCACAGGCTGTTCTTGACTCGCCATTTGGACGCATGCTGATGCCGCAGCTCACACAAGGCGTCAACGCCAGCAGGCAAAACGGCTCCATCTTAGGACTGCAGCAGAGCGCCCAGCCTACCGCACCCATCAAGGCAGCCTCATCAGTGAGAAATGTGACCAGTCAATCGGAACTGACGGCTCTACTGGACCATGCAAAGGGGTCTTGCGCAGTCGTCTACTTTACTTCGGCCACTTGCCCTCCGTGCAAGATGCTTTATCCCTTGTACGACGAACTAGCCGAGGAGTTTGCTGGCAAGGCGACTTTCATCAAGATTGATATTGCGCAGCCGCAGGCCAGCTTAGTCGCCAGCGAATACTCGATCAGTGCGACTCCCACGTTCATCACTTTTCTCAAGGGACAGCAAGAGAATAGATGGTCTGGCGCGGACCCGGCTGCTCTGCGGGGGAATGTCCAGCTGCTGGTAGAGATGGCCCATGTCCGCCATCCTCATGAGAAGCTCCGTCTTCCCACGTTTGCCAACCCTAACACAAAGCCCGTGCTGTTTACCAAGGTACCGCCGATGCAGAAGCTGGTAGCCAAGATGGGCGAAGAGATGGCCAGCAAGCCCGAAGTTCAGCAACTAAAAAGATTCATCGAGGATCGTGCCAAGGGCGAGGCTCTGGATGCGGTGCTGCCAAACATGGGACACATGGCCACCTTTCTCCAGGACTCAATCGCAAAGCTTCCCGTAGAAGTCATGTTCACAATTGTCGATCTTTTGCGGTGTGCCCTCCTCGACCCTCGAGTCAGCGGGTACTTTGCCGAAGAGACGGCGCACAAGACGGTTGTGACCATCCTCGATGCCGTTAACAAACAGGACAATTGCCCATACGCGCTACGCCTTGTGACGTTGCAGATGGCTTGCAACCTCTTCTCTACTCCGCTGTTCCCGGACGAGATACTTCGAAACGAACATCTCCGTGGCCCAATCACGGCGCTGATATCAAGCAGCTTCCTCGACGACAGCCATAGCAACACTCGCGTGGCGGCATCCTCCCTCTTGTTCAACATTGCCCTGGCAGACCGCAAGGCCAAGATCGGCGAGACTGGATCAAGATTACCAGATGAGCACCTAATCGAGCTCGCGGCATCCGTGGTGGAGGCGATCGCCCAGGAAGAGGAGTCGGCGGAAGCTCTTCAAGGCATGCTGTCGGCACTGGGCCACCTGGTCTACTACACGCCTCTAGACGGAGAGCTCGCCGACCTCCTGCGGGCTCTGGATGCCGAGGGAACGGTCCTGGCGAAGAAGAAGGCGTTCCCCAAGGAGGCGCTGATTGCGGAAGTGGGAGGCGAGCTGCTTGGAAAGGGCCTCAAGGCAGGGTCGGCGTGATGAAGCAGTTTGGCGATCTGACGATGACACGAAGTTTCTTTCTTATACACTAGTTACCTATACTACTTATATAGACCATACAATAAGAGTATGTTAATACAGTCTCATGTTGCCTTTCCCCATCACCCTCATTGTGATATTTCCTTCAACTTGCACTCGATATCGGGTCCATCGCATGTACATCTGAGCATGCCGTGGGACTTGACCGGACGATACTTTGGTACCTGTCAATCTCTGCAAAACATCCGGCTGAGTCATCCATCCCCAAGCAAGGCCCCACCCTGCAAGCAAGCCCTTTAAAAGCACGACCACACGCCAAACTTTTTTGAAATTTTTTCTTCTTTTTCCTTTTCTTTATCAAAAAGCCAACTGAGCTGCCACGACCCTCACCCAGCAAACCCACGGTGTTGCGTTGCCTTTCCCCTCGTGGGAAACGCTCAGAAGAGTAAAACCCTTGGATATAGGAAGTCTGCCGCTACGTTTCTCCCATGAACGCTTTTCAGTGGGCGGTAGACGCCAAGAAGGGGGGACATACCTTTCAGCTTTACTAAAGCTTGGTATTCTACCATTTTTGGATTGAGAATTTAGAGGATTGTGTGTGTGGTGCGCACCACCTTGTTGTAGAGCTGAAGGATTCTGGACGAACGAGCCTTGTAGAAGGTTGTGCAATTGCTCGAAACGCTTCTCGTGAGGGCTTTTCGAGGCCCTCGGGAGGTTGCTCAAGTGGCTGAGATTTTTGACGCCCTTGCCTCGCTGTATTCCTGAGATCTGCGCATATTCTTGCTGGTGTTTACACGCCGTCATAGTAGTATGATGTCTGGTAGCATGAGACCGCGCCGTCCATCAATGGGGCACAAAAGTCTCGAAAAGATTGCAAATGCCCGAGACTGCAGGCGCACTGTATTAAAGCAAGCTAAAGGAGCAAGACATGACGGCTATTGATACAAAGGGAATGTCTGTCTCTTGAGAGCAAACCATGGACGTGTACACGCAAAGCGATTAGGTCCTTGAATTGCTCACAATCTCGGGCTCGTTGCTTCGATGCTGGTCCCTCACAAATTCCTCAATCTGGGGGTCGTGCTCCGGCCGTCGAGGAGGAATCGTGGGCTCTGGCTTGTGCTCCTCCGCCTTGTGGTCTGGATGTGAATCGCCGATGAAGGGGACGGAAGCCGGGATGGCTGAGGCAACTGTCGAGTGTGTGTTAGCATCTGACGAGGGACTACAGAGGCATGTAACGAAGAGAGAGAATCAAATAGCATATGCCGGTCAATACGAATTCATGTCTGAGAAGTGAACTCACTCTTGTCAACGACAGCCTTGACCGTCGAGTGCTCTCCGTTGTCGCTATCGTGACGAGTCCGGCTCTCGACTGCCTCTTTATCGAGCTGCTCCTTGAACGTCGGCGGCTCCGCGCTCTCTTGGTGGTCCTTCTTGGGCGAGTGCATTATGCTTGACGATCAATTGATCTGTGACTTTGGAACAGTTATATAGCAGAATCAGGGCCTATATTTCAGAAGAAGCAACACTTGACTGCACCTCGCCGGCTCAGTAGTCTTAATATAATATAAGGAACCCATATCTTGGCTGGGCGAACGACTTGGAGCGAAATGATGACGTCAAAGCTGAGACTGCTCTGTGTGAGGGTCGTGCTCAAGATCGGCGGCAAACTGGATTTCTTACAGCGGCCTTGGCCTGCTGTTGCGCCTGGAACTATAGCGCCCGAGGGGCGTTGCTAGTGAGGTGCTTGGCGGGGTTTAGCACTTCATGGGCTGGCCGTTAAAGGCTGCCCAGACTGTGTGGGCAGTTGAACGGCGCTGATAAGATAAGAAGATCGTTTTCTTGTAGTATTCCGCTTCCATGCGATGTGCAACCAGTGACATTTTCTCCCATGACATGCATGCATAGAATGAGTGTTGTATAAGTGGTGTTTGTTGTGCTGTTGCTTTGCTCTATTTCCCTTTCTTTGCTATCTTGCTCTTCCGGTTCAATCATTCTTTCAAATAGACGAGTACCCAGACAACGGCCTCTCCCAACAATGGCCCCGATCCCCATCACCATCGTCACCGGCTTCCTGGGCTCCGGCAAGACGACGCTCATCCTCAACCTCATCCCCCAGCTCCGCGTCCAGAATCCCTCCTACAAGCTCGCCCTCCTCAAGAACGAGTTTGGCGATCTCGCGGTAGACTCGCAGCTGGCCTCGAGCTCGGCCATCTCGGGCGTCCAGGAGCTGCTCAACGGCTGCATCTGCTGCAACCTGGTCGGCCAGCTGGGCCCCGCGCTCGCGGAGCTCGAGAGCACCGTTGCGCCGGACCGCATCATCATCGAGACGAGCGGGTCTGCGTTTCCGGCGACGCTTGCGCTGGAGGTGAATCGGATCGCGAGGGACACGGGCAAGTACGTGCTCGATGGGGTGATTAGCGTGATTGACGTGGAGAACTGGAAGGGGTATGAGGATACGAGCTACACGGCCAAGATCCAGGCGCGGTATACGGACTTGATTGTGTTCAACAAGTGGGAGACGGCGGGTGAGGAGCGGTACGAGTATTGTTTGGATCGAGTGGGCGACTTGGAGGTGGATGTGGCTCGGGTCAAGAGCGACAAGGGCAGGGTTGATATGGGCTTGGTGTTTGGGATAGACGGAGGCCTGGCTAGAGAGTTGACGGAAGCGGACGTCAACGGCGAGCATAGCCATGATCACCAGACGAATGGCGATGCTCATCAAAACAACCACAGCCACAGCCACCAGAGCGAGGTCGAGGTGCTCTCAGTCGAGCTCAAAGGCAGCAGCAGCAGCAGCGGCGGCGCCGCCGTTTCCACAGGCAAGCTGCTCAACTTCCTCCGATCCGCTCCCAAGGACGAAGCCTACCGCATCAAGGCCGTCCTCACCCTGTCAGAGATGCCCAAGAACTCGGATCCAGATGTGCCGCAACCCGAGGCCAGTCCCCGGGGCCGGTACATCTTGAACTGGGCGTTCGGCCGGTGGACGTTTACGCCGTTGGCTGAGAGCGCGGAGGAGCATTCCTCGAGCAATGGCGTGGTATTACGATTGACGATGATTTTGGGACGGTATGAGAGCAATAAGTGGAAGAAGAAGCTGGAGGCTGGTGGGTTGATAGAATTAGAGGGAGGGGATAAAGGGGAGTTGGTTGTCAAGCGGATACTGTAGATGGCGTTGATATAGATGACTGGGATGGCTGGGACTCATAGATATTGTGATGAGCACATAGAATGCGAGTTCTGGTACATACATACCTTGGAAACGATTTCTGTTGGTCATTACTTTATCTTCTCCCTATCGAAGCTAGACTGTAGGTCTTATAATAGCGAGTCACCCCAGCCCCCTTTTACACCAGCAAAGTATTCATCATTAAAGTAGTACTCTGCCCAGTCGAGATCATAAAGATCTGGAGATGCCGATCCGGCGTCTGTTTCCCCGTGCCCTTTGTCATATCTTGCCTGTATCCCATGTTCTGCTACACATGACATTCCCATAGTTGAATATGGAGACACCAGCAAGATCAGCTCCTCAGCATCACGCACCGATACAGGCGACACCATCATTGCCTCGTCGTTGATGGGAGTCGCATCCGACGAGTAAACCGAGCTTGACCCTGAATGGATCGAACTCGAGTACGAGCGAGCCGGATAATGTATCCCGCCCATTTCATCTCCCTCCTCTTCCTCGTCCTCCTTGTCCTCCTCGTCCTCCCCATCATCATCATCATCATCATCATCGTAAAGCCTAGGCGGCCTTGCGTATTCCATCTCGCAATTCCTGCAAAGCCCACCTTCGCTCTGCGAAGTAGATCGACATAGAAAACACAGATGCATCGACGTCGGCACAGAAGGAAAGATTTGCTCTTCTGGCGACGATTCGCGCGACAGAGGGAACCGGACAGTCGCAGCTCTCGCAGCCGGGACTCTCCCCGCTGGAAGAATACTCCGGACTCTGTGCCATTGCTTCGAAGATGGCCGCTGTCCAGACTCAGCAGCAGCAGTAGCAGCAGAGGGCACTTTGATGGAGAGCTGCGGTTTGAATGTCTTCTTTTTGGGCCCGCGAGGGCGTTGCGTGGTGTGCATCTGCTGGGAAACTCGACGTCGTCTCTGCCTGGCCTTGTCCTCTGCTGTATGAGGGCCACTGCTTGAAACGAGCGCGGCGGCTGGAGTCTTTCTCTCTCGAGCAATGGTTGGTTTCATGACGGCGGGCTTTGGATAGACGTGGCTGTTTCTGACGAACCGCACCATTCCCGGCTTCCGCTCGTGATATCTCGTCTCGCCTCCATTTTGACCTGGCGGCTTCTTCTTCTTCTCCTCCTCCTCCTGAGGGGGCAGCAGTATGTGCTCGTAAGATGACGCTTGGATGGGAGAGGGCTTCAAGGGGGCTTTTGGGAATTGTGCAAAGCGCGGGTTTCGCCGTGGTTGGTCTATGTTGGAGGATTGTCCGGCTTTGTTTCGTTGGGAGGTGTCGCTTTGGGGGGCCATTTTGGTGTTCTCGACGTCTTGACGAACTTGCTTATGTTGGGTAGATGCATAGTACGTTAGGGTATGGGATATGAAGTATGATGATCCTGAAGGCGGTTATCAAACTTGGCTGGAAGACTTTATATCGAGATGGATGTCTTAGTGAACAATGTTGCTGTGTCGTCGTTGTTTGCGGTATTGCACATGTGATTGACACCAATGCAAACAACCACCCTGAACAGATCCTCATCAAAACGGCATCTCGTTCTCTTCATTCGATTTGCAGCAATCTTGGCATTTCTCTTCCATATGCGTAATGTACAAACAGTGAAGCCCCCCAAAACGCCTGCTTCGCTACCCGGAACCGAAAAGCACATGTCATGATCATGATGCTGACTGTGACACGTTTCCCGTCTCACAGACAATGACTCCTACCAAACGCCCAATTGCAAACGCCTACAAGCTCACCGTGACCGTCATGTTATTGCTCAGCACCAAAAGAGTAGGCGGCAAGTCGTGGCACAGAAGCTCGACGTCCGAAAGGTACTGAATCGTCCGGTCAGTGTCCCGATATGTCCCCTCAATGGGTATAGGGAGTGTCGTCAGCAAAACGGCCGTGTTCTTCGAATTCTGCCGCATCAATTCGTTGAGGATGAGGTGCTGCGCTCGACTGGGCAGATCGTTGAAGGATAAAGCAACACTCTGCGTCGAGTAGGGAGCACCGTCTGTATAATTCGTGTCCCTATCGAATCTGTACGATTGCTCGAGCTCGGGCATGTTCAAGCTCAAGTCTCCTTGGTCAAGAGGAGAAGCGTGCGATTCGCGCCGAGAATGCGAAGAGCGGAACCGAGACTGCGTCTGTGTGCTTGAGCGTGGATAGTACGTTGGCTGCTCGGTGCATGAAATGGCTCGCACACCTCCTCCCTGGGTACTCCTTGATCCTGGCAGCGGCTGATTGGAAAACTTTCCCAATGAAGATTGTCTTGACCACGTCGGGCGATCAGTCTTTGGGGTTACAGGGCTGGAGGAATTCGTCGTAGCGAATCCGATCCTCGACCCTGTCTCATCTGTCGTGATTCTCATCTCGGGAACCGGCCGGCTTGAAAAGCGAGCTGCGGATGACTGTCGAGACAAGCCTGGTCGGGGAGTAGATGTGTCGTCGTCTCCGGAATATCGGTTCTCAGATGATTTGGTAGGGCTACTCGGCCGATAAGTGCTGTGCTGGGATTCAGGTACTGCCAATTGATCCAAGTTCGGGAAGGACTCTATGCTTTTGATGTCGATTTTGAAGCTGCTCCTTTGTCGATTGTTCGCTCGAGGAGTGGCGTCCTGGTCCACCTCTGGAATTCGTCTAAAGGCTGGCGTGGCGATGGAGTCTTGCCTGCTGTGAGTTTGCGAGAAGCCTCGGGACGTTGACATTGTGCCGTATGACGGGGTATCTTGGGCATTGCCATTCATGTAGTATGCCGACCCAGCTGCCAGGCCCAGAGAATCATTCCTGCCCGTCCTTGGAGGGGACGGCGGCGCTTGTGGAAAGTTTGAGGATGACATTCTTCGTAGTGATGGATCTAGGACTGATCCTAACAGGTCTATGGTCTCTGTATCACTGCCGCTTTCGTATTCCGAATTCGTGTCCTCAAAGACCTCTTCATTCAGATGATGGGTGTGCATTCCGATGTTGATGCCCATTTTGGATAAAGAGCCAATATTCGGCCTCTTGGACATGCCGGGAACACCCACGATGCTGGACCGCCTGCGCTGTGACTCCGGCTCTTCGTGCGGGTTGTAGACTCCTGGCCGTCCGGCGGTTGAGGTCAGAATGTGCACCATGTGCGAGAATTCCTGGCTTGTTGTCATGGGCTCGGATTTCCCGCGAAAGTCTTCCAAGTCATTCCACCATTCTTCGTCTCTCAGTGCGTCGCCAACGACAATTTCGCAGTCCAAGCTACTACCTCGGCCGTTGATGATGCGTTCATAAGTGTCCAGCTGCCCGGAAGCCAACCAGAAGACTCGGACCTCAGCATCGATACGCAGCTTCTCTAGGAGTGTCTGAACTCGGGCCATTTCCTCCTCGACCTCGCTTTCGTATTCGACAAAGACCATGACCCGTGGGGTGAATACTCGTTTCCAGTCATGGACGCTGCGAAGAATATGACCCAGTTGCAGGATAAGCGTGTCTGTCAAGAGAGGTCAGTCATAACTGATAATTCGTAACTTCCTTATTCTCAACAGCAACCAGATGTAGTTGGACCTACAAGTATCAAAGTTGGATGTCAACATGCTCCTGCCCTCGGCAGATACTTCGGCAGACATTTGGATGGGCCACAGATCAATGTACTTTTTCGTGTTGAGCCCGTCCTTGCGAGGCGTTTCCAAGCTGTCGAATCCGTACGCAACAGCCACGTTTAGTCGATAAACCAGAGCCAGGTCCTCTAGAGCTGTCATGTACTCTGTAGGGGACATCATGTCTTCTGTACGGATTGCATCAGTGGGGAGGAAGCCTTTCAACATCTGGGCGGAAGTATCTCCGCGACGCCTCCTGGCTGCCTTCCCCTGTGACTTTGGCGGCCTTTTCATCTGGGAAGCCGGAGCCATTGGAATATCTGGCACCCTTAGTCGATGGCTCGATCTTCGTAGGTCGTCCATGTTGTAAAACCCCATGATGGCGATATTGGGGCGCATGCCGCCGAGACCCGACGATAAGATGAGGTTTCTGATGCCCCAGTTGATAGATGGCGACATTGTGAGCTGCACAAATGCTTTGATCTTGGAGAACTCGGATATGTACCGTGTCCAAGCTGCTTGCTGCAATTTCGCCTCGTGAACTCCCGAATGGAAGTCATCGGTCACGATGACATGGCCCAGAATGTAAAGCGAGCCCTTCTTGAGAGAGTTGCAAAACTGAATCAATTTGGCCTGCCGCCGTGGGTTGTTGACGAGGAGAATAATCTGCGGTCTCCAGAACTTGATATGCTCGGGTTTCAATCTTAGTAGATACTTTCTGACCTGGTGGTAGATGAGGTTTTGGGAGACGTCGCCCCAGTGCTTCGGCGGACAGAGGTAGTGAATCAGAAGGAACACCAGAACAAGAGCGCAGATTGCTGTCGAAGCATATGTTTCATCGATGAAGAACATTGCCGCCGCAGACGTGAGGCTTCCAAGGAAAGCAGTTTCCGCACTGAACAAGGTGAAGCTTGGCCTGAAGTTAGGAGCGGACCCGATCTTCAAGAGAAAGCAAGCGAGGTTCATGACAAAGAACGTCATCTACTGAGGTTGTCAGTCATCGACATCGATGAGGATTGGGTGCATCACTTCCGTCCGACTGACCTGGTAGCCCATCGAGATGAGTGTAGCGATCTGGTTTAGATCCGCAAAAAGAGCAACTTGAGCAATGCAATATGTCAAGAATATAGCATAGAAAGGCTCATCGCCACTTCTGGACCCCCTTCCAAAGAGCGACAGGCCCGGGAGGAGCTTGTCGCGAGCAAGCGCTTGAAATAATTTGGCGGAGCCGATGACTCCCATAAGGGCCGAGAAGAAGGTAACGGCACATTCGCCGGCTAGGATGAGAGGAGCGTACAAGCTTGTCAGGGAAATAACATTGTCGTTGGCGAGGAAAGACTCGTGGGTGGTAGCCGAAGCCATGGAGATGATGACGATGAAGTAAACGATGAAAGTTGTGAGGGTGGCCCATAGCGTTCCATTCGGAATCGCCTTGCTTGGATTGCGTAGATCCCCAGACATGGAAGCTCCTGCAAATATGCCCGAAGTCGCTCTGTATAAACAAACCATTAGTGAGAGGACTTACTTGAACAGAAGATCAGTGGCAAAGCACTCACGGGAAGAGAACGCCAAAGAGGCTACGAAATGTTTTGATGCCCTCATAGCTGCTCTCGGAAGATCGTGGCGCGAAGTTGCCAAGCAGGGTATCGATGCTGATGCCTGTAAATTCGATCCCAGCTGTAGCATCTTCGAACGGGGCCTTGAAGATGGCAGACACCGGAATGCTCATGATGGCGACGGTAAGAATAATGAGCAGTGCATTTGAGGCCCTTGCAAAGGCTGAGGAGCCAAGCAGACAAAGACCTGTACACATCATCAAGGCAGCTGTCTGAAGCCCATAGCCGGACCAATATCCCTGAGGGAACATAGGACCCAAGTTGAGTCTAAGGCAGTCAATGAGACCAACAATGTTCATTGCGGTATTCAGAGCCTGGGCCAAGTAGAACAAGATGCCGATCGAGCCCCCGAATTCCGGGCCCAGAGACCTCGAAATCATGTAGTAGGCGCCTCCGCCCTTGACTTCTCCATTGGAGGCAATGGCGGAGAGGGACAGGACGGTGAGCAGATCGATGCAGTAGGCGGCGAGAAGAAGACCTGGTGCGACACAGCTGGTTGGAACTGAGCGAGAAAGTATTGGTTGCATTTCACTTGTTGCTCACCTAAGATGCCGATGAAGCCAACTTGCCCCAGGATTTGGCCAAACCTGAGGAACATGAGGATGCTTAGGATGTTAAGACAGACGGGGATATAGACGCCGGAGACAGTGCCCAGCTTGCCGTTGCCGGCGGCCCTGTCGTGGTCCGTGGCCATGGTCAAGGATCCTTTCCTTTCTGACGGAGGATGAGGCATGGCAGATGTGATGCTCGCTGTAGGAATCGAGACTCAATATAGAATTCGCGGGTGCGCTCGGGGCGACGAATTCCAGCGTGCATCCCTGTAGCAAACGGGATCTTGGCCAATGTCTCAGGTGAGAGCTGACCGCGGCATCATAGCCGGGTACCTATTAGTTGAAGTAGAGGTATAAGAAATTGGCGTGGCAAACAAGATATACGAGCAGAAGACGAACTGGCGGGAGAAGAGGGAGAAGGCAACGTGCAAATACGCAGCATCCTCCACCGCACTGCCGACAACGCAGGAAGATGGCTAGAAATGGATGCTCCCAGAAGCAAACGAGCAGCACTCACGACGGACACCATGGCCATATCAATGCCCGAGAAGCTGCTAAATTAAACATGATACCAGCAACCAAATGCCGTTAATCTTCAGTCAACCAGGACCGGCGTCATACCACGGGTCGGGGATCTGCAGCGGGGCAGCCGTTGAGAGAGAGCCATTTGCCATCGACACCCTCGTGCTGGTGGCATCTCGTTAGGTAAATCTCGCCGCCAGAATCCGGTTTGAAGCTGTTGTTGTGCATGATGAATATGCACGCTCTTGTCACATCAGGGCTCCTTTGCCCCTCAGAGGCGGTATCGAATCTTCTCCTTGTTCTGGAGCGAAGCGATTCTCGCCGTATTGTTTGCTGAGCTTGTGCCATGAATGGAGTTTTGTCTGTGGACCGGCGCTTGTGACGGACAAGGCCCTTGACCCATACGCTTTTGGTGTCAAATCCACCCTTGAACCCGTCATCTAAGCTTGCTAGCATCGCCGTCGATGGTGGCTAATCGAACCTCTGGACCGTGAAGCCTCAGGATCAGGCGGAAAATGTCAGCTCCAGGCAGTGGGAGGGTGGCAACCGTTAATCCTAGCACGGGCAAGTTGATCTCCAGCCGGATTCTGCGGGAATTAGTAGAGCTCGAATTGCAGGCAGTTTGTGACCCTTGTCGCCAGCACCAGACGAGGGTGACGATATACTAATACCGACGGCTGTCCTCGATGTAACAGCAGGGCTGCGAGATGCCGTCAACACCAGCTTCTTTTCATGACTGAATGCCAACCTGAGTTCAGCTCCAAGATCATCACCACTGTAAATCTGGTTATCACCTCAGGGCGCATGGAGCAGTAGCCGGAATATGCTCGTACATTCTGTCTGTCAATAGTCAACAGCAGGCTGTCACGCATATGCGCGATCATCCTTGTTGCCCCGCCCAAGTCATGTATCACGCGCCATGACGGCATTCCAAGCCAGGCACTTCATTGTGGGCGAGACACCATCCTTTAAGCTGATACTGGTCGTTTACTGGTGCCAGTCGAGGAGTTCCGCCGGTGAAGAAGGAGATCACGATGCACGGCAACGGTGTCGAGAGAAACGCAAATGCTGAGAAATGGTCGTATCACTGTCTGGTGTGTTGGTAGACTGCACACCGAGGGCCATCCGTAAGAGTCAGGTATCTCAGCAGACCATCTCCCATCTAGTGCGGCACTTGTCGAGGCAAACTCATCGGCTCGTCCCGTCTGTCATTGGTGTTGATGCAGTTTCGAGGCGCCCGGCATGACCAAGCCATCTGGCCTACCCCATGGGCAGTGTTTCCCGGGGATGGAGGGATGGGTCCATCAAAGGATGGGCAGAATGGCTGATTATCGCCAAACCCAGGCTTTCAAGCCAGAGCCCAGCCAGCGTCAGCAGCCGGCTCAACGCGTGGTGCCAGCCCCGTGATAAGTCACAGTCATACTCCGTACAGCCATACCGCTCAGTGTGTGTACCGGCCTGCGCGCGCTGATAACGTCGTCGTCCAATTAAGACTTGCCCATTCTTATCCGGAGGCGCGGTGTCTGGCCCTTGGTGGCTGAAATAGTCGGGTCTTGCGAATTGAATTCTCTGCAGATATCACTTTGTGGCTGCTTGGCCATGGCCATTGGGATCCAAGTAATACGGCATCATGCTGCGTGTGTCAGTGCTATCTCCAGCAGACTCGACACGGCGTGACCATCGAATATCGAACCTTGCAGGGTTCTCTCCGCGTCTGCGCTTGATAGTAGCGGACGGAGCAATCAGCTGTCTCCGATTGAGTGCCGCGAACAATTGTCGTATAACCCAACCACCGCTGTCTCGGATCTGTAGAAACCTCTGCTCTTGGCCACGACCGGGTCTCACGATAAGCCTGGATGCACCCACCAGAAGACAAGTCGGGGCTTATGTTTGCAGCATCCATGTCCAGTACAGCATTGTTCGTTTCTTCAATCCACCGCCCAGCACCCTTTCCACGGCGAGGCAGAGTGAACGGGCAGGTGTCGAGTCGAGGATTGTTCGAAACTGAGCCTTCCTCATGCTCGTCTTGGACCCGGTACCCGCTGGAACGGTTCTTTTGTTCCTGCTGCTTTCTATTTGCGCGAATCAGCGGCTGCGTGCTGGTCGGATTGGACGAGATTCGATGATGTTGTGGATGGAAATCAATCAAAACGGCATTCAAGTTGCATTGGCTTTGTGCGATTGTAGGCCCTGCCTCTCAGCTGCCGCTTCAGGCTTCAGGCGGCGCTCTCCGTCCACGGACCGAAGTACAGGTACCTCGACGCGCTCTCCCTGCCAATCGAGCCGATCTTGGGCGGTCACAGCGGGACCCCCGTCGCTGGAGGCCCACCACTGCTCCCCTGCCGGTCACCAGACATGATCGCTGGGGGCGGTGCTGTCGGTCCCCAGATTCGGCGCCTGGAGCGCTTCAGCTGTGCTGTGACCGCCACAGGCCGCTGTAAGGAGCGCCTGCAATGCGCAAGTACCGATACTTCGTGCTTTGCCCCCGACCTCGTTCCTGGCCTCTCCGACTGCGTACCTCGTACCCGCCAAGGCGGCTTAGCGTGGCTTCTCCGTCATTTGATAGTGCACCTCAAAGGACCTTTTGGCAGGCAAACCTTCAGTCATCCATACTAATAGCTTGAGATTGCCGTTCTCTGACCTTTAGCTTGCACCTCTGCCATCCAGCCTTCCATCCTTCACTCTTCCCTTCTCCTATCCTCTCCTCACCTTTCCCATCTCCATTCGCTCCGTAGTCGAGCATCTCCTACTTCAAGCAGCACGCCGGAGCGACCTCGGATCGTCACCCTGTCCGCGAGTCCCAGCTAGGCGCCGTCCCTTGATCCTTATCTGCCGCTCTTTGGAGTTGTCACCGAGTCTCCCTCGCGATCGCGGCTGCTTCCCTCGGCACGCCCAGACAAACACAGCTTTCCTCTTCGAGACCGATATGCGATAGAGAACAAGACTCGACCCGAGCGAGAAAGAAGGCAGCTACCACAGAAGAACACAACAGAACCGACCAGAATGTCGTCACCGGCGAGGAGCGGGCTGCTGGCCCAGGACCCCGTCCCCATGTCATCCTCACCCAGCCTCTCTCAGCAGCGGCCATTTTCATCGTCACTACCCCGAGGAGAGGTCACCGCCAGACTTGCCGAGCCGATCCGGTCGGGGTCGCCCGTCATGAGAAGCGGCTCGCCCCGTCCCGGATTCACAAGACCTGAAGGTGGCGCGTCTGGCGACGCTTCGTCCTTCGCCCAAGGTCCTGGCGTGTCTGCTCTGGCCGCGGCCTTGTCCGACTCCCTGGGGCAAACGCCGCCGCGACATGGCACGCCTTCAGCTCGCGTCGGCACGCCGCCGCTCCGTCCGCTGTCCCCCTCGGGAAATGGCCGCTCTGCCACACCGACAAACTATGGCTCCTTCGACTCGAGAGGCCGCCCTGGGGCCGAGAGCACGGGGCCCTATGAAGATCCCGAGATTATCAAGAGGCATCTGGTGCAGCCCAGCGAGATGGAGCACCCCACGTCAGAGGCATCGTCGGAGACTGGCAAGGGCAAGCAGACTGCCGATTTCGGCTTTGGTACCGCCGGCCTCCATGACGACGAGTTCTCGAGTCTGCGTCTGCAGGGCGGGGACGTGACACGGGGCATATATAAATGGACCGAGCAGGCAGAGGCCAGGACGAAGATGCAGCGCAGCAAGAGTTTCGACCATTCGAGGCCCGAGCCTGAGAGCGAGACCCTCGACATCAGCTCCATCAAGGTGCCCGGTGGCTTCCGGAGGAACCATCTTCGAAGAAATGTCATCAGCCCTTCAGGACATCCCGAAGATGGTTACGGAGGTGCTGATTCTCCCGGTAGCAACCGACCACTCTTCACGTCAAGCTTTCTCGAATTCTTGTCCATCTATGGACACTTTGCTGGTGAAGAGCTGGAAGAAGATGACGAAGTCCTGGGCCCCAACGAATACTTCCAATCTGGTCAGGACAACGAGGAGGAAGAAAACGAAGAGCCTATGGAAGATAGCGCGCTCTTGGGCCCTTCGAAAAAGGCGCGGAAGAGAAAGGTGCGCGGCGGCAGCGGCCAGAACAGCCAGATGAACGCGGCCCTGCTGCTGCTCAAGTCCTTTGTCGGAACCGGCGTCTTGTTCCTGCCGCGTGCCTATCTCAACGGCGGTATGCTCTTCAGCAACCTCGTCCTCCTCGGTGTAGCGTTACTGAGCTACTACTGCTTCGTTCTCCTGGTCACGACGCGACTCAAGGTCGAGGGCTCGTTTGGTGACATGGGTGGCATTCTGTACGGAAAATGGATGCGGGCCATCATTCTGGCTTCCATTGTCCTCAGCCAGATCGGTTTCGTCGCGGCTTATATTGTGTTCACGTCGGAGAACTTGCAGGCCTTCATCCTGGCCGTGACCGACTGCCGCACGTCAATCAGCATCCCGATGTTGATTCTGATGCAGATGGTCGTCTTCCTGCCCTTTTCGCTGCTGCGAGATATCGGCAAGCTTGGATTCACGGCCCTGATTGCGGATGCCTTTATCCTGATTGGACTCGCGTACCTCTTCTACTACGATGTTTTGACGCTCGCTGCCGAAGGCCTCGCCGACATCATCATGTTCAACCAGCGGGACTGGACGCTTTTCATCGGAACGGCCATCTTCACCTTTGAGGGCATTGGCCTCATCATCCCCATCCAAGAGTCGATGAAGAACCCCGAAAAGTTCCCCAAGGTCATGTTCCTCGTCATGATCATCATCACCATTCTCTTCACCGTCATGGGCGCCATCTCGTACGCTGCCTACGGCTCCGAGACGCAGACTGTCGTGCTGCTCAACCTGCCGCAGGACAACCGCATGGTCAACGTCGTGCAGCTGCTGTACTCGGTGGCCATCCTGCTGTCGACGCCACTGCAGATCTTCCCTGCCATCCGTATCGCCGAAACCGAACTCTTTACGAGGAGCGGCAAGTACAACCCTTGGATCAAGTGGCAGAAGAACATCTTCCGCTTCTTCGTCGTGATGATGTGTGCCGCCATTGCCTGGGGCGGTGCCGACAACCTCGACAAGTTTGTCGCCCTTGTAGGCAACTTTGCCTGCATCCCGTTGGTCTACATCTACCCTGTAAGTTTAACTTCATGCCGTCCCTTTTTTTTTTTCCATGTACGATGTACTGATATGAATCTTTTCCAGCCTCTGCTTCACTACAAGGCTGTTGCGCGATCCAGGTTCTGGCGATACTCGGACATTGGACTGTGCATCTTTGGCCTCATCGCCATGGGTTACACGACGAGCTTGACGGTCATGAGCTGGGCCAACTCGGAGCCCAAGGCGCCCGGATACTGCGATCGGAGGGGCACATAGGCTTGGACATGCTGACGCCTGGGACAACGAGGGCTCAGTATAGGTATTGTCTTGCCATACCTCCGCAATAGCGGGCTGCAGGTTACACTTCATTCTATGTTTTCCTTCTTACTTTTAGTGGCTTTTGTTCTGTTTTCGTTTGGCATTTATTTGGATAACTGGGATGAGGCTTGGGATTCGGGAGAAGAAATGATCAGATTGCAAAGACTTGTATAGAGGAGGACTATTCACTTACGTGTACTTACATGCAGGCCATTTGGGTTATAAGCGATAGAGGATGCCGTGCAGATAGGACGAGGGGCTAACTATAGCGGGTTTCTTTGATCTAATACGTTTGATGCAATTGGGGATGTGTGTTTATCAAATTGTGATAGCTCGGAACTCTCGTGACGTTTCTGAGGTAAGGTAGGTAGCTTGCGGTCTTGTTTACACTGAGAGTGACTGACAACCGACCATTACCTTGGCTCTGGGTTCCAAGCAACAAGTTAGCCAGCAACATCAACTTGGCAAGTGACGACACTTACAAGCCAAAGATTTGGGTGGCTCATACTATGTGTTTTTTCCTTTGTTTATTTCCTTGAATCCCTTGTGATTTCTGCTCGTGAGCCGCCAACTACCTACCTTACTGGGAATTGTAGGGGCTCTGCAAGCCTAGCAGGCTTGCTTGACTAACACTAGGCTTGCAAAAAAAGCTATGCCTTGAACCTCGTGCAAAGGTTGCAGCCTGGACTAGGCTTGCAGAGTGGCCTAGGCTTGCAGAAGATAATGCAGCTTTCTGATTGGCTGGCTTATAGAGAGAAGAGGTACCTGAAAATACTAGTGAAAAGCTGTTGCATTACTTGTATCTATTCTACCTAACGCCACGCCTCCAGCAGCCAATCCAGCAGCTAATCCAGCAGCCAATCCAGCAGCCAATCTGACTAACGGCGGCGGCGCCAATAGCGGGTGTGTGTGTGTGTGCGTGTGTGTGTGCGTGTTAGTAGTGGGACCTGTAAAGCGGCGCAAATGTTAGTACCTGGTATTGCAGAGTGGCTGGATGTGAGGCATTGACTGACCTTGTGCTGTGTGCAAGATGATGATGAAGATGATGAAGAAGAGGAAGAGGAAGAGGAAGAGAGAGATTGAGAAAAAAAAAATGTGAAGATAAGGCCTGCTGGTGCCTGAGGCTTTAAAAAGATGTGAGCGGAAAGTGAGAGAGAGGGCAAGAGCGACATGAGCTTGGTAAAGGGTATGTATCTTGCTATAGGTCTTACTATAGGAAGCTACATTTGCCTTGCAACCTTAGCGACCTCTGCAAGTCTAGAGGCTCCCGCAATCCTAGCAGCTATTCTGCAAGCCTAGCCGTGGTCTTGCAAGTCTAGTGCCCTTACAGGTTTTCCCAGTAAGGTACGTAGCGCTGCGGGGCCGTTCCGTGGAGAGGTAACGCGGAACCGAACGCGCAACACCAAGCAGAGCAAAAGTCCGCATCTCGGTCTCCGAGATCTGAACTCTGACCTTTCAAATTCTCCGTGCTGCTACAGATAAATCCAACCTTGTCCCGGACCCTTGCCAGCGCCGATGGACAAAGGCCACTGCCCGCGCGACAATTAGCAATATCTGGGGCCACTAATTGCAGGCCGAGTTTCTATTACCTGAGCGTGTCCTTGCGCAGATCGGATCGGATCTGAGCTTGCCTTTTATTAATAACATCCAGACTGACCACCATGTCGAGCGCTGGCTCCCGCCTTTGCCGTCCGTCGCCAGCATGTCGTTGCGCATGCCTCTCCAAGCCTCTCTACCCGTCCAGCAGCTCCGGGCGCCGCTGAGAACGAAGCTCAGCCCGAGGCAGCAGCCGCGCCAATTCAGCAGCACTCCGACCCGACGGCAATGCGCCGCTCTCCCAACAACACCCAGAAGAGCCGCCATCGCTGGCGTCATCCCCGCCGCGAGAACGACAGCTCCCAGACGAAGCATCACCACGAGGCCCCGGCCTCCGCCGTTCCCCACGGTACCGACATGTCCCTCGCCGACGTGCGCGTGCGCCGAGACGCCCGCCATGCCGGAGGGGCTGGAGATTGACCATGCGAACCCGCTCAACGGCGTCATGGCCGGATACGCGGAGCACGTCGTCGTGTGCACGGGCAAGGACGATTGGCCGTCCAAGATTGAGGACGAGAACAGCGGGGACAATCTGGCTGCGGATCTCAAGGAGCTGTTTGGCCGGGGCGGCAAGTATACGGATGTAAGTGCCAAACAAACTACGTGTGTCCATGAAACCACTCGAGGGGAGATGTTATCGAATGCTCCAAAGCTAAACCACCAAATTGCACTGTGAATCAGCCATTCCACCACATCTCCGTCATCAACTCGTCCTTCCCGAGCTCGGCGCCCCCCCGCAAGGCCATCCAGTCGACGTCGGTCTACCTGCTGCCGAGCTTCAAGTACGTGCCCTTCCTGCCGCGCGTGTCGTTTGACAGCGTCAAGGCGCTGGCCAAGGGCTTCCTGCTGCCGGAGCGGCTGCACCCGGCGCACGCCGGCCTGTCGCCCGCGCACCGCGACCGGCTGACGCGCAAGGCGGCCTTCCAGGGCCTGCTGCCCGGCGTGCGGGACGTGGCGGACGTGCTGGTGCTGATCTGCGGGCACGGGGGCAGGGACATGCGGTGCGGCGTCATGGGGCCTGTGCTGAGGAGCGAGTTTGAGGATAAGCTTGGGAGGAAGGGGTTTACGGTTGCGAGGGAGGCGGTTCGGGTGGAGGGCTTGGAGGAGGACGATGACGAGATGAAGAAGAGGGTAGAGGGGAGTAACAGCGGAAACAGCAGCAGCAGCAGCAGTGAGAGAGTCGCGAGAGTCGGGCTCATTAGCCACATTGGCGGACACAAGTTTGCGGGCAACGTGATCATCTACATCCCGCCCGGGTTTACGACGGAGGGAGGCGAGAGGCATCCCTTGGCCGGATGCGGGATCTGGTACGGCAGGGTAGAGCCGAGGCACGTCGAGGGCATCGTGGGCGAGACGGTGATGGCGGGGAGGGTGGTGGAGGACAAGTTCCGGGGCGGCATCGACGCACACCGACGGATCCTGCGGCTGTGAAAACGCATTACATTATGCTAATAGACGGGGTAGTTGACTTGTTACAAATCTGAATCCTCACGGGAGATTTCCGGGCGGAGGACAGGAGAAGAGAGATATTTTCAGGGCGGAAGCTGAATCGTGCGATTAAAGGCATGCAGCTATTACATGTACCTATTCCGCAGTCCCGCCTCAAACCGACAAATGGGCAATTGGCTCAGACAAAGTCGAGAGAAATCGGAGCATGTGACAGACGCGCCCTCTGTGCAATATTACGTCGTGACAACTTGTCCATGGAGCCAATGTCTCATAATCTTCTTTGCGTGTTACTAGTATAATACTACTACTACCTACTACATACGTCGTAGGACTCAAAACTTGTCGTACAAAGTACTTAGCAGTAGGTAAGGTAAGTAGGTAATAACAACTCCCGTCTCACAGAGTGTGAACATTGTGAGTCCCTGGTATTTTAGCGCAGTCCTACCCCAGCAGCGATCCATCCCCCTTCCCTCGGCATTCCCGCCTCGCGGCGATCCATTCATCGGCGTCATCGCCAGCAACCCCGTGTCACGCTGCCCCCCTCCCCTAAATGGCTACATACTGGGCCGCCTTCTTGGCAAAATCCATCACAGATACTACTATGTAGGACTAGTAGAGAAGAGGAGGGAAAGAAAGGAGGGAGAGAGGGGAGGTGTGAGAAAGTGCCTTTTCAGCCAAGCCTTGCGACGTTCCTCGACTCTGTAAGACATTTGATGTAATACTTTATTGCACAACGTACGATTTCTTATGCCGCTCATATGACCCCACTCCATCTCTCTCTCTCTCTGTGTGTGTGCCCGTGCATGAGGTTGATTGATGACTGCATGCGTCGATGGAGTGTGAAGCGAAAAAGTGTGCCTTGGATGAGACGCTTCAGCCATTTCAGGGGGGGGTGGAGGAGGAGGAGGATGATGATGATGAGGGGGGGTAAGAAGACGGAGGGTTCTGTCGTTAAAAAGGTGCCGCATTCGGCGATTTTCTTGTCAGAGGATTGCCTTCTCGAAGACTTCTTCTGCTTCTTATCTGTCCTGCAAATTTGCTTGTGCTTGTTCCGAGGTCTGAACCAGTCAAAGAATCGAGTAGAACAACAAGTTGATACGACTCACCTATCGAGCATTACTGGACAAGAGCCCCCATCATATAAGAAAGAAAGAGAGAATCCATATCGGAGGATTATAAGCAAGGCACATCACACGCTTCACACACATCACATCACACAAAGACAAGCACACACAATGCCGTCCTCGGATCCCCTCGCCGGCCTCAACGTCTCCATCAGCCAGGGCACAACCTCGCCGCCGTCCATCGTGGCCACCGTCAAGAACAACAACCCGCACCCCGTCACCATTGCGCCCTACCAATCGCCCTTTGACGGGCTGCTTCTCGAGCAGGGCAACCTGTCCATTGTCCCATCATCATCATCATCATCGTCATCAAACACCGACAACAACGACAGCGACAGCTCAGCCTCTTCGAGCAATAGCAACAACAACATCAACACCAACAACAACAAGCCTCTCAGCTACCCTACCATCGCCCTCAAGCGCATCTGGCCCCCGCCCGCAGACAGCCTGGTGACGCTGGGCCCGGGCGAGAGCCGCACGGCCGAGATTGTGATCCGGCACCCGGTGCCCGTGCAGCAGCTGGGCGACGGCAACGGCTCGGCGACGGTCAAGCTGCGCGGGCAATGGATGTCCGTGTGGAGGCGGGCCAAGGAGGAGATTGGCGAGGCGGACTGGGACGATGTGTCGAACCCGGATGAGTTTTCGGGGGTGTACGAGTCGAACAGCCTCGAGATTCGGATTGTCTGATTGATTCACTCTGGGTTCCTACTTTCTTTCTTATTCTTCTATGATAACATGATTTCAGGATGGCGCAGTGGCGTTGGAATTTGTCGTTTTTTTTTTTTTTTTTTGTATGTTGCGGTTAGGGAGAAGCCAGGTCTTGGTTCACTTACAAAGTCGAGTTTGGGCGAGAGGCTTCAGGGCACGTGACCGGATTTTATACTACTTTTTTCTACGCATGCCTTTTCTGATGAGCTTCGCTCTCAACCTTCAAACAGTCGTTATCAGCTGAGTTGATGTTCAATTGATCAAATATCTGTCATCATCTCTCCTTAATGATCACTCAACTATCTTGACATCAAGTCATATATATATCCCTGCAATGGCAAGCAGACGAGCCGTTCTCGCAACGGCCAAACTTCATCACCTCCCACCACCTCAGACGACACACCCTCTCATACGAACCATCTCAACAACACCAAAGCAGCAACCCTCACAAGCTCTCCGAAAATACTCAACAACCACCCAATCTCACCCCAACTCCCGCTCTATCAGAAACTCACGTAGAATCCCCCTCCTCATCACCACCGCCGTCATCCTCGGCAGCACAATCTACTACCTCACCACCCCCTCCAAGCCAACCCTCCTCAACTCCGAGACCTTTGTACCCTACACAATCACCTCCCGCGAAGCAATCTCCCCCACCTCCTTCATCTTCACAATTTCCCCCCACACGCCAAACCCTTCTCTCCCGTATCTCGTCTCCTCCTCCTCCTCCTCGTCGTCATGGCGGTATCCCCTCTGGTCCGTCGAGTTCAAGCAGCCACAGGTACAAATCGCACGGCATTACACGCCCTTACCTCCCCTAACCGGACACAATCCCGCCGATGGATCGCTGAGCTTCTACGTCCGCGCCATCGGGGGCGGAGAAATGTCGACGTATCTGAGTCGTCTGGGCGTCGGCCAGGACGTCTGGCTGCGAGGCCCTCACATCGGCTTCGACGTCACCGCACGCCTCGGCGCAATGAACAGCGTCGTCTTCCTCGCGGGCGGCACAGGCGTCGTCCCGGCAATGCAAGTCGCAACAGCAGTCCTGGGACGCAACCCTGAAGCAAACGTCAAGATCCTCTGGGCAGTGCGCAAGAGAGAAGAAGTCCAGCAGCAAGCCGGCAGCAATCCCGCCGTCCGGAAACCCTCGTGGTGGCGGCGGTTCTGGGCCGTCAGGGGCAGCGAACCAGAAGAGCTCAACGCCCAGCTGCAACATCCAAGCCCCATTGCAAAGCAGCTCCAGGCTCTGCAACTACAGTACGGTCAGCGCCTGCATATCCAAGTCGCCATCGACGAAGAGCAGACGCACTTCCGCGAGCCGGACCTCCAAAAGGCAATCACATCAGGGCCCCCTTCTTCCTCCTCCTCTGCCGCCCCTTATTCCAGCCGCTCCTCGTCAGCGTCCGGATGCCGTCTGCACGATGCGGCAATGCTGGAGCTGGCGCCAGAGTTTGAAGCGCCGGCCGCGGCAGATGACTGCAAATGCGGTCGCGGAGCTGGCAAGAATCTCTTCATGATTTCCGGCCCGGACGGCTTCATTGCGCACTATGCTGGGCCCAAGCAGTGGTTGCGCGGCCAGCAGGTTCAGGGGCCCGTGGGCGGCGTCGCTGCTCGCCTTCAGAGAAGACACCCGTGGCTGGCAGACGACTGGCTCGTGTTGAAGTTATAGACCGGGTGATACACGATAGATCATATCTCACCAACAAGATGCAGGGCAGCAACGTCGAACCGTTCCGTTTGTTCTCTAAAGACATAATGACAAGCAACTTCTATATAAACATCGCACATGGATATAGGCACGCATGACAAAAATCACCAAGTCGCCAAGACGCCTCTTCAATCCTTCATCCACCCCCCTTTCTGTGCATTATCACAACCCCCTCTCCGGGCCAATCCTCAAAATCACCGATTCTGCACCTTTCTATAGGACGGTGGCTTCATCGTTCTGCTAATCAGCTTACCCGCATACGGCGGGATCAAGGAAATAGAACCAATGGCCAATACACGCCAGACGAATCCCCTTTTGCAAGAAGTTAGATTATACTCCTCATATAAAGAATACTGGAAAAGCTCACCAAGTAATCAAAAACTCAAGATCAAAGTAGTCGCCCAGAAACGGCAGCGATCCAATGTAAAAAATAAACGTCCCCACGATGCTCATAATCATCACGGGATGCCACGTCACAATCTCAATGGCCACCATGAGCAGCTCGTTGAGCACCAGCACCGTGTAGCTGACCGACACCATCCTCTTGCTGTCCACCTCGGTCAGGATCTGCGACAGGCCCTGGATCATGCCGCCCTGGTAGATCGACACCAGGACCCAGACGAAGAATGTGCGGTACGACAGCGACCGGCCCGACGTCAACTCCTTGTAGAGCTCGGGGTAGAGGTTCGCCAAGTCTTCGTCCACGTCCTTGTCTAGCACCAGCGACAGGACGGGCGCCGCGGTGTAGACGGTGGCGTAGCCAACCATGAGCCAGTTCTGTGCCAATGTCAGTCAAAAGCCGTCCGCTGATGCTTCCTTCTCCCCCTGCGCCGGACAAACCTTGTACAAGCCCTCAGGCTCAAACTTTAGAGCAATGCTGTACATTGTTTGACACACTGCAATAATCAGACCTCGATGGATGACGAATTGAGCCAGCTTCGCACTGCGCTTGTAGCTGTTTCGCCCGTGCCACACCAGCAGCTTGACCAGGTGGCAGAACTGCTCAATCGAGAAATCGGCTGCCAGACTGGCCTGCCGACCCTCCTTGCCGACGATACCGACTCCCACGTCGGCAGCCTGGATCATGGAGACATCGTTGCCACCGTCTCCGATGCAGCACACCCGCTTCTTTGTATACTCGCGAATGAGCTTCGCGACCTCGGCCTTTTGTGTGGGCGAGCATCGACAGGCCACGACTGTGGGCAGGAGAACGGCAATGGAAATAAACTCGATGCGGAAATGCGTCAGGAATAGCGCCAGGCTCTCTCCGTCAATAAGCAGACAGGCGTCGGTCTTGCTCCGGAGAAAGTCCAGGTGCTCTTGGGCATTGTCCTTTCTGGTGAGCTTCGCAACGGTGTAGATGTATTGGCCTCGCGCAACCAGCTTCGAGCTGATGGCCACGCACCTCGCCGTCTCGACCTTGTCGCCCGTCAGCATCCAAATCTTGATGCCGGCATTTCGAAGCAGTTCCAGCGACGGCTTGACGTCCTTCTGAAGCTTATCCTCGACGCCCGTTACGCCCAGCAGCTCCAGGTCGCTCTCCAGATACCGAGAGACGACCCTCTGCATCCCGGCATCTCGCCCCGTGATAGAGAGCGAGGCTTCGTGGTATTGAGAAGCAAACTCTTGGTATTGCTGATGCGATAGCTTCTTTCTTCCGACGACCAGGGTTCTCAATCCCTCGCGAGCCATGTTGGCCGTCTCTTCGTCGAGCCAGTCGTTCGCCGCCACAATCGAGCTCATGACGGTGTCCGCACCCTTTTGATAGAACCATATCTCACCGTTGCCCAGGCCGGGGTGGGTGACATGCATACTGTCGAGAAATTGAACCACAATGCCCATGCGCTTGCCTTCAGATGTGAACGGGAAGACATCGAGGATTCGGACTCGCACGACAGGCCTTCCCGTCTCAGTCGACTCCAGCACCATTCCTTTGCGGTCACGGTACGAGAGCTTCAGACCCACAGATTCCGTCCATCTGACAATGGCAATTTCGTCGGGAGAGGACGCCTGGTACGATGTGACTTCCTTGCCGTCTTCGACCTCTGATGTCGGTGTCACGTTGTGGCAAAGCGCCAAAGCAAGCACCACATCTCGCACGCGAGAGCCAATCTCTCGTCGTGTGCGAGTGGCTCCCACGTTGACGGTGTTGGACATGGCTGAAGAAGGAGTAACGAGGGCGCCGTGAGATGAAGGGTCGGTTGTGGGTTGGATGTGAAAGGCCTGTCGAACATACGAACTCACTTCATCCATGGCTTCGTTGGCATACGAAACGGTGCCTACATGAATCTTCTTCATCTCCATGTCGTTCTGGGTCAGTGTTCCCGTCTTGTCGCTCAGTAGATACTCGATCCGACCCAGATCCTCTGGAATGGTGCTTGTGCGCACAACCGCCCCCGGAATACCAGGATCTCGTTGGATGAATCTCGAATATGCACTCTTGCCCATGTCGAGATTCACCCGAAGGCTGATTGGCACGATGGTTGAGAACAAGACCAGGAATCGCATGATTTTGATGTACCACGCGTTTTCGCCGCTTTTCTCAAACCCCTGCAGAGCGACAAGAATGATGGACAGGGCCAGCGTAAGAGCACAGAGAATCTTGGTCAAGGAGTTGATCTCATATTCCAAAAGACCGGTCTTGGAGCGAGAAGGAGACGTGGACAGCGCGGATCGGGTCTGCGGGCCGGTGTACAGAATGACCGCAAAGGTGGTTCCCTGGGAGGCAATGACAGTGTTGGCCCAAGCGGTGTTGTCGATGGACAGCGCCGCTGAGTTGGAATCGCTGCTGCTCTCGCCTTCCGGCCTGGGCTGTTGGCTGACTGCGGCTTGCCTGGTAGGCATCAACTCGACTGTTCCAACAAACTCATTGACCTTCTTGTCGGGCTTGCCGGCCGTGATTCGGAGGCGGACAAACTCCTCCAGAGCGAGACACTGGGTGAGCGGCGATGCCAATCTCAGCTTCCAATCCGTCTCTCCATCCAGCTGGTCTGTCCTGATGAATGTCTCGCCGGAAGGGCCGCTGTGTGCGTCGTTCTGCACTGCCGGTGCCTCGGGTGCCTTGCCCTTTGCACTCGAGCTGGACTCTCCCTCGTCAAACGCGAGCAACGTTTCCTCTTCCTCCTCTTCGGCGGGCTCGTTGGCTGATGTCCCTTCCGTCGAGTGACATTGTAGAATCACGACATCGGCTGGCACTCGTTGCCCTTTGGTAAGTTTGAGAACATCACCTACGCGCAGATCCTTTGACTTGCGGCTTATTTCCTGAACAACCGAGGTCGGCTGGTCTTCGTCCTCTTGGATAGCGGCGAGGTCATGGCGACCGGCTTGTACCTTTCGAGGCTTTCGCCCAACCGTTTCTGACTTGAGTGGTCGCCGCGGCCTGGCGCTCTTTGGGTACATTCCGGGTTCCGTAAATTGCAATACATGATATTCTTCCGAGTTTGCTTCGTTGTCTCTTCGCCGCCTATCAATATCGTCGTACGCCTCCTTTCCCATGGTGATGCAAAGGACAAAGGCCAGTGGCGCAATGTAGGTCGACAAATAACCGATTCGAAGGGCTGGTATCACCTGCGATAGCGCAACAAGCAAGAAGTACATGTTGAAGAAGAATGAGAACTCGTTGTATAGCGTGATGGGAAGGAAAGTGAATGCCGTATACTTGGCATTGGAGACGATGTTGGTCGGGAACCGAGATGTCTGGGTGGAACCCACGGCGACCATTCGAGAGGACGACGGATCGTCCTCGTCTGCCTGTTCCTCCGTTTCCCTGTCGTCGGGCTTCTTAGACGAGAGAAAGCGCGGCCATCGTAGCCCGGAGCCTAGATGTCGGGACGTGGATGGTCTTGAGCCCTGTGAGCCCTGGCCGCCTAACAAGGGCGCATCGTCCTCTCCATTTCCACCGTCTTCAGACCAGTGATGCCTAGAGCTAGGTTCGTCGTGATCCTCTATCAAGTCGTGTAATTGCTCATCTGAGTCTTGTCGGTTCCGACCGAGGTCTCCATATCCACTGTCCCGCTTCGCGCGCCGCAGACCACCCATACGCAAGTTCCGTAGAGCTATTCTCGATGCTCTCTGTTCTTCTGCCGGATGGCTCTGCTGCAGCTCCCGCGCTGGCTCGGTCGAGATGGGGTCGAGCTCTTGAATGTCAAGGTCGAGATCGGAGTCGGAATCGTTGGAGGGAGACTCGGGCGGCTGGTACGTGGGTGAAGGAGGCATCCCGCATCAAGCTGATACCGGACCTCGGCAGTGGGTTGCGTTATGGAAGAGCTGCCACCGTGGCCGGATGCTCATGCTGCAGTCTGAGCCGAAAAGAGGAAGAAGAGGGTCGACTGAAGCTGTTGATGAATGAGAGCGGTCGACGATCACGGTGCGGCGGGGAGCATTATCGGTCCTGTCAGATAATCCGGGTCCTCGGCCAGGGGCGGGGCTTCTATGCTGGTTGATGGAGTATGCAGTCTCAAAGTACCATGTGAGTGCCCATCAAATCCCTGTGCGGTCAACGCAAAGAGATTCTGTCTGGAGCTGGTGATGTCGGTTGTTTGTTTGTTGTATTATCTATCGAGTGTCAAACAGAAGGGATACGTAAGGCCTCGCGCTAAAGCTAGAGCCAGGGGCCTCCGTTAGAGCCTGGGTGGGGCGCCGACGCAGCGCCACACGTGCGCTAAACAAAGCTCTCCAGCTATTCCCAGAGACGTTGAAGATTGGATGACAATTATAGGCGACATCCCTGAGAAATTGGTGTTTGAATCCATCCATGGATGCGCATAACCTCACTGTGCAGGAATCACGGTGGCCGCAGTGCTGTCGGGTGTGTTTGCTCAGCAATGGATTTGAATGGAGTAACGCAGCTGCAGCTAGATGAGAGCTGCAGCGGTCAGGCCAATGCCCGGATTGCAGGGGATTTATCGCACGAATCAAGCCAACATGGCAATGAACACGATCCTGGGAATTCCTCTCTCGGGCTGCCACGAACAGCTCCTTTGGGATTCAAAGGCCTTGATTGGTGATTGGAGCAACAGAAAGACAACCTACCTCTGCAACTGGGAACCATCGGTGTACGTGTTCCTTTCCTTGGTTGATGGCCAACACAGGCTCTCGAACCATGCTGCTGCCTTTCCCCGCCAGACAAAGCACATGCACCTCGCATCCAATCCTACACCACAATGATAGCACATCTATCTGCACAACCCGCTGCCACTGAACGAAGTATAGAAAGGTAGCAATGCAGTATCATGCAGGCAGCTTCTAACGGCAGCATCGACTGGACAAGGCCGTCACATGTCTTTCGGCATGCCGTCAAGACCTTCCTATGAGAGCCATCCATCACATCTCGGGCTACTGCGGGGACCGCTCCCGTGGCACAGGGATCTTCGATAGTGACTGCAGGCAAGCAGCAGCCCAGGAATCGCGGGGATTTGCAAATGCTCACCCGGAGAGCCGGACTTACAGGTCTACTACATACGACAGCCCGGGCAGATGCACGCACGGTCCGGGTGAGATCTGAAGCCTGGCATCTTCCGCAAAGGCGCCGATACAGCCAAGACCAGGGCATAGTGAGGGCAACCGTAGGCACCGTGGAGGCGCGGCGGTTGTGAAACCTGGCCTTAGCGGGCAGGTGACTCGATACGCTCGACGATATCAAAAGGCCCTGTGGGTGAGACGGTGTTGCAGAGGTCGTCAGACCGAGGGTCTCCTCCACCAGGATTGCTGGCCGCATCCGCACTCGCCACTGGGCAACATGCTGTAGTGACAGCACCGTTAGAACCAACTTTGCCGCGACAGCCAGAGGCATCAGCGGGCGACATGTCGTGGACATCACGATAGGCTGTACAATATAACCGTGTGATGGCTTCATACCTACCTAGTAGGGGTTCGTTCAACTCGCGTCCAACAAGCTGGACGGACATTCCTGCAGGCGCTGACAAGGTGGGATGTTGCGCCGGCTAAGCCTCGGCAGCCCTCAAGGTCGGCCACTATCGCGACGGAATGCGACCTTGGCAATACTCCGGCCTTCGTGCCTCGTAGGCCACTGAAAGGAACACATTGCAGCTCGGCCCAGGTAGCGAGCTGGTACTGCCAGGTACCCCCCCAGCAGTTCCCTGGCGGCGGGCGACTTTTCCACGCCTCCGCTAGCGCAAAGGTACCAACGAAGACGCCCGTGCTTGGTCGCTTCTTCTCCTGCGCCTCCAAGTATTGCCCAGTTCGTGCCAACTGGCCCTTCAGCTTGTGCTTCTTCATCTGATATCCGCTCTGCGGGTTTGTGCTGCCCTTTCTACCGAACATGATCTCCGTTTAAGCCATCCATCATCGCTTCTCTTTCGAGTTCCTTCTGTACAAGGTAGGTGCCTTTTCATGCTTCTGCCCGCGGCTTGTCTTTGCTCTTGCGCGCGGCTTCTGTGGATTCCAGCATCAGAACTTGGTTGCGTCGTCCATCGTCTTCTGTCTGGGTAACTGACAATCACTGACCAGTCTAGAAGCCTCTGTTCAGCGCCTCGCTCGTGAGGAGCTGATCCTTGCGGTCTCCAATTGACCATGGCCAACGAGGCAATCACCTCATCATGGAATCCGGCACTGATGCCAAACAGTATACATGATGCCGAAGCAGTCCACAACGACCACGCCGAGCCCTTGACCGAGGCTAACGGTCTTGCCTTTGAGCACGACGAAGATTCGACGGCATGGGGTCTTCACGAGGTTGGACGGGATACGGAGGAGCAAGCCTCTCCTTCCGGTGGCGACGCTGATGGCGGTGCGGAGGGCGATGCTGGGCAAGCTTCGGAGGTGCCCGCGCCTCGACACGAAGCTACCGAGACCTCCGCGGAATCTTCAGCGCCTGCAGCAGCAGCAGCAGCAGGAGATGATACGACTGCCACAACAACCCGTACCTCTCAGCACTCGAGCTCCATGTCCTTTACCCGGACGGTGCCCGACGAAGTCAGCTTCAGCGACAACGACGAGACTGAGTGGGGCCTCGCCAGGACTGACACGGATCCCTTCAAATTCATGTCGCCGTCCGATAGAACAAACTCCTTTCCTGTAGTGCCATTGATGGCAGAGGAACCAGAGCGCATCAACGATGTGCACCTGCCGTCGAACCAGGCACTTGATGTACTTGAGGAAACGGAGCGAGATGGTCACGTCGAGGAGGAAGAGTATCAGGCTGAGGCTCACCCTGAGCCCAGCTCAGACGCAGCGTTTGAACCCCGGAAAGATTCGAAGCGTGGTCATGCACCGTCCAGGTCTATTGGCGGAGACGTGCAATGGTCTGAGGATGTCGAATCCGAAGCGCGTTTTGAAGAAGGTGTACCGCTGATACCTCACTCAAATGCGGACTTCAATACTCCAGCCGGTGGCACTAAGTCCCCGATCGTCTCTTTTGACGATGATAACGAAGACGATGACTTCTTCAATCAGGTTAGCCAAAATGCCCAGGATGATACAAACACAGGCGAGGACGTCCAGCCGCTACAACGAAAGTCGACGATGCAGGTCTTGGCATCTGCCAGTCCAGAGCCTACTTCTCATCAGCCAACGCTAGATCAAACGCCTGAATGGGATGAAGAGGGGCTTTCCTCAGAACCTGCCACCCAGTCTGAAAAGCTTGACGCCCTCGATGGCCATGACAAGCCGAACGGAACGGAAGCTGCTTCAAGCCAGGATCTCTCGTCGAAATGGGAGGAAGCCTTCGCCAGCGACGATGATGGTGAGGGCTTTTTGATTGAAGAAGATGCGACAGCCGGGGAGAAAGAGGTTGATGCTGCTGCTTTTTTGGGTAGTGACGACGAAGGACTCCTGGATGACCTTGAGGAAGAAGTGCCGCCGACACAGACCGCGCCGTTGAGCTCTCAAGCGAGCAGTGTGACATCGGCATCTGCCTATGTGCCGACTTCTTACGTTCCAACTCAGCAACGTTCGGCTTCTGCGTCTGCATACACGCCCGTTATGACCCCGTCACAGCCTTCGTTCTATGGACCTTCCTCTCAGGGCCCGTCTCTCCCATCGACAGCCCAGTACGGTCAAGGCCCCCCTCCCCAACAACCTGCGGACTCGCCCAACGCCCAAACCTTTGCAGACAAGTCCAAGGGAAGTTCTTCTTTGGCTTTTGACCTCCCGCCTGACCTGGTTACAAGCAAGGTGAAGCCACGGAAACGGGCTAGTATGCAGCAACTGCCTATAGACAATTCCTCCCCATCCCTTCAACCCCCTCCTCCACCGCGGAGCGCCAGCATGCATGCCAGCATTGGATCGACCGAGGCAGCTCCTCCAGGCGGCATGCAGAAGTCGCCTCTCTTGCGACACAAGTCAAGTTTCTTCGAAGATTTACCGGCTGCGCCTCGGTCGCGATCGATCTCGAGACAAAGCGTTAGGGCCATCTCTCCTAATCCATATGCTCTTGCAACCTCCCCTCATGGACCGTCTCCCCTGAGCCCTCCTATGGCAAGCCAGATTCCGCCCGCTGCTACAACTCCGGCTGCCAGGCCGAATCTCGTCGCTCCTGAGCGAGCCAGCCCTTATGCGCCTCTTCAATCGCCAAACGCCCCTCTGCCTTCACCAGCTGCCAACGTATCCAGATACTCCCCGGCTCCTCCCCCTCCCCAAGGCGCTGGCAGCCAGAGTGCGCCGCCACCGGCTGGCCGTTACTCTCCAGCACCGGCCGCCTCCCATCCTACAAATGCGTACGCTCCGGCCGTGTCAGCAACGCCAACTCAAGCGGTCTTGCCTCACCTTCCGCGAACCTCTAGTCCGCTGGCCCATTTCGAGATCAGCAGCGACAAGCCCCATGGCGTCAACGGAGAAGCAGTTCACACTGAACGACGAGCTAGCTCCTCGTACGAACCAAGGCTGAACCGTGTTCCTTCACTCCCACCCACACGCGAGGTTGAAGAGGAGGAAGATCAGTCTTCCGGTGCTCCGCGACTGAACGCCACTCGCTCTCCTCCGCCTCCAGCATTGCCTACCCTTTCCGCTCAGGCTACCTTATCGCCCCCTAAACGGCCGGGTTCTGGATACATACCCAGCGGTGTCCCTTCAATCCAGCCGGGCTTCGTCCCGCCCCCGCGGGCTCAGACGCAATCCCCTGGAGCTACCCGAGGTAGTCAGTACAACCCGAAACCCTTGGAGCCCGCCCGACGGCCTTCTTCGTCTCATACACCCGTGTCCCCTCCTGCCGCTAGGACGACATATGCTCCTTCTACTCACTCTCGATCCCAATTCTTGCCCATGAACATGGTTGCTCCCACTGATGGACGAGAGCATGACCCCCTTCAGAGATGGCAAGGTGTCCCCATCATCTCCTGGGGAGTTGGCGGCGTAGTAGTCACTTCATTCCCAAAGAGCATCCCGAGATATGTCATGAACCAAACGACACCATCCATGTTGCGAGCTCCCGGAGAAGTCAAGGTCCGAAACATCAAGGACATTGAATCCCTGCAGGACCGCCTGGCCAAGTTCCCCGGTCCGCTCAAGGGCAAGTCGAAGAAGAAAGAGGTACTCTCCTGGCTCAGTGCTGGTATCGAAAGCCTGGAGAAAGAACTTCCAGAAGTGTCTTTCCACCCGCAGCTTTCGCACGAAGCAAAACGGACGATTGAACGTCTCCTGCTGTGGAAGATCCTTCGAGTCTTTGTCGAATATGATGGTGTGCTAGAAGGCAACCCTGCAGCGGAGAAGGCTGTGCGAGATGTTCTCTCCCCAGGAACCGTCACCCCAACTGCGGAGAATGACGCCCTGTTTCCGGTGGATCCAACCATCGGTATCACTGGCACTGCGGTGACCTCGATGCAGGCCGATGGAGCCGATGCCGCTACCATGGAGCAGATTCGCCGTCATCTGCTCAAGGGTGACCGCGAAACCGCCGTCTGGACGGCAGTCGACAAGCGTTTGTGGGGACACGCCATGCTTATCTCCCATACAGTTTCGCCCGACCTGTATAAGCGTGTTGCGCAGGAGTTTGTTCGCAAGGAGGTCAACCATCCCGGCCAGAACAACGAGTCTCTTGCCGCTCTGTACAAGATCCTGTCCGGCAACTATGACGATTGTGTCGATGAGCTCGTTCCGGTGCATGCTCGTGCTGGCATGCGACTGGTCTCGACCGGGTCGTCTTCTGAGCCCACCAAGGACGCCATGGAAGGGCTGGATAAGTGGAGGGAGACGCTGACGCTTGTTTTAAGCAACAGAAGTGCTGATGACATCCGCGGCCTCAACGCCCTGGGCAAGTTGCTATCCAGCTACGGCAGGGCCGAAGCCGCCCACATCTGCTTCCTGTTCAGCAGACAAATATCCGTCTTCGGCGGCTTCGATGACCCCAACGTTGATTTTGTTCTGCTGGGGTCAGACCATCGCCAGAACGCGCACCAGATTGCAAAGGACACGGAAGCTCTGCAGCTCAGCGAGGTGTACGAGTACGGTCTTACGCTCTCGGGCATCCCCTCGGCGGTCGCTGGCGCCCCTCATCTCGCAGCTTACAAGCTTCACCATGCCATGACGTTGGCTGAATATGGCTACCGGGACAGAGCTCTGCAATATTGCGATGCCATCCTTTCAGCAATATCCTCTCAGACGAAGAGGTCGCCCTATCACCACCCACTGCTGGAGGCGGCCGTCGATGACTTTATGGTTCGCTTGAAACAGGCACCGAAAGAGGAGTCATCCTCGTGGATGTCTAAACCCAGCATGAACAAGGTGTCGGACAGCATGTGGAACAGATTCAACAAATTTGTTGCCGGAGAGGAATCCGAGAATGCCACTGCCACGCCGACCGAGGAAACCGGCCCATTTGCCCGTATCGGAACCCCGTCTATGAGCCGCTCTCCCTCTGTTTCTAACTTTGACACATTGGGCATCAGCTCGCCCAGCTACCCAGGGGCTGGTGCTCCCGCTGCAACATCCGCTCTCTCCTCAGCACTGTCGCGATACGCTCCTGTCAATTCTCAGCCGTCATACGGAGCCGAGTCCCCGCAGGTGTCATCATTCTCTCAGCCTGGGCGAAGCTCGAACGAGTATACTCCTGGCACGTACGGAGCTTCCTCTTCTATGGCTGGCTCGCCGCCTGCTCACGGCAACGGATTTGCATCCTCTGGCCTCAGCTTCCAGCCAATGACCCCTATCCTTAAAGATGAAAGGAGTGCTTCTTACGGCGGATACCAGCCCTACGGGACTCAGGATTCGGCCTCCTCGCTGCCCGCTCCTGCAGAGTCTACCACGGGTTCTTCCACGCAAGGATATCAGCCTATCTCCTATGGATATGAACCTCCATCAACTACTACCGATGCGTCGGAGTCCGGAGTAACAAACGAGGGCGTAGCTGGGGCTTCATCAGGTGGCGGTTACGAACCTCCCTCTTATCAGCCTTATGGATATGAACCGCCTTCATATGAGCCTGACGCGGAGCCATCCGCCGAGGCTGACGATGATGAGCCCAAGCCCAAAAAGAAGAGCTTCATGGATGACGACGATGACGACTTCCCCGCCCCACAAGCCAAAGAAAAGTCCAAGGCAGAAAAGGATCGTGAGAACCAGGAGTTGTTCCGTAAAGCCGCAGAAGAAGATGGTAAGTGGCTCTTGTCGTTCAAACACCTCTATGGGACTCACATGTGCTAATTTGTCAATAGCCAAACGTGCTGCCGAAACCGCGCAATCCAACAAAAAGGGATGGGGCTTTACTAGCTGGTTTGGAGGCGGCAAGAAAGAAGCTGCAAGCCCTGGCGAGGCATCGTCTCCAGGCAAACCCATCAAGGCTAAGCTTGGCGAGGCGAGCAGTTTCGTCTACGACCCCGAGCTCAAGCGATGGGTCAACAAGAAGCCCGGAGCCGAGCAGGTGGAAGCAAAGGCGGCCACTCCTCCGCCGCCCAAGGCCAGTCCCCGATCCGTCGGCGGGACGCCTCCGCTTAGGCAGTTCACGCCGCCTCCCGCAGCGGGTCGATCCAGCCTTCCGCCGTCCTCTTCAAGCTTTGGCACTCTTGCTCCGCCACCGGTGCTCAACAGAGCCACGTCGCAGGAGAGCCTCAGTGCGCCGCCAATGCTGCGGTCCATGTCTGGCGCGAGTAGCGATAGCAAGCCTTCCAGCAGACCTACCACGAGCATGAGCAACGCGAGCAGCATCGATGACCTGCTCAGCGCCGGACCCCGTAAGCCTGGGCAAAAGAAGGCTCGGAAGGCTGGGCGTTATGTGGACGTCATGGCAAAATGAAGCACTTGCTGCTTCATAGAATGTTTGGCGTTTTCCACCCTGTTTTCTTTTTCTTTTCCCTACCCTCTCCCTTGTCCTCCATGGAGATCGATTACTTGTTTTCTTACAAAGAGCCAATGGCAGCATTGTATGATAGGACTGGAAGTCATGGTACTGTAGTAATTCCTGGCTGGGGGACCTTGTGTTTTTTTCTTTCCCTTCGATGAAGTTTTGGAATATGGAGGTGACATGATGGAACGAGCGGATGACTGATGCAGATACACATGACTAGGCACACAATAGCAACTTGGATATCTTGAACGAGTTGACATAAAAAACATGAATAGAGCATTAGAATGTTCCCTTGTGGTTGTGCTCCCTTACGCCGCTGAGCTCCCATCTAATCCATAACCGGCGTGACGTCGTCTATGGATGAACTCGCTGTAAATTTTAGGCACTGTAGGCTTGTACATGATACTATGGCTGGGTGAGCTTGGTCCAGTCCAGAACATGGTGCAGGCAGAGGAAGGTTGCACACTTACCGTGAGGACTGCATCATCGCCGCCCGCATCATCATAATGTGGTATATACACATACAGCACCAATGAATGGTTATGGCAGAAGCACGCAATGACCCTCCCCTCCAGCCTTCCAGCACTCAGGACTCTGCTCCAGTCCTTGCCATCGACGTAAACCGAAGCCCAGGCGTCGGGCCCGCGATCGCGGAACTTGGTACTAGGGTGCTCCTCGATGGGGACCCTGAGCTGGGCGGGATCGAGCTCCGGGTTGTCGAGATCGGTCCAGGCGCTGGAGATGTCGGCGGTCTCGGTGGTGATGCGGACGCGCAGGCCGCCGTGCATGTTGGCGCTGATCTCGAGGCGGGGAGACTTGCTGCTGCTGCTAGAGCTGCCGGAGGCGAGGGCGAGCCTGGTGAAGCGGTCCGAGATGGACTTTAGCTGGAGGAGGGGCGGGAGCTGGATGTGGACGTCGGGCTCCTGCAGGGCGGGCTGGACGGTGGAGGCGACGGTGTCTGGGTGCAGGACGCGGATGGGGATGTCCTGGGTGATGATCTTTTCGTGCTCCCTGCGCAGGGACGTCTCGAGGTGGGTTCTGTCGTCGTGATCGTCGTCGAAGCCAAAGGGGTCGTCGTGGGAGGGCCGCGGGGGCGCGTGGGCGTTTGCGTGGGAGGGCCGGGAGGTGGTGGTTGTGATTGTCATGGAGAGGACGGGGACGCCCTTCTTCTTGGTGAGGCGCAGGGAGGCGGAGATGCTGTTCTGGGCGGACTTGAGGGCGCGGTGGAGGGGCTGGAGGGAGAGCTCGAGATTGATTGTGTTGCCGGGCTCGGCGGACTGGATGGTGCAGTTTTCAAAGAGGAAGTCCATTGGCAGTGTTCTGTGTGAGATGGAGATGAGATATGAGGTTGGTGGACATGTTCACTAACGATCTGATGATGGCGAGTGAGAGGGAGGAGATCGAATGGGACGTCTTACGACCAGATTTGGGATCCTGTGTCCGGCACGACGGTAAAGTGCGCCGTTTCATCGCTTAGACGCAGCCATACCAGCTTCTCCAAGGAGGAGAATGCGGCAGTGAGCTCTGGCGAGAATGAGGCTGGTTAGCAACATGTTCTTGTATGACGAGTGGGAAGCGTAGCAGTGAAGAAAGAGGTTGCATGCAATGAAGAACGTAGTGCTGCACTACTCACTGGCAAAGGTGCGAATGTTTTTCAGATCGCTGTGGAATCTCATTGTGGATTATGTTCGTGAGTGTAGCTCGTGAAGATGAACAAGTTCACGATGATGGTCGTTTGGATGGAGTTTCAGAGGTCCAGTTTCTTAGCGGGCGGAATGAGTTCCGAACAGGTACAGGTACAGGTACAGGTCGCAGGACGCCAAACAGCCGCTGGATGTGCACAGTGCACAGCAACACAGAGATGACATCAAATGACTTGAACCCTTCTTTTTCTCGAGAAATATATCAAGAGAAGTATGACTGGGGAATACCTAATGTTGCATTTGCGTCATTCAAACGTGTTGCAACCATAGCTGGGGATTCCTGAGATGGGTTTGATTCTCCTTGTAAGACGGGCGCATCGTGCGCTTATGGAACTTGATATTGATGTTATATGCCATGTCCATCATCATTAGAACTAGAACTATCCATCTCTATATGCTGTATGTGGCATAATTTGATCGACAAACGCCATAGTTTGATACACGGCAAGCGCCTTCCTGGTGGTCCATCAGCCAAAAAAAGGTGGTCGACTGGTGGGAGTGGTTTGCTTCTGGCAGGTAAAACCAAGTCGAACATGCCCCTTTTCCTTTGGGTAGTAGATGACGCAGTGAAAGCTGAAGAAGTCGCAACTCTGAACTGAGTCATCTTGAACTTTCTCCAAGGCAACAGCTAGATAAGAGCCTTTTCAGTAGGTAGGTACCTGTAGCCAGACACAGAACGCTGCATCTCCAAACACAGTCGTCAGCAAATCATCCGTATAACCCCAATGACGGGCCAAGCAAAGCCCTCATTCCAGAATCAATTAACAAATCATCTACTACATCTCACAAGCCGCCTCTCCTTACCGCTCCATCGCCGCCTTCGCTATGGGCGTTCTCACGCAGTCGTTTGTTCCAGCCAGCACCGCAGAAAAGCAGCCATGGGGATCCGGAACTGGAAAGCAGTCATCATGGAGACCATCAAGACAACATGTCGACCTCCGTGGGTATTGATGAGTAGGACACATGAACGGCAAAGCAAAAGCTTTGGCAGCAGCAGCAGCAGCAGCATCACCGTCACGCACACCATCACGCAGACCACTTCACAGGCCACCACGCCCGATCTACCGCCTCTGATGAGCTACACTCACCCGTTTGCAAAGCGTGACCGTGCCTGGAGCCCGTCCCTCCTCACCATCGAATCCGAGCTAGAGTTCGGCCCCGAAGGAACTCCGCCTGGCGTGGCTCTTGGAATACCTCCTGAGCACATCCTTGACGAGGGTCCACCGCCGATAGATGATCCTATTCCTCTGAACTATCACAGGGTTCCTGCATCTGCTATTCTTGTGAGAGCGGACGACGACATGGTCAATAGATTGGGCCCTTTCGATGGAGCCTCGTCGATTGCGTCTGTGAAGAACCCTTTCGTTGGAGTCAGTGAGGTTGACGACTTTTCGGACGATGGGCCACATGATACCTCATGGGCGACACCTGAAGCATCATCACAAGCACGTATGGTGGTACGCAACGAGCAAAGAGGGGTGGTCAAGGATGCCACTATGTCTCTCCAGGAGGACCAACTCTCGCTAATTCAAGATATGCTGCTCTTTTCGCTACCTAACCGAGCTTCAGAACGTCTGGCTGCTGCGTCATTATTTGCGTCCGCCCAAAATCCAGCATTGCCCTACCTGCCCAGGGGAGAAAAGGCGACTGACCTAGACTCAGATACCTGCAGTCTATGCGGAACAAATGACACGTACCAGAAGCCGCACCCGAGTCGAGACCACATCTTTGAGGAGCGCAAGGCATATCTCCCCTGTGGACATTTCTTTAGGCATCGCTGTCTGTACAGCTGGATGTATTCCGCGTTCTGCAACCACCATCTACTTCGATGTCCTCGCGGGTGCATCTCTCTCCTTCACAAGTGCGGCCACCCTACCCTCCCCGTATGGCAAAGGCCGACACGATTGCACAATGACCCTGAGATGACGATCCCGTGGGACTATGAGTTCTGCGAAAGCGAACGAGGCAAGCGGTGTATCCAGATCCTTTCGTTCTTAACCAGGGCTGAAAGGCCATCGGCGCCAATGTCGACGCAACCGGAAGGCGAAAAGGAAGGGAAACGAGGCCTGCGTTGGAGATTGCGTGACACGCTGGTCTCCCCTGTTTCTGAGAAAGTGCAGCGGGCTGTAGAGCAGCAAAGACAGCATGCCATGAGATACTGGAAGAGTAGGCAAATAAGCTGGTGGCTTGACAGGTGGGCGGATGCCTGGGGAATCAGCCCGCAAGGGACGACTTTCTGGTGAAAGCAGGCAACAGACACGGGTGCACATTACTTAACATAACTTATTGTTGGAACCCTGCTCGGCTTCGATGGCAGCACATTCTTTGGATCTGGGAACTTTGTCAGCGCTGGAGGAGACAGTAGCGGCTTGGGGGGGCTGCATTACATCTTCTGTTCATCTTGGTCTATCATATTTCCAGCATACCTACCTACCTATCATCAGCCATACAGCGTTTGGCTGGGACCAACAGACTGGCGTTTGGTGACAGCCAGCGTGTCTGAAGAGCGGAAATTTTGCTTTCAACTTCTCTCACCTGACGGACACTCAGCGTTTTCATGAATCCACTGCTCGCAGCCAGTAGATGGCACTGTATTTGTCTATAGCATACGGTAGGAAGTACGAGAATCAGAGGCCATTAACCAGCTTCGTTGCCTTGTCTTGAGGCCGAGATGGCTCGGAGGACCAGGCACATCGTGAGGAGGGCTGCCGTTATCCTGCTGCGATGATAAAGCATTGATGGCTACGGAATAGGTGGGATAAGTAGTGAGTAGCACTCCTTCGAGATGCACGTATAGACAGCCATATGCAGAGAGGCATATAAACAGCCTGACTTTCCGCTGAGAAGTGCTTCTGTAGTATTTGTTGAAGCAAAGCCACCTGGCGCTGGGAACGCTAGTAAGTCTAGATGTGATACAACGGTATGCTTCGCTTCTGATTATCTTTCACGCCTTGTTGTCTAATTTCCAATTGGTATCTCGCCTCAACCCGAATCTGAATCGCTGCTGCTGTCGTCTATAAACCCTTCCTCTAACCTTGGTACAGAATTAGCCCCTGACGAAAGTATCACAGAGCAACACTTGGCATGTCCACCCTCCATAACAGGAAAAAAAAGGTCCTTGCACCCAAAGAAAAACAAAAGCAGGAGACTTACTCCCGACTGAGCCGCCTCGTGTGATCCGGCCGCCGGGACCGGGCAATGGCCTCGAGCACCTGGGCGATGTCGTCGTCAATGTCCTCGAGCTCC